CGACTAATCCTAGTCGTAATAGTTAGTATCTTAAAAGCAAATTAACCAGTCCTTCTGTGCTAGCCAGAAAACCACCTATACCAATTTGGCTTGTATATCTGGAGTCCAACAATCCTTAGCTTCCTATTCCTATCTAGCTCACTATTTTCCTGAATTATGCAGGCCACCATAGCAATGTAATTACTCTTGAGGTTGTTGCTCAATGGACAGGTATGAGTGTTAGCTCGGTAGTTAATTACACTTATTATATGATGATCGTAGTACTTAATGCTTATGACTAATTGATTTGCTTTCTAGCAGCTGACTCTGAAAACCTTAACCTGGCTTGTAAATTTGCCTAGTTATGTACTTGAAAAGATGGCTTTCTAGCTATTAATGATTTAATTATAAATCTTTTCATAAAATCTGGTTATTATAAGGAGACATTTTATGATAGGAAATCCAGGTATTCCTTATGCTGTCAAGTAACTTTTTCCTTTTATTTTTATGTATATAAATTTAATTTTTTAATTTTAGGCTATCATCTTGCCCTATAACTTCTTGATTGTTGACTATTCCTGAGAGTGTCTATTATGTATTTGCTTTTGATTTACTTGCCTCTATGAAGAATATACTCACTTTTTCCCTAATGATCATTGAGTTTGGGCAGACAGTGTATATACATTGGAGTCATGGTGTATTACTCCATTTAAGAAGCCTTACAACAGACAGTTAACAAAGAATCAGAAAATATTCAATTACCATCTCTCTAAGATTGGTATTTTTTAATAAATTTAAATTATTTAAATTTATGTTCATATTAAATACATATTTGCCATCTTAAACGGACATTTTCAGTTCCTTTAAGAAATCTACTTCCATATTCTGTCTAGAAAAAAACCTTAATTTTGCTGTGTGGTAGATCAAGTATTATATCATTCTGCATAATATAATAATTCAGTTTGAAATATATTATTATAAGCAAAATAGAACTTATAAGAGCTCTCTCAAGTGGATTTATAATAAGGATAAAGACTTTATTGATCAGGTGTTTGAGAATCCAGATGGTAATGAAGTAGTTGGTGATAGAAATTGTAAGGGTACTCCAGGTTATGCTGCTTATGTAAAACTGATGCATGATCTTTTCAAATATACTTTATATACTTATATATCTACTTCATGAATGCAGATCTCAGCATCTTTATTCTTCTGTTGGTGCCAATAATTAAGGACACTTCATACTCCTAGGTTAAGTGAAGCCACTCCTATTTCTTTGTCTCAAAATGATGCTCAGACTTTATCTTAAGCTTTGCAAGAAACTATTCCAAGTCTCATGTTAGTGTCAGATAATTAAGCTCCTGATATATCATTTATCATGAAGCTTAACAAACTCACCTACCATTAATATTATTAAACATGCTATCAAAGAGAAGCTGCATTGTATGATATAGGAAAGAAGTAGTATTTCACTACCTCAAAAATGAGAGGCTATTATCAAGAAGGCCTGAATTTCTACCATCAGTTAAGGTGAGTTCTTAATACATTATGCTGCCTACTGACACTTTTTGAGGTTCAATATAAATTATTTGAAAAAACGAAAGCTCTTTACAAAAACTAGTAATCTGCATGTTGAACATGTAGTAGATATTCAGAGATTATGCTGAAATTATAGTTCAGATAGCTCTTGACCTATAGCTACTCATCACTAAAGAATATGGAGAGGGGGTAGTATACAAAATTGCAGGAGTTCCCATCCTACTGAAAAATCTCAATTTTTTTGTCTAAGTTTGAATTAGTGCATTTTAATTTGATTTTCACCTATTGTAGGCACTTATTTTACTTCACTAAACTTGGGATAATATGTACTAGTATGCGGTTGTGTCTTCGGGTTTGTCATATAGCATGAAGTTATAAGTAGATTAGTCTGTATGACAACAATAATGAGGATATTACTTCTATATTACTTTAAAAATCTGTAGATAATCTCACTATCACTATGTATTACTAGATTATTTTTGTGATTTTTGACCAACATCATGAATAAACCTATTTTTGGTGCAATAATAACTAAAATATCATATTATTAACTAAAAGTATACACTAACTAAATCTAACTTAAGTTAGGAGCCTCAAATCATATTATAGCCAATATGAGGCACAAGCATATCATCTAAATAAGTTCAAAGACTTCTAGGGTCTCTAGCAGGTATTCATTTATTTTATTTTATCATAGGCTTTTCTTGGTCCAATGCTATGAGTGCTCCATTGTCTTCAGTAATATTTGTGTAGTTCATTATTATCTTGGCTAGCCTACTTAATAGGATTGAAAATTGAGCATTAAGGGATGAAGCTGCTTTACATATGCACTACATGCACTGCATGCCATGCATGGTAGCATACATGTTATATCTGTGATTCTACTGAGGACTCACTACAGTAAAAACATGCATAACTATAGTACTACAATCCTAGCCTATCACAAAAATTACTTAATTGAGATGTTACCCAATTTACAGAGGCAGTCTGTTAAGACTATGCACAAAGGATAGGACTGATTCTGAGGGGCTTGGCTTCAGCTCATACACTGCACCCCTTACCCAAGTATATACCCTAAATTTCAGATAAAGTCCAGAGGAAGTCCAATGAAGTCCAAAGGACTTCTGGAGGAGTATGGAAAAGTTCTGGAGGACGGTCTGGGAAAGTTCTGGAGAAACTTCCAGAAATTACAATGTAGTTTTGTCCACTTAGTAAGGATATATATAGGCTACTCAGGACAAATCCTGAGTAGAAGCAACAGAGGAAAGGCTGCAGAGACAAAGTCTAAAGCAGAGTAGATCCAGAGGAGTTTAGGATCAGAGGAGCAGAGGAGTGGAGGAGCGGAGCTTCAACCTAGTGAATTCCTTCCTAGGCCTAAGGTGGATATTGACTAAGATGGAGGAATAAGAACTAGTATGAAGACTTAGTGTAAAATCTAGTGCAAGGCAGAGCCTTAATCAATAGGTAAACATGTGATAGTATAAGATGTCATATTACAACTAACATATAATGTTAGTCCCATTATAGATACTGCTGTCCTAAATGAAAACCTGTTTGGAGAGCACTAGGAAGATTAGTGTGACTTGATGGTTACTCAGTGTCTCATAAGACTTATCAAACTTAGAAGTATTAAAGACCTTAATTTTGACTAATCTGTTATGATCGATGGTGATGTCCATCTGAATAACTTTAATCAGTCTTAAGCTATGGAAACCATTGATTGATTAAGCTAAGAAATCTTTTCTCTGGTTTTTTTGTTGTAGTACTTTGGTCAATAATGGCAATTTCATGGGAGTGCCAACTGGAAAGGCAAATTGCTACTGATATTTTAATTGTCAATCTAAAGCAAATGATATATGTAAGTAAGTTTAATTGAACAGGAACTTACAAATCTCATAGGTACTCCTCCAATAATTATGATAAACTTCTCTAAGGCTGAAATTATTGGTAGCAGTGATCAAATTACTTTATATTGATGTTTTATAGATTCCTAGGCTGCTCCAAGATACCAGCTTCTCTTGATTAAAGAATTTCCTGAATCAAAAAAGGATCCTCAACTTTCTACTCATGATTCAAAGATTATCAGCAATGTGTAAGATAGCTATATAAGTAAGTCATAGAATTAAGAGATTAAGATCTGATGCAGAGCGATGGCCTTGCAAGTATCACACAATGTAAAGCTCAACAATATCAAAAGTCCAAAAATAAACATTTTAATAAATGCTACCAAATTATAGGAAAAAATCTAACAAAACTCTCACTCACAAAAAACATAGTCATTAACCTTTGAATTTAATTGTGTTTTGTTGAGTCCTACAGTAATGGAGGGTCAGATGACCTCATTTATGAAGCAAATGAATAGGAGGGTACATTACTGCTAGTTCCCTATTCTTCTTCATTCTATTAACAACACATGTTTAGTCAATCTAACACTGAACAATTCAATTCCTATCCCCTCCTATTGCCCCAATTTCATTCTGTATTGCCTATATTGTCTCCCATCCAATCCCGATGCCTTCCAATCTAATCATTGTGCAGCATTTTATATCTTTACCTCGGCCCATCACCACGACTTATCCATATTTCTGCTTATGTCAAATGCACTATAGATTATGTATGATCTTTCCAATTTATACTCAACATATACAGTTCTTTATGTTTGAATATATGCTACATTGGGTAAGTAAATGGTTGGAAATCAGTAAGATCCCATGGCCCCTTGATGAACAGACTCTCAATCTTGAAGGACATCCGCCAAACAAAAGATGAGTCCCCTCTATTGAACACTTGAACATTTCTGACATAATTTAGACACTGCCATGACCAAAAAAGAACTTGTCGCTCAATGCCTCAGGGCATGACATCACAAGCCAACTCAGTTTGCCTCAAGATTGCCCACAAACACCCAAATCTGTATATTGCCCCCCCAGCATGGATCCAAATCAACTCCCTCCCTTCCAATCAGATCCTCAGTTCTAGCCCCAACACCATTTCCCACCCTCATTTGACCCACAGGATTACCAAATGGGGGGCAGCTATGAGCTGCCCCAAGACCAATATCACCTGTCTCAAGACCACTACCATCCACAGGACAACTATCAGCTGCAGAACCACTATCATCAATAGGATGACTACCATCTGCAGGACAACTTCCGGCATGAGAGGTTTGAGCAGGGAGGGTTTGAGCAGGAGGGGGAACACTTCCAGGAGGAGGGGTTCAAGCAGGGAGGGTCTGAACAGCAGAGATTCCAGCTGCCACCTTAAGACCAACCACACAAAGGCGATGATGCTCGATCTGTGTCCTCAGGTCACCAGTGTCACAATTTCTTACAAAAGTGAATCTGAATGCAAGGAGTTGACTTAAAGGGTCATTCATGTAAGTTGTTTCTTTCCTTTTCTAATATATGATAATATATAACATTACTATAGAAACTACATACATCACAAACTGTTAGCTAGCTCAGAACACATTCAGTCAACCTCCAATGCCAGCATTGGTGCCAGCACCTGCATCCGCACCTGTGCCTCAACCAGCACCACCCCCACCACTCAAAACCACCACACAAGTGCCAATTGTGTCTAATAATGAGGTTCCCAATTCGGTTTTCACTGTAGAACTCAATAAACCCACCATCGATTCCATCAAACACTCTGTGAATACATTGCATGATGATGCAAGGGAGGGATGCTGTGTCACCAACACAAAAAAATGAGGGGCTGTCTTAGACAAAGCCCTCAAGAAGGCATGCATTTCTATCATTGGTCAAGGTAAGTTTTTGTTGAATTCATTCATGATGTCACTAACACTTTTTTTCTGAAGTTTGATATAAAACAATTTGAAAAAAAGTCTGTTTATGAAGAGCTCATGACGTATATGTTGAATGTATGGTGGGTATTTAGAGACTACGCCACCAACATTGTTCAAACGGCACTCAATCTACGACTGCCTATATCCTCAGAACCTGACAAGGAGGTCACCCATAAGGCAGTGCTAGTCCTAGAGCTATTGAAGAATCTGAACTTCTTGCACAAGTTGGAACTGGTATGTCTTTTCTAATGTTTGTGTACTGATTTTTGATTCACAAACTTACTAGGGTGAGGACAGCATTGAATGGTACCTGCTTCTGGAGGCTGAATATTTTGTCGATGTCATTGTAGACATCATCTGGCAGAAAAGACTTTATGAGTATATTGATCTGCTCTGACTTAACAGCACAATTGCCCTCACTGAGGCTGCATTGCAGAATGCACTGAAAGCTTATTGGATAGGCAGGTTTGAGTCCATCAATGCTTCGGCAGAACAGTTCTATGATACATACAAGGTGATCCTAGTGCTGATTGACAGTATTCGAGCAGATTCTGCTCTGAAAGTAAGGCATGAAAGGCTTCAGGAACTCATTGTGACATGGGGTTGTGAGCACATGTGTCTTGATCTCACTGATTTGAATGACAACAACAAATAGATAACATTTGCTTTGGTAATATGTAGATAATCTTCACTATCACTATGTACTGCTTGATGATCTTTTCAATTTTTGTTACCAACACATCAATAAAATTATTTTGGGTGTAATAACAACTAAAACAGTGTATTATGAACTATAAGCAATGAAAACAAACTATAAGCACACACTAACCAAATACAACTTGAGGTGGGAGCCTCAAAGGATACTCAAAGGTCCATTTTGGGTTTTTCAACTTTCAGATATATGTTGTAGGTTCAGCCAATAATATCATGTCTTCCTTGACAGCAGAGGCCAAGGTGACAAAGGTTAGAATAGTTTTGAGTGAGAGTCCATGAATATTCAAAAGTGCTTGGCCTATACATGTGAACTTGACCATTGTAAGAACTGAAGCTTAAGAACTAATTAATATGCATTAGTAAATCCCTGCACCCTAGACAGACCCACACAGAACTAGACAGCATTTCAGATATATACAGTGACTCACAAAAGTATCCCAATGTTTATAGCTTTTCATGTAATTGCTATATCATGTATCAGAATGTGGGAATATGACTAAGCTATAGGGAGGTGTCAGAGAGGTCTGCTTTTCAGCTCTATTTTGGTTCCCTATACCATGGGAAAGTAATAATATTGTGTGAAGGTATGATTATTTTAAGTTGATGACTCATTGGGACACTTTTTGACTTTGAGTTTGAGTAATGTAATCTCTACAATTCTAGTACTTTGTGTGACCTTCTTTTGTCCTAATCACTTCTGCCACTCTTCTAGACATATTCTCTATCAATTTTGGGTATTCCTCTTTGGTATTTTCATCACCCTCTGCTGTAACACTGTCTCATAGTTAAAATAGCCCCTATGGTGGATCTTGATATGCTACAAGCAATTTCTTGAGTGATTCTTAGGAATATTCTATAGGGTTGGTGTAACGGTCGCTCAGTTGACGCACCGTCACTAACTTCCTCTCACCCTTGTCTAAAGCGTATTGGACTCATTTATTCCTATAGCTACAGCTACTCTACTATATGCTCGGCCAACGTACTTACTACCCGTTTCTACCCCCACTGTCTTGCTTCACCATTATCTCCCGAGCCTCAGTAGTATAAAACCAGAGTCAATTCATAGTCGTACAGTAGTGTTTTCTGGACCCAAATATCAGACTTTTATCCTGTTATTTCCTGAGAGCATTCTTCTCTTGTGCCATTGACTTCGAGCTTCGCGAGCTAAATAGTCACTGTCACATCTTTTTTAACATCCAAAAGTCTACCCACTTTCTCATAACAAACCTTCGTTAAAAACCCCTCGTCACTGGAACGACTTCGGTTAGGCCCACCGAATAGTACCCACGACAAACCAAAAACATACCATGTCTTCGCATTACAACCTTCGATCCCAACGTTCTGCCATGCTGAGCGTTGAACAAGCAATCCCGGGGACATTAGTTGAGTCCCCTTTAACTGAAAATAGCACTAACGATGCAACCCCAACCCCATCCCCTACCGAGAGATCCTTCTTGCGTACGGGTGACTCTGTTCTCAGACCCGCTCGCTCATACAGTGACGTGGTACGAACAAGGTCCGACACGCCCCAGCCAGAGGCTGGAGCGCGTTCGGCTAGCGTTGATAGCGCTATGACCGGTCAACGTCAGTCGACTGGAGTAATAGAAAATTTGGATGACGAACCTGTACATAACCCGTTCGTCACCACCAGTGAATCATCGGCTGAGTCAGAGAATGGCACACCATGGAAAACGGTTAAAGAATGCCGAATTAAGTCTAGAAGAGCAGCTAAGAGCAAGCCTAAGACAAAGGATCAGATAGAACCTGACCTGGTGAGAGAGGCTGAGAAGCACCTCACCCAAGAAGAGAAGCAACGCATCTCTGATAGGAGACACGTTGAAGAAAGGGCTCGCGTAAGCGAGCAAACGTCGTCGTCACACGACGAAGGACCTTCAAAGGGAAAAGGTGTGGACCCCCGGAATTGGGGGGATGCTGACCTTGAAGAGTCTGAAATTGACCCAGATGCCCAGCGAGAAGCCTTGGCTACCTGGGCCAGGTCAAGGACCTGGGCCAATGAGGAACCCGTGAGACCGGCTGAATCAGATGACGAGCCCACTGATCCCGTTGAGGCAGCCATCAAGGCTACAGAACAGCGGATGACTGAGCGGTTTTAAAACCGGATACGTCAGCTGGAGGAACGGTTGAATAAGGCAGATGGACTTACGAAACCAGACGCTAGAAAGCATACTCGGGTCCGAATCGCTGAGGAAGCCGAAACTCACCATCCCATGAGGAAAATGGTCGAGACAGCCGTTAGTCAGCCATCTAGGAAGCATGGTCTGAGGGAGACTCCTCCCACTATGGACACTACAGGTCAGATAGCACCTAAGAGCTACCTGGGTTGAGCTTTTGAGAAAATGACCCATAAGAAGGGGAGGGACTCCAAACCTACCCGAGCACGTTCTCCAGACGACTCTTCCAGCAGTTCCTCCGAATCCTCTCCGTCGTCCTCAAGCGAGTCGTCGACTGAGAGTAAGAGCAGTTCATCCAGCTCTAGCGATGAAGGAAGACGTGCGTCTAGGAAGCGTCGTAAGAACAAGAAACGTAAATCCAAACGCAAAAGCACCTTAAAACCCATTCCCCCAAAGGAGTATGATGGATCCGTTGATCCTAGGGCATTCCACCGTTTCATAACGGAGGGAACCGCATATGTAGAAGATGGAAACGTACCTCAAGGAAGACAAGTCTTCGTCCTGTCTTATTATCTAAAGGGGAAAGCACATGATTTCTATGTCAGACAAGTATCAGATCGACCGGGTGAATGGAGGGTGAAGGACTTTTTCACCGAATTGTTCAACTACTGTTTCCCGCTCAACTTTCGCACCAAGCAGTGAAAGAAGCTCTATCGATGCTACCAGGGCGACAAGAGAGTCCGAGATTACCTGTCCGAGTTAAACGAACTCTGGATGATGATAGGGAACGTACCTGAGCGGGAGAAGGTCGTCAAGTTCTGGTTTGGTCTGAATACAACCATCCAGAATGAGCTATATAAAATGCAACTAAACCCCGAAATCTCCACCTTGAGCGAGGTTCAGCGCATCGCCGAAATCGTCGAACTGGCGGAATCAGCCATGACCAGCAGCCGCGGCCGCGAAGAAGAGTCTAGACCACCTAGAAAACAGGGCAAGGATTCTAAAGGTCACAAGCAGCCGAAGGGCGAAAGAGGCGACGCACCTCGAGAACACCCTAAGGAGAACCATGGGCAGAAGGACCGGCAGTCGTCTGGCCCGAGTCGCCGGGATTGAGGACATCGACCTGTACAGAATAGGCGACCAGAGTGTCCTAAAGACGAAAAGATGAGTTGCGAAGAGCACGACGTCTCGTGTCCGAAGGACGATGCTTCATCTGTAAAGAGGCGGGACACATGTCCTGTCAGTGCCCCAAACGGACTACCGTAACTTCATCAAACAAGGACAGACCCCCAGGGGTGCCCAACTACGCTATGCACATCGAAACGGGGCTTGACAGTGAGCGTCAAGCCCTCGAGGACAGCACTGAAATGATCACCGAGATCCCTCTGAACGTCGCACTCCTGGAGTACGAAATACCTAAGAAACTGGTATACCGAACATGGGGAGTGGCCGATGAGCCTATAGGTGATCCATTAGCGCGTCGTGCCGAGGAACTACTGAGACGAGACGCACCTTATCCTGGGGATGATTTGACGAATGAAGAGACCTTCTCAGATGAGAGGTTCCTGATCTATCGGATATCAGACACCCGTCACGTCATAATGGACCATGCTTCTTACCTAGAGGATGAGGTGGAGATCCCTTCATACCTGCTACGAAACCCGGCGTTTTTCGTGAGTGACTGGTATTCCAATCGTCTGGCAGCGGGATATGACATACCTAAGTCCCTGAGACGCTGCATGCAGCGTCATAGGCCAATGGGGGATGCCTTGGCTGATCGGGTCACCAAAATGTTGAACAGGGAGACTCGACTCCCTGGAGAACCCCGGGCTGCGGAAGATCGGTTCACTTGTGACCGGTTGATCTACGATGATGGAATTGTCTACGAGATCGTGGACCACAAGTTGGACTACATACTGAAAGCGGATGATCTGTTTCTGTGCAACGAAAGATTAAACGTAGCTCACTGGTATGCCAAGCACTTACTGAAGGGCTACAAGCGGCTGAACACGCTGATGCTAAGCAAGGAATTGGAGTGGGAGAATCACCACTTCCGGTCATTGGATTCCGGTGATCTCAGCCCAATGGAGTGTGCACTGGAAGACGTAGTGCATCAGCTCTATGCAATCCCAGACATGCAGTTTGAAGGAACGGCTCACCGATTTCAGCTAATTGAACTGAACGGCCAGCAGGTGGTGCCAGGAAGATACCCGGCCATACAACGTAACTCGGCGATAGCCCGAGATTTTAAACGGCTCATCCCCAAGCCTGTCGTGGTGGTGGCGCATGTGAATGGCTGTCCAGTCAGAGCCCTCATCGACATGGGATCGCTGGCAGACTTCATGTCGTCTACACTAGCAGATCAGCTAAAGGTAAAGCAGATACCGCTAGAGAAGCCACTCACCATCTAACTGGCCGTGCAAGGGTCGTGATCCAAGGTGAACTTTGGAGTAAAGGTGCAGTTAGCCTATCAGCACATCAAGGAGGAAAGGTTCTTTGATATCATAAACTTACAGAATTATGATTTGATCCTGGGGACGCCATTCCTCTTCCAGCACCAAGTCATGGTTGGCTTGAACCCGTCTCGGGTGATGGTAGGTAGCGATCATGCCCTACCTGTCAAGGGCGAGCAGGTCTCCATCCTGGAGTCGAGAGTGGCAGGAGCCGTCGAGGAGGATCTGACTCACGCACGCCAACTCCTTTGCGAACTGGCCCGGCCACTCTGCGCCAAGGCCAGCGCCACCGGTTTGCCCCCTCTAAGGGCAATCAATCATATGATCCCCCTGATCGATACAGAGAAGACTTACCGATGGAGGCCTTCTCGTTGCCCAGAGCCCCTGCGTCCACAGTGGAGAGAGAAGAGGCAGGCATACCTGGCATCTGGACGGTGGCGCATGACGAGCACCGGTAACACTGTGCCCATGTTGTTCATCAGAAAACCGGGCACAGACAAACTACGCATGGTATTTGACTTGCGGGAACGCAATGCTAACACATGCAAGCTATCCTCCCCGCTACCGGACATTGATGGAATCCTTCGTCGAGTGGCGAGGAGGAAGTACCGATCCATCATAGATGGACAAGATGCCTACGAGCAAATAAGAATAGTGCCCGAGCACGTCGAACGCACCACAGTCACCACCCCCGACGGAAACATGGTTAGTACTGTGTTGCAGCAGGGGGACTGTAATGCACCTGCAACATACCAGGCCCTTATGAACCATCTATTTGGTGAGTTCATAGGCCGGTGGATGGACGTCTACCTTGACGACATCATTATCTATTCTGAAACGTTAGCCGAGCACCTGGAGCACGTCAAAACCATCCTTGCGATATTGGAAAGGGAAAAACTATACCTTAGCGAGGGCAAGTTGCAGTTCCTATGCAAGGACCTCAAAATCCTGGGCAGGGTCATGGACGACAATGGGATCCATATGGACCTGGCCAAGGTGGACAAGATCCTGGCCTGGAAGACGCCCACCAACCGCGACGCACTCAGGAGTTTCCTGGGTGCCATTGGGTTTCTGTTGGATGACATCCACAGGGTCAGAGTTCCGATGGGAACTCTGGCAGAGGTCACAGGCGACACGGTGCCGTTTCGCTGGGACTTCACCCAACAGCGAGCCTTCAATGAGGTTAAGCAATATGTCGCGACTTGCGCGACACACTCGCGTATTCCACTGGACTACTCTGCCGGCGCTGACCCCATCTGGCTGATGTCGGATGCGAGTGGTAAGGGCATCGCTTGCGTGATCACCCAGGGCACAGAATGGAAGACAGCCAGGGTGGCTGCTTTCTACAGCGCAAAACTTAATCCGGCGCAGCAGAACTACCCGGTTCACGAGCAGGAGATGCTGGCAGGCGTTGAGGGCATGCTGAGACACTGGGACATTCTGCAGGGTGCACGGTTCACATGGTTAACTGATCATAAAGGGCTGATTCACTTACTGAACCAGCGAGATTTGTCAGGCCGGCAGGCCAGGTGGTTGGAGAAACTGGGGGAGTTCGACTTCACCGTCAGCTACCTACCCGGAGTTGAAAATGTCTTACCAGATGCGTTATCGAGGATGTACTCCTTCGACGCACCGGGTACAGTGCGTGCACCCAGTGAGTTCACCTCCTACGACGAGGGTGACACAGGAGCAACAGGTGAGGCACTGCCCAGCCTGATTTCTATGCCCGTACTTGTGGGCACGGAAGCACGGGCGTTGGATCCTCCCAGACGAAGTTCACGTCTGGCAGATTCTGGTGCCCATCAGGAGGCAGACGTGGTCCCAACTGGTCAGGTCAGTAGCGACCGACAAGGAAGCGGTATTATCAGTACCAGGACTGTCCAACGAGGACACGGTATTATCAGTACCGGCCAATGAGGACGTGGTGCTATCAGTACCAGCCAACAAGGACGCGGTATTATCAGTATCGGCCAACAAGGACGCGGTACTATTAGTACTGGCCAATGAGGGCGCGGTACTATCGGTATTGGGCAACAGGGCCGCGATACCAGGCAGTGGGAAGTACCCTTGCCTGCGGAATCTGGGTGACCTGAAACGGCGGCCGAATTCGCGAGACGGATGGCTCCACATTTCGTCCTTAGAGGCCCTAAGGAACGAAAGGAAGGGGGGGATGCTGGACAGACCACCAATCAGCAGTCACCTACGAGCGACGATAACATCATCGAGCATGGTGAAGATGCACCAGAAGTAACGAGGTTCCCAGCAGTATACCCAGATGAGGATGAGCTGATAATTGGTATCAGGCATCAGTATTCCGAGGACCCATTCTTTAAACAAATCTTGGACTCACCAACAGAATACCAGAACTTCCATGTGAACGAAGGTCTCATCCATCTGAACCTGAAGGACAAGACATTATTATGCATACCAGACGTAAAGATTAAGGGACGCACGGTTCGAGAAACGGTGATCTCCCAAGCACACTCGCTGCTAGCACATCTGGGAGCCTCGAAGACGTTGACTTACTTGCGGGACCATGTCTGGTGGAAGACAATGGTGAACGACGTCAACGCGTACTGCGCTTCCTGCATGACCTGCAAAAGGAGCAAACTGTCAAATCAAAAGCCGTTCGGATTACTGAACCCCTTACCGGTACCATCCAGGCCTTGGGAATCCATTGGGATGGACTTCATAGGTCCCCTCCCCATGTCTAAGAACCAGGACGGTGAATACGACGCGATAACAGTGATTATCGAACTACTCACTGGAATGGTACACTTGGTACCCAGCAGAGTCAACTACACTGCGAAGGATGTCACAGAGCTGGTGTTCGCCGAAGTATACAAACACCATGGGCTACCAAGGGCAATCATCAGTGACCGGGATGTGCTGTTCACCAGCACCTTTTGGACTCACATGAACGAGCTGCTGGGCATCAACCAGTGCATGTCGAGCATGTACCACCCTGAGTCCGACGGATCCACAGAGCGTGTTAATCGGACCATCGGTCAGATGGTCAGAGCCATCATATCACCCACCCAGATGGACTGGGTGACAAAGCTACCGGCTATAGAATTCGCCATTAATACCTCAAGCTCCGAGTCAACTAAGGAATCACCTTTCCTGTTGAACATGGGCCGAATACCCCGCACGATGGTCTGGAACAACCCATCAAAAGACGAGTATCCAAGTGTGCGCGTCTACCTGCAGAAGATGAAGAGCGCGACAATGAAGGCGCATGACTCCATCATAGAAGCGCGTGTGAAACAAACCTGGAACGCGAACCGACAGCGTCAGTTGTGTCCGTTTAAGGAAGGTGATATTGCTTACGTGTCAACAAGGAACATGTCACTTCCAAAGGGAGTGGCACGCAAGTTCTCCCCCAAGTATATTGGGCCATATAAACTGACCCGCGACTATGGTAACAATTCCTTCATGCTTGACTTACCAAGCAGGTTGCGTCAACGAGGAATCCACTCAGTTTTCCACGCATCGTTGCTATGGATTCATGTGCCCAACGATGATTGATTGTTCCCTGGTCGAACGGACTCCCAGTTATTCAATTTCGGAGACTTACCTGAACGTGAGTGGTCAGTGGACAAGATTATCTCCCACTCCGGCACCCACGAAGGTGCACTATTTGAGGTTAGATGGCGGGCTGGGGACGTCACTTGGCTACCATATGAGCAAGTGTCCCACCTGGCCGCTCTGACTGAATACTTAGACCTCGTTGGAGTACGCGAGATTCGGGACTTGATGGACGGCAACGGGACACCCCCTCGCGACGATCCGCGATCATATTTGGGGTACGTCTTGCTAGAAGACCAGGCCAACTTAAATACAGGGTCAGCCTCCCCAATCCAAACCAACCACCTTGAACCCCACTTTGACCCATCTCCATCCAACACCAACCACACCCATCTATCCTGGTTTGAGGACGGTGAAATCAGCTTATTCGCTATGTCCCACACCCCCGATGAGTCCCATCTACTCTTCTTCTCGGCCCATGGCCGAGACGTTCTCGTTGGCAACCCCGAAAACAAGGACGACTCTCACCTTGTGACGCGCGATCAGCTCAAGCTCTTCGTCGCGTATTCCCATGCTCTACGCAACAAACCTCCCCACGCTCGACCCCCTAGCCCCCTAGGCTACGAATTCTTCGCCCACACTTTTAATAGCGAAGGGCTGCCTTCAACCGCGTCGTACATCGACGAGTCTGGCACGGTGGTGAGCACCGGGTCTGCGATTGAGATCACGGACGTTATCAGCGACGAAGAAGATAGTGAGATCACCGTGTCATCCGCCCGCATGGCACAGGTAGAGCAGATGGTATGGCACACTGCGCTGAGCGCATCTCACCAACAGGAAAAGATAGAGCAGAGACGCGCCGGTCAGAGGAAGGAGCGCAACTTTGGGCGTAAGCAGACGCAGAAGCTCAACAAAAGGGGACTAGGGAAGATTCGAAAAGAAACCGACCTGCCCACTACATATCTGGTGGCAGGTTCTTCCTCCGCAGCGCCCCCCGAGGAGGTTATGACCGAGATGGACTAACGTCCATGGGCAGAAGAAGGCGAGGGAGATGTAGGTCACCCTGGAGGGGGAGATGTAACAGTCGCTCAGTTGACGCACCGTCACTAACTTCCTCTCACCCTTGTCTAAAGCGTATTGGACTCATTTATTCCTATAGCTACAGCTACTCTACTATATGCTTGGCCGACGTACTTACTACCCGTTTCTACCCCCACTGTCTTGCTTCACCGTTATCTCCCGAGCCTCAGTAGTATAAAACCAGAGTCAATTCATAGTCGTACAGTAGTGTTTTCTGGACCCAAATATCAGACTTTTATCCTGTTATTTCCTGAGAGCATTCTTCTCTTGTGCCATTGACTTCGAGCTTCGCGAGCTAAATAGTCACTGTCACAGTTGGTGTCTTGGATCTATGCTAAACATGATAAAATAGTAATATCATAGTCTTTAAGTTATTTGATAGCCAATCTGAAAGGTTGCTCTACATGACTCAAGATCTCTTAATCACTATATTCTAATTGGGTAGGCTGCTAATGCTATCAAGGTGACTAAATTGACTATTTCCATCATCTCTATAACTATTTCCACTCAAACAGTCGATCAGACTCTTAAGACAACCTATCTTACAGCTGGAATCAAGAAAAAAATAGTCTTCTGTCTCTAACCTATAGAAAGAAAAGACAAGATGCTGCTTTGAAGTACAAATACTAGACTACTGATAGCTGAAAGAGTTTTATCTAATTAGATGAGGCTAAACTCAACAGGATGAGATCATATGGCTAGAAATTTATATTAAAATTGATAGGAGAACCATTAATCTTGTCTTTTCTTTCTATAGGTTGGAGACAGAAGAATCTTTTTTTCTTGATTCTAGCTTTAAGATGGGCTGTCTTGAGAGTCTGATTGACTATTTGAGTGGAAATGATGAATGAACAACAAGCTGCTGAAATATTAGCTAATCTATGGGACATTCAGAATAATACAGACAAGCATTGGTGGGCTGTCAGAATTCAAGAAGCTCAGGCAGCAGAAGCAGAGCAAAGACAAGCTGCAAAAACGGAAGCCCAAAGACAGCAAGCCCTCCTTGCAGAACAAGAAGCTGCCATCTCTGGAGAACGAAAAAAGAACAAATCCAAATACACACCAATCTGCAATATAGACATCCCTTCCAACTCAATAATCCTCCCATGCCAATACACCGTCTGGAAAATGAAATCAAGAGATTACTGTGAACTGTTCTACTTCACTAACAGCAGTCTAGAAGAAGCATCCCATACCATGTTCACGGCTGATGAAGACACGCTCGTTATGCTTCCCACATCTGATGGGTTACACAAATGGATACCTGCAGACGCTGCTCAAGACCCCAAAGCTCATATAGTGAAAGACGAGAATCTAATCTGGGAGCAATTCAATGAAGCAGCCCCTCACATGGTAACTTTAATGAAAGACAATGATTGGCCAGATGATAGGATAGACATGCATATTGCATTTTGGTCAGCATTGAAGACCCATCGCTGGCATCATGACTGTGACGTTCACAAGCAATGAGCTTTGCTACTTTACCAAGCTCAACAACAGCGAAGGTGGCATCTTGCCATAGGCAGCTCTAACAGCTGGAGTCTAGCCAAGATCAATCAAGATCCCCTAGATGAAGCCCGTGGAACAATCTTCAATCAATTCAGAATGCACCAAATCTCTCTCCAGGTATGTTAAACAACCTTTCTTTGATGACACACATCGCACCTACAGATCACTCCCCCCCAGCACTCGCATGTCATGTCCATTACTCCATAAGCAGAAACCAGCAACAGCATACTCGCTCCTTTAGCTCTCAGAAATGCTCTCCCCCAACCTCACCAGACTCCAGATATAGCAAGAAGCCTAGGATGTTTTGTGACCCCAGCTCGCCACTTCCATGTTGCGCCATATGCCTTGGATGTAACACCCACCGTGTTATTGAATGTTCTGCCACACTCATGTGGGATGGAAAACATGATACCAGAAAAACGCTCCTTGGTCCCACACCAATTGGCACCCCGACCAGGACCCCAAAAAAATCCTAGTCAACACAGCGCCTAAAGGCGCTGCTGCCACCCAACGGCATCAAAACCCAACTCACTCTCAAACAAAGAATTCCAAATCTATCTAGAACCTTGTCTCTTGATACTGAATCAGAACAAAAAAGATGGTAATAGGGAAAACACGTAGCATGAGCTTCGGCTCCAAATCACCAGTCTCTCAAAACCCCTCCCCAACAATGCCAGGTGGACCCTCTGCAAAAAGAATAATGAGATCTACAAATGTAATATTGACCCCAACAGAAATTGAAGCACAACCCAGCACTGTCACAGATGCTGCCAGTGCACACCTATACCTCAAAAAAAAGAGCCTATGCCATGCGACCAAACCATACACTATTACTCACTTAATTTTGGTCCTTTTACAGATCACGCAAATATCCGGTTCCATTCCTCTACCAGTACTAACAGCCATTAGATCAGTTGTATTCCTCCTCAAACAACATGTAATAGACGAAATATCAATGGCAGCAGCTCAACAAATTGCCCAGACAGTAGCCAGACAAGTCTCGGACTCGGTTACCACAAAACTGGTTGACCACATCGTTGCCACAATAGCCCCGCAAGTGGCTCATTTACTGACGGCCTCCGAAAAACTAGAAAACTTGATTGAAAAAACTGAAAACCCCAAAACCCTAATAAATGAAGTAGACCAGGATACAGACACTAACCCAGTAACCCCCAAAATCATAGATCATATCACAACTGCCATGGCCCCACAGCTAGAACGACTATCCTCCACCTCAAGTTCGCTATCCAAATCCCTAGAAGAAGCCACCAAGATATACTGGAAATTAGACGAACAAGTAGACCTAGACCACGACATTAATGCGGCAGCGGAGCGCATCACTAACACAACAGACACCATTTGCAGTGCTATCAAAGATTGCCACAACTCCATCAACCTCCTCTCCGCCTCCCTCAAATTGACACAGGAATCCATCAACACAACTATCGACCCAACTGGCCACCTCCCCACCTGCCACATCAAAACCGCCATTATTTAGAGAGGTAACCTCGACCCATGCCCCAAACCAGACTATGCGACTACAACACAACTCACGAGGTGGGCCCCCAAATATTCAAGTATTCACTCGCCAAGTCACACCGCACACAAAGTCAATCAGCAAAACCCAGAACCAAATCCAATTGATAGACAAAGCCTTGGCCAGATCCGCTATATGCGCCAGACAGATCCTCCTAGACCCAACACCTGGCAACATGGTCTTTCCTCCCGTCATCAACCATGAGGATGCCCTAAAAAGAATTCAGACTGCCATCCACTCGGCACTTGCCCCAGGCAGCTACAAGGGCACCATCAAAGCCCTGCTATAAATGCACAACGGGGGATTAATAGTAGAATTGGACAGTGAAGAGATGGTGAACAAACTAAAGGAAAACTCTACCCAAAAGAGATTCCTTCAAGGTCTCGACTTCTCAGTCACTCTTAAAGACAGAACCTATACTTTAATAGTGCAATATGTCCCCGTCAACCTACTCATTGAACGTCCAGGGCTCCTCCAACTGGTAGAAGGCAAGAACCACCTAGACGACAACTCACTAGTCTCCATGCGATGGATCAAACCACCACACAAACACTCGCCCACTCAAATGATGGCCTTCGCAATACTCCAAGTCAACAACGCGACAACTGCCAACAAACTGATTAAAAGCGGGTTATACATTGACCAACAACTGATCCGAGTCAAAAAGGACCAGAAGGAGCCCACCCAATGCGCAAAATGCCAACGTTATGGTCATATTGCCTACAACTGTAGTGCAAACAGGGATGTATGCGGTACATGCGCTGACAATCACAGAACAATTGACTGCAATGCCTACAAAACATTCAGATGTGTCAGCTGTCGCAACAACGATCATGCCAGCTGGAGCAGAAATTGCCCAGAATTTGAATGAAGATGCTCCGAACTACGCACCAAATATCCAGAAAACTCTCTACCTTACTTCCCTACAACCAAATCCTGGACCCACACCGCCCTCCCCCCCTAAAGCTACACCCTACAAGAAGACAGTTGAACCTCCACCATCATCATCAAGTAATGCAAAGGAACCCCAGTGCCTCCACCAAACCACCCTATAATCCATCACCAAGTCTGGAATGCAACCCACACCCCCACCCAAGACCCAGGATACCAAGACCCCTTGCATGCTAGCTCCTCACCCACTAACACTAACCCCTACCAACAAATTCGCTTCACTCCCAGCAGACAACCAGACACTGACACCGACATCAACCTCAACCTCAACCTCTGCATCCTCAACCCCGACCCAATCATACACGCCTCTGTGGTTCCTTCCATCATCGCTATTGTCCCCTCCAGCCAAGGAACCCTCCAACCCACCCATAGTCCATGTCTGAACACCCGGACCCAGCACCTGCTCAACTACACATATGGCAACAAAACCTCAACAATTCACATGCCGCACAAGAATCCATCCTCAATGGTCCGACAGCCCAGAAATGGGACATCCTCGCCTTTCAGGAAGCCTGTGAGGATCGCCTCCGCAACACCAAATTCAACAGACAATGGCATACTCTATACCCTATGCAGCACTATACTCACCCTGAACAGAAAACCTGTGCCGTCACACTAGTCAGTACCTCACTGAATACTAACGACTGGAAACAAATATCCTTCCCCTCCTCTGACGTGGTCATCATCCAATTTCCCAGAACCTTCGGCAACTGCACAATATTCAATATTTACAACAACGGCAAAGGACAGCACACAATTCAAGCCATGGACACGTATCTATCAGCCAACATTGCCACAATACACCCTACCATCAGTGATCACATGATCTGGCTTGGGGACTTTAACTGCCATCATCCACTATGGGAAGAAGAACGAAATGAGCACCTGATCGATTACAACGCAGCACAACCTCTCATAGACCTTATCGCAGAATATGGGATGAATCAGCCGCTACCCAAAGGACAGCCCACCCTCCAAGCCTCGAACAGTGGTAATTGGACCCACCCTGACAACGTCTTCTGTACAGACCACTCCACGGAAATATTTAATGAACAAACCCAGCCTTGCGAGGACCCAAAACGGACCATGTACCTATTCTTAGCATCTTAGAACTAACTGTACCCAGGATTACACAGGATCAAACATGTAACTACCGAGGAACAGACTGGGACAAATTCAAGGAAACCCTAACCAAATGTCTAGACACATGACCAGCCCCGGCACCCCTTCGCACAGACGCAGAATTTCAGCTTGCTGTGCAAAACCTGGCAACCATGCTTGAAGAAGTTATCTCAGAAGTAGTTCCCCTATCTAAACCTTGTCCCCACTTCGAAAAGGTGGTGGACACATGAACTCACCATGCTATGTCGACAGGTCAACAAAGCCACCCATACCGCACACAAGATAAGAGCTCTCCCCCTGCACCCATGTCACTGCTAAATTCAAGCGCCTCCGAAATCACTATGCGAAAGAAATTTTCAAAACCAAAAAACAACACTGGGTCAACTGGCTCGAAGGAATCTCAGGTAATGACATTTGGATCGCTAACAAATACATTTCAGCCGAACCGACCAATGGCAGCAAAACTTGAATCCCCACTCTCTCCATCCAACAGGCCGATGGATCCACACTCAAGGCCACCAGCAATGCTGAGAAAAGCATCGAACTAGCTAAATCGTCTTTCCCGCAATGCCCCAACACATCATCTGTCCCAATAGATTATGAATACCCTGACCCCATTGCCCCCATGGTACCAATCATGGCCGATGAGATCAAACACAATATCCAAAAACTCAGTCCCTTCAAAGCCCCTGGACCCGACAGCATATGTAATGTGGTGTTCAAGCAATGCGCAGACCTGCTCACCCCCTTCCTTCTCCCACTCTTTAACACCACCATCGACCTTCGCACCTACTACCAACCCTGGCGTCAATTCATGACAGTAGTACTATGAAAACTAGGCAAGCCAGATTACACAGTAACCAAAGTGTATCGTCCCATTGCCCTCCTCAATACCATGTGTAAACTACCAATGGCAGTCATAGCAGATCAAATGACCTTTTACCTCGAACACCATCAACTTCTACCAGCAACTCACTTTGGAGGCCGCCCAGGCCGATCCACCACCGACTCGCTCCACCTCCTAGAAGAAACAATCAGGAACGCCTGAAGGGTGAAGAAAGTAGCATCAGTACTCTTTCTCAATATCGAAGGAACATTTCCGAACACAGTTATGGACTGCCTACTACACAACATGAAAACCCACTGCCTCCCAAAGGCCATGATCGATTTTACAGAACGACAGACACACCTTCAATTCAATGACTTCAAATCTGATTGGTTCCCGGTAACAAATGGCATTGGCCAAGGCGACCCCCTCTCAATGATATTGTACATTATATATAACACTGATTTAGTAGATGTGGCCAAACACAGCGGCAAACAGGAATCGACTCTCACCTTCGTCGACAACACAGTGTTCATTGCCATCAGCGCATCCTTCCACAAAACACACCGCACCCTTGAATGAATGCTTGAAAGAGAAGGCTGGTGGCTATGACTGGTCAAGAGACCATAATTCAAAATTCGAAAACAAGTAAATTCGCCTTAATTGATTTCTCCAAGAACAGAACAAAGACACGCCCACCCATGATCATCAGAGGAAGTACCATTCACCCGTCTGCCACTCACAAGTTTTTAGGTGTCATTTTAGATCAAGAACTAAGGTGGAAAGCTTACATCGCCTACGCCATCACTAAAGGTACCAAGTATGCACTGCAATTACGACGTCTCTCCTCAACCGCTAATGGGATGCCAATGAAACTAACTCGCCAACTCTATCAAGCAGTCGCCATCCCAAAAATGTTATATGTGGCAGATGTATGGTTTACACCGGCCTATCACACTGATGTTCCTTCACAGGACGCCCTTTTCCACCAAGCCTTGATCGTCAAGACTTGGCTGGTCGCCCTGGAGAAAAGTTCTACTACACTCAGCAGACCTGGACGTGATGCACATGTCGCGGATGACGTATCGTCCGACGGCGAGCTCATCGAGATGAACGAGACCTCCTCGTCCTGTGCCGACAACGAGGAGAGTCTTGCTCCCATTCCTAACTCCACCCGTCCCAGCTCACGCATCGTGCAGCTGCACCTCTTGCACATTCACAAACTCGCGGAGGACATCGCGGACCCATGGACCCATAAGTACATCCCGCAACTTATCCCGTCACTTATCTTCACCTGCACCACCGACGCACTTGAGGAGCCGGACGACAATGGCCTCTTCGACAAACTTACCCCTTCCCCTTTTCGGCCTTCGCCAGTGCAAACTCACGTATGAAACCCTTCCTTTCCATGGCCACTACGACAACTCACCTGTCCAGCGCCTTACTGCGCTCACCAGGTTCCTTACAGGTGCCATGGCCTCTCAATCCATCAGGGAGCTCGGAATAGAGAAGGCGGCCTTCCATACCACTCGGCCGAGTGCTATTTTTCATTATGATACTTCTACTTACAATCTGCACGTTCCCCGAGGCACTTCGCGCCTTCACACCCGTATGTACGAACTCAAAAATATGCGCACCACAGCGCGCAACATCCTTCAGCAAACTCATGCAACTCTGACCCCATTCCAATCGCAGGATTGCTCGCAGGAGCAACTCCTGCTCATCGTTGTCGACGGTGTCCGCTGCATCCCTGCCAGCGTGAACCGTGCCACCTTCTTTCATCAACTTTGTCCCTCCGCTAACCCTCTCTTCTCATACGAAGAAGTCGCATTCTTGCGATTGGCCGCAGGACTTTTCCGTTTCTTCAGGTACTTCATACTCGCGGATGCTATTGACGACCTCTTGCAATGTTCTCTCCCTGACAAGGACATTATTTTTATTTTGTTACAGAACTACCTACTCGACGATCTCCGTGGTACTAACGTCGTTCCCACTACTAGTACTAAGTTTGTCTTGTCTCTCGCTGAAGCTAAGTACAATCGGGACTACGATGCCAAGCGCGTTGGTCCTTACTACTTAGAATAGATACATTTGTTTTTGTTTTTTTACAATGTTTTTGTTTTTTTGTACACATACATACATATGACGTGTTTGAGTTTTTCAAATATTCCGATCGAATCTTGTACTTATATCACACGATCGTTTTCATTTTTAAACTTCTGTTGCTTCTGACGTGTGAAATCAAAGTTCTTGATAGAAGTTTCATTTTTTTTCTAAGTACCTGATGTCAACCCCTATACATGTATGTAATGAATCTAAAATTGATTCATTGAAAGACTAAGAAGCTTGGGACTGTTAGTACGAAATTTTTTACTAAATCTTTGAATATTCTGGTTCAATAACAAGTACCCAAAGTCAATATCCCCTATAAGCCTATTAAAACAACTGTAATACCAAATATTTCAACAAACCAAAGAATTTCAACTGAGTTCAGAACATACTGGGAGCCTCCCTAGCAGTTTTTGGCATTCAAAATTCACAAATAATTCAACGTATCTCTTATCAACATATCCCCTAGTAAAGAACGTGCCACTTAGTCTGACAAGTGTCAGTCAAATATAAATTTGACAAGCACCGGTCCACAAGCCAAAGACCCTTAACAACCTTTGTCAATTTAAATTTGACAAGCCAAGCCCCACAATTGAATTGTAGACAGACGTCAGAATATACACAACCTTCCGTCTAGATTATACCCTTAGCAACAATACATTCAGCAGATATGCACCATTTAGAAACTGATAACCCATACTACGGACTTTATGTACGAGCCGAAAACATCTATACAGATTCCGAAGAAGATAGGGAAGAAACTTGTAAAACAGAATATTCAGAAGAAAAGGATGAAATAGTTATACGAACCGATAGTATTTCAGAACATTTTGAGCCGGGAGATTCAATATGGATAATGACTAATGATGAAGAAGAAAGTGAGGGAATATTCTGGACTCCTCCTAATAATGGTTCAGATTATGAGCAAGATAGCCAGAGCAAAGCAAGCTCATTTACAATGTACAAGAAAGTGGATAAGAAAGTACGACCAGTTCCGGGAGTATTTCCCCAGGAAGCTCAAGTAGTGAGGCAAATTCCAAATGACCCTTTAGAAACACTCGCACCACTATCTCCTAACCCTCCTAATGTAATTCCTACCAAGAAACTTACTGCAGAACGGCTTGAAGCTTTGAATATCAATTCTAAGGGATTCTTACGCCCAGAAGAAGAGAGATTATTTCGACATATTATGTGGCTACACCAGGATGCACTAGCATTTGAAGATACAGATAGAGGTACTTTGAAAGAATCTTACTTTTCACCTTATATTATTCCTACTGTTCCACATATCCCATGGGAATACAAGAATATTCCAATTCCACCAGGGATACGAAGCAAAGTTATAGAAGTACTCAAGCTCAAAATTGATGCAGGAGTCTATGAATCAAGTCAGTCTGCATACCGATCACGATGGTTTTGTGTGGTTAAAAAGAATGGAAAGCTAAGAATAGTCCATGATTTGCAGCCTTTGAATAAAGTTACAATTCGTGATGCTGGATTACCCCCTATTCTTGATGATTTTGTAGAACCCTTTGCAGGAGCGCAATGTTACACGGTGTTTGATTTATTCTGGGGATTTGATGCTAGAAAACTTCACCCAATAAGTAGAGATCTTACTGCATTCCTAACTCCCCTAGGACTACTTCGTATTACTTCACTGCCCACCGGATTCACCAACTCTCCTGCAGAATTTCAGAAATGCATGACCTTTGTTCTTAAAGATGAAATTCCTGACAAAGCCAACATATTTATAGATGACCTTCCAATCAAAGGCCCTACAACTATATTTCCTGATGAGCAAGGAGAACCTGCAGTATTGGCCGAAAACTCAGGAATACGAAAGTTTATTTGGTCACACGCCCTGGATGTTCATCGAATTATGCATCGTATCAAGGAAGCTGGTGCTACATTTTCAGCACTTAAGATTCAATTGTGTCTCCCAGAAGTTCTGATTGTTGGACAAACCTGTACCCCTGAAGGACGTATACCTGACAAAACTAAGGTGGACAAGATTCTAAATTGGCCTGACTTAACAACTCCAAAGGAAGCTCGAGCATTCCTAGGATTATGTGGTACTGTTCGTATTTGGATTCCTGGATACTCTACATTAGCAAGACCCTTAAGCGAACTATGGAGAAAGGACATAGAGTTTATTTGGGATGAAAGACGGAAGGAAGCTTTTGAAACATTGAAGAAATTGGTTGCTTCAGCACCAGCCCTAAGGTCAATTAACTATACTTCAGACTTACCAGTAATACTATCAGTAGACTCCAGCTATATGGCAGCAGGAATTATCTTATCTCAGATCGATGAGAATGGACGTAAGCGACCTGCGAGATACGGATCATTACCATTTAATGAAGTAGAAGCCCGTTATTCCCAGCCAAAACTGGAACTATATGGACTTTACCGAGCACTTCGTCATTTCCGTCTATATATCATTGGTGTGAAAGTTCTTCATGTAGAAGTTGATGCCAAGTATATCAAAGGGATGTTAAATGAGCCTGACCTTCAACCAAATGCAGCTATTAATCGGTGGATTCAAGGAATCCTGTTATTTGATTTCACACTTATTCACGTACCTGCCACCAAATTCAAAGGACCAGATGCATTATCAAGAAGAGGTTTAGGAGAAGGAGAAAGTATTGATTTGCAAGATGATTCATGGTTAGATGAGTTAGCATTATATAGTGGAGTTTCCCAAGCCTGTTTCCGAGCCACAGTATCACCACAACGAAAAGTGACATCTTTTCCTGTAGTATTCATGGGAACCAGTGTTCAGGAACAAAACCTAAAGGATATTTTCAAGTTTCTGACTACCCTAGAAACACCGCCCTTCAAAAGTATTTCAGCAAAGAAAAGATTTCTGAAGAAAGCTGTCAGGTTCTTTGTGCAGAATGGAAGAATGTATAAGAGAATGCAGGCTAGACCGCCCCTATTAGTAGTTTTTGATCCAGAAAAGCGTGCGACTATCCTGAATCAGGCACATGAAGAACTTGGACATAGAGGAGAAGCTGCCACCTGGGAGACAATTCGGCTTAGGTTTTTCTGGCCCTACTTATTTTCAGATGTACGGCATCATGTACAATCATGTCACCCCTGTCAGATACGAAGCACTACAAAGATGCACATTCCTATCACAGTATCTACTCCATCCACAATCTTTGTGAAAGTATACATTGATATCATGCACATGCCTCCAGCTCAAGGATTCAAGTATATTGTACTAGCTAGAGATGATTTATCACGCTATGTAGAAGGACGACCTCTTAAGGCACCTACTGCCAAGGCCCTTAGCAAGTTTTTCTGGGAAGATCTTTATTGTAGATACGGTGCCCTCGGACAAGTTACCACAGATAATGGACCAGAAGTACAGGGAGCATTTTCAGCCCTTATGAAGAGAGTAAATATCCCACATATCACCATCTCGCCCTATAATTCTCAGGCTAACGGAGTAGTTGAAAGAGGTCATTTCATATTTAGAGAAGCACTAGTGAAAGCATGTAATGACAACCTCACACAATGGCCTCAGAAGATTCCCCAAACCTTATTTGCAGATCGTGTCACCACAAGCCGAGTAACTGGATTCTCTGCTTTCTATCTAGTTCATGGAGTTCACCCAGTATTGCCCTTTGACTTAGCAGAAGCTACATTCATGGTTGATGGATTTACAAGCGGAATGACATCAGTTGAGTTACTAGCACTGAGAATAAGACAGTTGGAAAGACGACCCGAGGACTTAGAACAAGCAGCTGAAACACTGAAGAATGCTCGGTTCAAATCAAAAGAGCAGTTTGAAAGGAGATACTCAAAGCGATTAAGACGGGAGGCATATCAGACAGGAGATCTAGTACTTGTACGTAACACCCGAATAGAAAAGGAACTGAACCGAAAGACAAAACCCCGCTATCTCGGCCCATATAAAGTAGAACGGAGAACTCAGGGAGGATCATATGTACTAAGTGAAATGGACGGAACAATATCCCGCCGCGGAGTTGCTGCATTTAGACTTTTACCATATATAACAAGAAACTCCCAGCAACTGCGAACACTTTCCCAGGGAATTGAAGAAGCTGAGGAAGAACATTTTACCCCTGACCCTTGATGGAAGCCAATTATTCCCTACAGCAGCTAAAAACTTGGCATCGCCAAGCTCGTATTAACCTACGTCAAATTACAGTCATATGGGTAGGCCATGTACTGGAAAAACATACACAACTAGAAGGAAGTGGGGACATTTTGTTGGAACCTGGAAATGCATATCTTACAGACCCATTAAACTCGGAAGAACGGGATACATTACCAAATTACCCTAACTGGATTTGCTCAATTTGCGCTACCTTAGAACAACGGGCCCAGAACGCCGAAGCCCATCTAAAAGAAATTGATAGGATAGAAGTTCAGTCGTGGGTAACATTCCCACTAGATTAGTTTTTTTCTTAAGCTTCCCCAAAGTTTTTTTTGTAATAAACCATATACCCGCAGAAGAACGCTTATTGCGTGAAACGCAGTCGGCCTGCTTAGTTTTGTTTATACATCATGTACACTGTTCACACTCGGCCTTATTTTCTGGGTATTTACTGACTACACTTGTACTATGGGATTTGGGATACCAGCGGCTTGTAAGGAGACACTGCACCACATGTTACCTATTATTTCATTGGTTACTGCGCGCTGAGAGGCAATTAATTGAGCCGGAACCTAAATTAATGATGGAACCTTAATTTCGGCAACAGAGAGAATGTGTACTTTAAAAACTTAAAACCCTAGCGGCATTAATTAGACAAACAGCGCATTTTTCATTTACAATTCATTAGGGGCCGGATCGCGGAACTTTCAAATTTTACTTGATTAAGTAATATTTTTCAATCCCTGAGGACCCTGTCCAGCTCTCATATAAAGGACGCCAAAATTTGAAGTCATTTCTCAGTTTTCCGCTGGCATCCAACAGCGCTACTCAATATCACTCTTTTGCTCACAAATCATTTTTCTTCTCTTTCTTTAAAATCATGTTATTCCGCCGCCGCCGCCCCACATTTGTGGACCCCTCCCATAAATATCCCCTCATCCACACCAAGCCAGACCGAGGCACTAGCGTGTTGGATCGTGAATGGACGTATACGCACATGTGCCACAGCCACTGCGCCCATATCGCATTCGGCTCACTCATACACTTGGAAGATTCATCCTCCTGCCATCAGTTCCACATTGGGCGAATTTCGGAAGTAGTGGCGCAATACAAGAACGTCCTCATCGTCAATGTCACTACATTTAACCATGATGCTAGGGATCCATATAACCCGCCACCTGTCCGCCTTACCCTGCCTACTGGCATCATTTCCCTTCCCAAACACCTTCGCTTTATACGCTGGTGCAAGAAGCGTACTAATCGCCTCCCAGCATATGAGATCAAGCCGCTCATGCAGTCTCTTAAGGACCTGAGTCAGTTGTTTGAGGGAAATGAGAGTTTTGAGAACAGCAGAGTTGATCTTGGAGGTGCATTTTTGGTACGAAATTCTCAGGACCGCTACCAAGATGATCTATTGAGACATGTTAGGAATTTAGACCCATTGTCTGACTCTAGCTTGACACACACATCCCTTTTCTCAGCTACTAGCTAATCCCTTCCAGTAGAAATACATCATTCTTTTGTTACCTGTGTTTCCGCATACCTACGTAAAGTAGACTTTTTCCAAACAAACACGTATCGCAACAACGGGAGCTACCTATGTCAATCCTGAATCTCATTCTGTACACTATTTACGCACTTGCACTATACATCCTAGCAAGTAAAAATACAAACTACCTGGAAATTATTGAAAACGACAGATATTCAAGTACCGCTATCCTTCTTGGAGAACAATGAATCACGCAACACGAATCGAACAGGGCCTGGAAATGAATCCTCACCCTGAACCTGGTTGTCTTCCTACCCAATTTCTTCGTCTTGGCAAAATTTATTCGGATGAGGAGCACCTTCGGAGCCAGTTGACTATAGTGGAAAGTCAAATAGATAGGTTAGGAAGTTCACTTACGTGGCATGCTAAAGAAATGCATCCACATGGAGACCCACATTATCAGGTAGACTTGAGACCTTATCGAGGTGATAGAATGAGGGGCGCATATCTTTTTAGATGGCGATGTCCTACATGCAACTACATCTTCAATCTTGCGCAACAACTGAATGAAACATTGGATGAAGTAGAAAGGGAGATACGGGAATCCCAACAAGTAGATATCCTTGAGGAGCTCCCTCCACTACCAAGTAACAATCTGATGACCAACCCATTACGATACCCATTCCCCAATACCACAGATGAGCTAAACCCAGCCAGCTCCTAGACACCCACCCCCTGCAAATTCACAATCGGGGACGATTGATTTCTCAGTTTCCACCAGATGACCTGCACCAAACCGGTTCGGTGCATGGATGACTAATGCTCTCTCACGAGCCCGATACCCTAGAAATCATTATGAACAATCTTCCTTTACTTTATGGTTCAGACTGCAGTTCAGATAGTATTTTCATTTCTCAGACAGACTCAGATAGGCTGAATATTCTTGTATATTTAATTTTGCGGTAAATTCTGCTTAGTCAGCAATAACAATGACTCAGACTGAATCCCACACATGTCAAGTAACAGTGTAAAATAGTTCTTGCATAATTTGCCTTGTGGGAACTTTCTTAACACTCTAAATACACGGCTCGCGTCATTTCTACGGTCAATAAAGTAACATCATAACAAGACACCAACAAATAACATAATCAGTCTGTTACTTAATATTTGTCACATGATACTAAGTTATATGACTCTAACAGTCAGGTGACCTATGACCCTAAACCAAATCATGACAAAGCAACCTTTTTGAGATGACTAAAGCTTGATGACACAAATTATAAAGCACATGACTACAGTAAATAGTATTGGTACAATCTGACTAAGCCTATTCCCCTTAGAACGTGGGAAATAGTAACACAGCCACCATAATTTATCTATATAAGACCCCACTTTTTGCCAATAAAAAAAGCATATAGGGAACTTTTAAGCCCCACAAAATAAATTTGAGTGTGAAGTGTGATCAGTATCAACAACAGTGACAAGAGCTGTTAAGCAACTAACTGAGAGGTCATTGTAAGCAACATCCAGCAATACCTTTAGCTCATCGTCAACAACTGTGAAATATCTTGAGCTCACTGTGCTCAACAGTGAGCAAACTTTTTCTTTGATTTTCTACTGGTGAACCTCTAGTCTCTTTCTTTTCTTTTCTTTCTTCTTTCTCTCTTTCTTTTTCTGTTTCTTTCTTTGTTTCTTTCTTTTCATTTGTCTCTTTTTCTGTTCAGTTCGTTCACGTCTCAGTGTTATTGTCTGAATTTGTTTCAAGATCTTTGTGTTGTCTTTACGTCCATCTAAGCACCGGCTTAGTGGGAAGACTTCAGAAGTTGATAGTGACGCTTGACCTCACTCATCTGAGTAGTGATACTGAGCCAGGGTTTTCTTTGTCTGCTAGACTTTAGTTGTTGAATAGGGGACTTGGTACTGAAATCCAAGGACGTCCGTTCCTGATTCTGTTTAATACTCATCGTGAGTTCCTTGGCAGCAGGTTCAATAGTGAACTAAGAGTTCTACTGATCACTGATTAGTCCTGACCTTTGATTCTACCTGTTTGTGCTGAGGGGGTGATTGCTATAATTTCGCACGACTTTCTGTAGTAAATTTATTACAAGAAGCATTGTTACTGAAGGAAGGGTTTCTCTTATCAATCTATTTCTTTTTTTATCAGTACCATACTGTTGGGCTGACTTTTCTCTGTTCTCTAAACACTGCCATACCGTTAGAGTGAATCAATTTCTTTTTTGTTATCACCATACTGTTGGGCTGACTACATTCTGTCTATTTTATTTTCTATTGCGTCCATACTGTTGGATTGACTGGTATTGCTACTGACCTCACAGGAAGTACTTTTGTCTGAACATAGCTTAGTAAAGTGAAAACAGCCACCCACGAACAACCACATTATCAGTCATTGGTATTTGTCTGAATCACTGACCGTGGAGATTTTTGATTTTGTAGGTGTTTATCTATAGATCATCTATCTAAGAAGACAGTGCACTTGCAGCAGGCCAAGAAGCCCTACAGGCTTTTGCCCAAATATACCATTGCTTTTTGTATAGATTAGTTCACATCAAAGTTTCCTGTATTCAGATAACCTCCTAGTCACCTTTTTTCTTCTTCCACAAACACCTAGCATCAAAAGGCATAGAACTAGAATTATAGAGATCACCTGAGGCTCCCACACTGTTAGGCCTGTTAGATATACTACTGTGTCGGTGTGTCATGTCTAAGTCGAGTGGCTTCCAGCAATTCCTTGCCAGTACAAATAAATGTGAATATTTATGTGCCTTTGCAAGCTTACCTGGCAATAACCTAACACATTCGGACATAGTGCCAATGTTCCTGATCTATTCATAAATGCTGGTGGCTAGGAAAGCCCTGTGCTTATGTCAGACTAGGAAACCATCTATTGTAGCCTGAAATGCTTACATAGTGAAGTATAGAATATACATCAATCGTGACCTGAGACCTCTAGGATATCTTGCAAGGTGTGAGACTCCTCTTCTGCCAATTGCTCATTGTCTTCTTCCTCCTCCAGGTCCTCAAGCCTGTCCTCATCCTCACTTAAAGTCCCCAAGGCCAATGACTCATTAACAGTAGCAGGACATAGTTTATGAGGCACCTGAACTGATGGAGACAATGCACACTCTCTTGGACCATTGTGCAGGGCCTGCCCAGGGATCAGTGTCCTGGAAAACCCAGGTAGCCCCACAATGTCTCACAGCTGCTGGCAGTGATGATCCAGGAAGCAGCCATGTGTGTTCCAGAGGATCTGTACTTGATGGGCCAACCCTGGGTGCAGCATGTGCAATAGCATCTTGCATTCCTCCAGGTAATGTCTCTCATCCACCTGTGACTCCCACGTAAGGACTCTAATTAGAGGTGCTAATACATAATGTCATCACATCTAAAATGATACAAACACATCAATGGCAAGCCTCCCTCTATATCTCCTCAATAATTAAGGATTTATAATGAGAAAGAGTAGTTGTAGCCTAGGGGGACGTTGGCACTGACGTACTTAATGTTCCTGATGTTTGACTGAGCCCGCCTGCCGCCCAAACTTTCATGCCCAACGTGTCACACAGTGAGCTCAAATATCTTGCGTTAAACTGTACGTATCAAGGGCACATTTTGATAGTAAACATAATGACAATTTGTACAGTTCATTACGACACTACAGTGGGTAATCTATGCTACTCCTCCAAGTCAGTATGGTCAAGAAGTTTGAGCCGCAAAAGGTCTTCAGTGATGATCAAGACATCCTGCAACATTTTTGAGGCCTCCTCTGCAATCTCATCATCCTCCTCCTCCTCCTCCAGCTCTTCTTAACTATCGACACCTACATGAGATGCATGGTTATGTGTGGGGATTTGCACATTAGGTACACTTGCATTCTCCCCAAGACCTGTGTGTGTACTTACACCAGGGGTGAGTGTTCCACTGAAGCCAGTGAGTTGAGATATATCTTGAAGCTGCTTCAGATGGCATGAGTTGAACCGGCCTCGAATATTGCACAGAATGGAAATTTAATGAGTGAGGGCTGGGCTAGTAGCCCTCAGCTGCTCCTTGGACACCTGTAGATAATTATCTTCATCTTGAATATATGTCATGAGACGATGGATCTTGACATTCAGACGAGAGATTTCCTCTTGTGCGCAACAGATCTTGAAGTGAAGGTCCATTACACTGTGTGCCACAGGTGAAGACCAAGGGGATTGAGAAATATCTGCACATGTGTTGCATAGCAGATCAAAGTCTGCAAGAAATGTGTAATCGACAATCTCCTCCCACTTGAGGGTTTTCTGAGGAGGGGACATTGTACTGGCAACAGTGTTATAAGTGCTGAGAGTGGATTTGATGGCAGCAGAGTGTGTCTGCAATGCCTTCGCAATATGTTTGCGCAGCTTGTAACCTTAACAAACATCATAATTAGCATTCAAAGGAAATAGTGTCACCAAAACTCACCTGTCCCTGCCCTATTAATCTTTGTAAGTTCGAAAATACACATGACTATCAACCCTTCCAAACAATTCAGCATGTGCTGATACTTTCTGTTAGCCACGAGCCTTCCCACCCTCTACCACTCTGCATCCTCCGGAACCTAATGTGTGATGATATCAAGCTTGATCTCTAATGCTTGAACCATTTTAATATCCTTCTCGTAGTCCTCAAGAGCATGGCATCATGCACTCTCAGCTTTGCACGTGTTTCAAACCTGCATGTCATATGAGGCAGCAGTGGCATCATGGTGAAGGGCTTGGCTGTTGCAGCCTGAAGTGTAAGACTGTGTGAATGGTGTGTCAGCAACAAAAGGTATATATAATAACAATCAAAGACTCACTCATTCACACTGAGGTTAACTAACTTCTGCCAGTATTCCATTTGGAAGGTTTCTTCATCAGACTCTCTTGTGAGACCTTTGAGATAGACTTTCTCCTCTTCCATGTCAAGAGCTTGTCTATAGTTACTATATAAAAAGTTCACTAGCCGCATAATCATTATGTCACCCATTGTTCGCATGTTCAAATTAAAGACACTCACAAAGATTCGTGTATACCTTGAAGTCGTCATTATGTTCAAAATACAAGTCAATGGCCTGCTGATGATGAAATAGACTGGCATAACGGAGAGATGATGCAAGAGAATTTGACTTTGAGAATGTGCGTTCGCATGTCTCCAAGTCCTCAATTCCAAGACCTTTGATGTACGTTGTCAGTGAAACGAGCTGACATAAATGTCTGTAGGCATGTCTATGGAATGCACCAACAAGACAAGTGTAATGTAGTGAGTGTGCAAGAGGTCCGAGGGAGCTATTGTCGAGTGTAGTCTTAAGCTAACACCTGATATCACACCCACCCCCCAAATTGCCACCAAACATGTCGAGTAACTTGGAAACGACTACTAAAGGGTATTTTGCACTGTAAGAACATCTGTTATGAATTACAAAAGTAGACAGAATATATGACTCACAGTTCCCCACTCTGCACCATGTCTACAATGAGTAGACAAAAACCATGGCGGCGGATGGCCACGAAAATACCTGTTTTATCGCGGCCTTCGCATGAATCATCTGCAGGTGCGTTCTAATAGACATTCAGTTATTGCTACCTAAGTTTTGTTAAGTACTTACCTTGTCACTCAAAATGCTCGCTAAGTCCTGTGAAAACTTGTCCACAAAGTTGCAAGACAAGTAACGGCTGCTGGTGAGTAACTGGCCAGTAGGAACTTCTGAAGATGCACCGAGAGTGTCATCTTTGTCGTCCAAAGATCGTTGAAGGACTCGCTTCAGGGAATCATTGCCGTCCATGGCATAGAGCATTGCAAAGGTTAAGTCTTCTTCGTTTATCAGCATGTAGGTGCATGTGGGACAAGAATGTCGAAGGCGCCAGTCAGGTGAGTTGCAGCTGATTGATTCCATTACTATTGCTTCTATGCTCTGTCTAATTTGTAGATATAAGTCGCACACAATTGAAAACTGGTGTGATAAATGTCTGTGAAATTCAGCCTGCATGTATTAAGCACTGAGTAGAAAGTCTGAACAAATGAGAAACATACCCCATGTAAGTCACACATTGTTTTTACAAATGCCTGGATAGATAGACACCGGAGGTGTGCCACACAATATATTTCAAGGGCTTCAATGGTTATGCCCACTACAGGCGATATTGGAGAGCAAGGTAAAATGCCTTGACATACGAGTGCAGATGCGATGGTGCGGTCCTTCAATGATATTTTGAGTATGGCTTTCTCAGCAGCTAAACAATCAATGAGTAAGCAAACATCAAAGCCACTGATCAATAACCAATCATCATTCACAAAATGCATCAACTATGGTCATCAACCATTTGTTGGAGTCAACCACTTCATTACTAGTACTAGTCTCCTCACTGTGCAATCAATCAAAGAAACTGTGGAAGCTCATCATTGACTTTTCTAGGCACCACACAAGGTAAGCTTCGCTCATAGCTGGGATCTGCTCACTGAAGGAAATATTCCTTCAAAGAACATGGTCCCAACGCATACAATTATTGACTTTCCGAACACCATGAAAACCATCCTGTGTGTACTGCATGTTAGTGACTGACTGTCCAGTAGTGCTGAAACATACACTCTCCAGACATCACTGAGAACTTCTCTTGCTTAGGTCATTGAACTCCCCACCAGCATGACTGGTGGGGAGTAAATCAGAGCTGCTCCAGATCTCACCAAAACTGATATTGTCTGAGTCTTCCTCAATTCCAGAGATGAAAGCAGGGCTGGCTCTAAGTCTTTTGAGAGCTCATTGCTCATTGGCCATCATCACTTTACATAACATTAGTATTCTCATTTTACACTACACTGAGACTTGCCTTTTAAACAGATTTCCCACCGCTCTTTGCAAGTAGCTGCCTGTTGAACCAATGCCCTATGCTTCAGCACCTTCAATGCATGGCTGACAGGCAGACCATGCTTATCCCGTGATAATCCTACATGTCGAATGGAATGCAAGGAGAGCTTGCTGTGAACTTGCACAGTGTTGGATTTTGGCATTTTTTGCAGGTATGATACAGAGGTACACATTTCCACTAGGCCAATAACAGCCATACTGAATGACTAATCAATACTATGCCTGCAAGCCTTCATCTCTCTCCCTGCCTTCTAGTATCAGCATCAAATGTTCATTCAAGATGTCCTCACGCCATCCCTTATCATCTACTAACTCCCACAATAATTATATCCAGGACTGACACATTTTATTTGAAGGTATGACACTATCAGGTATGTAAATGTCTTGTTCAAAGTTAGCTACATACTAATACTCGACTTAGAGTACAGGTTTATTGCCAGGTACTGTCACTTGGAGGCAGAAGACTGTTGACAAGTCAATCACATTGTCCAGTCCATGCCACCACACTTTGCACCCCACTAATGGTTCTTGCCCCAATCAAACAACTTCAGTGAGCTCTTTACTGGCCCAAAGCCCTTTCCCATCGCAAACATGACCTTCCATGGTCACACCTCCTTCCATTCCAGCTGCACAGCTCCCCTTCGATAGTATTGTGGTCCCCACACCCAGCAAGATCCAAGTACCACATGCCGGTCTTGAACTGGAAGGTTTCTGAGTAATTACAGTTGGACAAGAAGTCAGAATCTTCTACTGCTAGTAAGTATTCTCACTATTTCACCTCAAATATCACTAACTGTTGTTTAAGGGCAGATGTTGCTGAACAGACCAATTTCATTAGTGGCAATATTCAAAAATCATATCCTTCATTCCAGAAGGCACTTGAAGCATACACCACAAAATACAATGAAGGAAGAGTTTGAGCAGTCCCGATCCCTGGCGGGCCTTTCTGGCCATCTCCACCTTCACCTACTTTGTCCACTACATCAGATGACCTATGGTCACAGGTGGAGGACTTGTCAGATACCATGAGCCACTGTGGAATATAGATACCTTTAGAGTTCTCTTTATTCATAGTACCTTGACTCACCATAGTTTGGGCTAAATGAAATTGTAAGAGGGGGATTGTCTGATGTCAGGCTGCAGCTAATTCAGCTTGGTCATGGTTGGTTAGAAGAATGATAGAGAAGTTGGTGACCAATCTTGATGAAATAACTGTGATACTGGCACAGTGCAACCAGGTCAACATTGTTGCGATGGCCGATCCTTCCCAGCACCTAATACAAGGTTAGTAGTATCATACAAAGTTTTGACCTGAATTTGCAGCATTCAATTGGGTATATCACTTGGTTTTGCTGCAGAACAAACTACTTTGTATGGTGAGTACTCCATGATTTACCTATTTGCCATGCCCACCAAGCTGTGTCATATGCAGCTTACTACCTCTCATCAAGTTCCATTATTTCTGCCCATTTAAACAAATTTCAGTGCATGTGAGTGATTTCATTTTCGCACTGCACTCTAACAAGTTTTCATTTTTTTTTCACTCTATCCTAATAGGATGGTGCCATACTTAATATTGATACCGATTTGGCTTTCAGAAGGTTTGAAATTATTTTCCATTGAACTTTGAAGGTCACAGTTCTTTGAAGCTATTTTCTCTCTGAACTATTTCTTAGTCATGTCTCCTCCTTCCTGTGCTGACAAGTATGAGCTACGGTGTGTGCGAGGAATGATAGCTAGATGAGAAGGGGTGAAAATGGGGAGAAAGGGGGAAGTGGGGTAAAACTCAAATAGACTTCTGGATGTGAGTATAGATTCGGCCCAAGGGGATTGCTACTGAGAATGATTTCTCTAAGTAAAAGTGTGAGGGGAAACATAGAAACTAGTAAGAATGACTGAGACTAAAGAGAACACAAAAGCCAAAGCCAAAGCCAAAGCAATGCGAGCGAGCTGCCGAAAATGCAATGTGATATATGCATAGGTGAAGCACCAATAAGATGCAAGCGCGAGCGGCCGTGATGTGACAAAACGCAAAAGTGCACAGTTAAGCCAAAGGTGAGATGCAAAAGAGGCACCAAAAATGCAAGGGCGGGGCCAAGTGATGACAAGTGCCGAGAGCATTGGATATTATAGATACGTGAATACAAGACAATTGCTGCCGGTAGGAGTGCGTGCACGAGAGAGTACCAAAGATTTTAGATTCTTAGTCAAGACTTGTAGTTTTGTGTGTGAACAGGTGATGAATTCTGATGGGAGAGAGAAGTTACATGAAAATTCTAAGTATCCAATATATGTATGTGCACCTAAGCGATATTCGGAGCCGAGTAGGTAGCGAGATGTATGTAAATAGGGTCCATGACACATTTAATAAAAATATAAATGGAATAGCTTGGGAATTGTTGTTAGTCTAGTGTGAATCAAGTAATATATGCACCAATGAACCAGCGGAGGATATGGGTCTAGTGTGAATCAAGTAATATATGCACCAATGAACCAGCGGAGGATATGGATAGGACAGACAGAGGACAGGTGACAGATCTGAAGAGAAGCTGATGCTAGCCAAAGCGTGCATGAGAGCCGTGGCCATCGGCCAACAATGGAAGGCTTGTGCACTATACCAAGGGTAGCGTGCACTGCATTAGAACCAGAGGGACAACACAAAAAGGCCTATATGAGGCCGCAAAGACCATAGGTCTTACAATGGTTTCTCAGAAGTTGACTTTGATACCAGTGGAAACTTCATTGGTAGCGGTGGACCTCAATATTGCACAGGATCACTCAACATGAACGAGAGGATGTATACAATCTTCTAATGGCTGACTTCCTCCAACAGTATGAGCAGTAGGCTTGTACGCAAAATCAAAGTAAGTACTCATCTCTTCACATATCCACTGCTGTTATTGAATGTCCTGCAGATCTTATCCAGTACAAGTCATTGGAAGCTGTGTGGAAACAAGTTCGAAGATTCATTGTCCATGGACTTAGTATGAGGCTTCATAACTTGGACATGTGATACCCATCTAATGTCTTTGACAGTCACAGTAACTGGGAAAAAGGATATCACAATGAATTATAACAACTACAACACGGCAGTTGTTGAAATGCACACATTTCAGCTTGTAGGATGGCCCACAGGTGTCAACTTCACCAGTCCCTCGAACATTGGGACAGTCAGTGACATCCAGAAGCTTCATGATGTATTGAAGGGCCGGTCATGCTACTGGACTGCTCTGATACCCGCAGAAGTCAAAGCCCACACTGCAAAACTCAATGCACATTGTTCGGCGGGCGAAGTTGTTCAGCAGCCACGCAAGAAATGTTCGGATGTCGGGAAGTCTTGCAAGTGCAAGGCTCTGTCAACCATGGGTTATATGGGCAAGAAGAACAAACAGTCATCAAAGAAGGCCAAAAAGAATCCTTCCCAGGATTGCAAGGCTCCCAAAAGCACAGAGTTCATTGTCTTATCTGATGAGGAAGAGGACTTGGAGGAGTAGCATAGATCACCCGCTGTAGTGTTGTAATGAACTGTACAAATTGTCATTATGTTTACTGTCAAAATGTACCCTCAATATGTGCAGTGTAATGTGAGATATTCGAGCTCACTGTGTGACATGTTGGGCACAAAAGTTTGGGTGGCGGGCAGGCTCAGCCAAACATCAGGAACATTAAGTATGTCAGTGCTGACGTCCCCCTAGGCTACAGCTACTCTTTCTCATTATAAGTCCTTAATTATTAAGGAGATATAGAGGGAGGCTTGCCATTGATGTGTTTGTGTTATTTTAGACATGATGACACTATGTATTAGCACCTCTAATTAGAGTCCTTACGTGGGAGTCACAGGTGCTCTCGTCTTGCAGATAAGTGGCCACACACCTGATCTCCACATTCAGATGCTCAATTTCTTCCCTTGTACGACACATCTTGAAATATAAGTCCATTGCATGGCAACCGGATGGAGTAGCCCACAGGCATTGCAAAATATCCTCACATGCATCACGGAGGAGCTCAAAATCTGCAAGGAATGCATATTCAACAATGTCTTCCCACTTCAGTGCTGGATGTGGTGGAGATAATGCATGAGCAGTGAGGTTATAGCAATTGAGAGCTGTACAAATGGCTGCAGACCAGACTTGAAGGGCCTTGCCAATGTGTTTTTGCATTTTATAGCCTAGTTACAATGTACACTGAGTGTATATTTCAAACAGAAATCAATGACATACCTGTTCCTGCCCTATTCATCTTGGAGAGTTTGAAGATTCTAGCAACAATTAGTCCTTCAAGTGTGTCCAATGCCAGCTGGAACTTCCTGTTGGCAATGAGCCATCCAGTGTTTTGCCACTCGATATCTTCAGGTTGCCAATGTTTGTCCATGCCAAGCTTCATCTCTAGTTCATCCTGTCCAAAGGATTATCCTGGCATAGTCATAGACCATGTCATCCCATCTAATTCCTTCCTGACACTAGAGATAAGTGTCTTTGCAGGGATCAAAGAAAATAGATATGCACTTGCTTGCAGATAAGTTCACAAGCTTCTGCCAATATTCCATTTGAAGAGTTTTCTGCTCTGGCTCATGAATACAGCTTAGGAGATACGCACATTCGTTCTTGAGCCACACCTCGAGTTCTGTCTCATCTGTGACACTGAGTTCCCACATCAGACATGGAAGAACAGTTTGGCCATCATACAGAATGTCAAGCACCTGTTTGTAGTTGTTGTATAGGAACATAGCTACTAATGAAATCATCAGACAAAACCTAATAAAAGGCACCATGCAACTCACTTAAATTATGATATATTTTAAATTCATCATTGTGCTCAAAATAACCTAAGATTACTTGATGATGGTGAAATACACTAGCATAACAAGTGGCAGGAGTGAGCACATTTGACTTTGAAAATGTCCATTCACAACCCTTGAGGTCTTCTAAGCTGAGATCAGTGACATATGTTGTGAGATGATCTAGTTGACATAAACAGTGGTGGGCATGACCATAAAAGCTCTGACAAGCAAGGTGTGATTCAGGGTACAAGCACAAGGACCAAGAGAACTGCGAGAGAGTGTGGTCTTGAACCTACATCCAATGTCATACTCCCTGCCAAGGTTGTGTCTGAATGTATTGAGTAGCCTTGAGACAACAGTGAGCAGATATTTTGCACTGGAATGCTGTTAAGGTAGAAACCATGCAAAACTGACCAACCTCACATGAGGTGACAAAGTGTGACACTGTGCAGAACAGTTGATACTGAAGTCTGCTGAACATGCCAGTAGTTGGAGTGTCTATAGTACTTTGCAAGATGCAGGACCTAAGTATGTATGTAGTATATGTGAAAAGTAGGACTATACTATGATGGAAATAGTGTATATAAAGTGGAGAAAATAAATGGTTAGACTCAGGCTTGGGCAGTCGAGTAAGCATCATCAAATTCTTGCATGATGCTGGGAGGAAGGACACAATGCCCTCGGTACCTCTTGATAGCCCATGCAGCTTTCACACCATTTAATCCCTTTTGATAAGCATTAATGAAACGTGCAGAACAAGTTGCGAAGCTGAGATTTACTTGTCAGCTGATGTCATTGGATCTGATTATCAATAAAAAACATACTGTCGCATGGATGACAAAGGGACTGCATCCAGTGAATGAATCACATTTTGCTCGAGCACAGATTCAGATGATGATGGATCCTTCATCTGATAAATTCTCTTTGCATACCCCCAACACTGTTCAATAAAATTTAGTTCACAGTGGAACTTCGGGAGGAAGATCACATCAATGCCTCGTGCTTGACATGAGGCCTCGAGAAATGATCTGACTGATGCAAAATCTGCTTGAGAGTACATAAAATGTCAGCAGCAGCGAGTCATCTGTCCAGCTGGACACTTGAAATCTTTACACTCGGCCCTAAGCCTTGGTGCATCTGTGTACCCCCTTTCAACCAGAATCTGAGCCATCCCTTTAAACCATCCAGCTTTCTCATGTCCTTCGGGAAAATAAAGTGACTGTGGGTCCCCATTTGGAAGCTCTGCATTGGCCATATGGATCTTCTCCTTGAGAGGCTTTCCATCCAGGACAAATACTACCTTGTCATTACTGTCTTTCATCTTGACAGTGATCCCCCATGTTTTGGATGGACCCTTTGGCAACTTCCGAGCAGATAGTGCATCGTCCGCACATTTGAGGTGAGTGGTAGCATTATCAAAGATAAGGACATGATCTTCATGTGGATAATATTTTTCTAGGATATCCATAGCCTTCTCGGCATGAGCCACAATATTTTCATTGGCAAAATATCCATTACATGCTTTGCCAGCTCGAAAAAGAATGCGGGCACTCTCCTTGCTATTGGGGGAATGTAGCCATCCATAATCAGCTGAGACAAAATCTACAACCATTAACAAAGCTCCTTCTCCTTTGGGCTGAGGTACAGCCCCTTCTGAGATGTGCACCCAGCACTGTTTGTGGCGATCATTTGCATAGAAGGTCGATTCATCATGAAACTAAACAATAACTTAATCCTTTATATAAGAAAATTCTGTCGCTCAATTTCCAATCGGAAAGAGCCGAGCAGAGTGGAGGCAGAGTTTCGGGGTCTGTGAGCGCCTTGAGTGCAGTATGTACTACTGGATCAATGGAAGAGAAAATCTGTAATCTGTCCATAAGGGAAGTGTTAATGGTTTTAACAAATAATGAGTCGGGAAGAAGTTGGATTGCGACATTGTCCTTTTCGTCAGTATCAACTGGAAGGTGATCTGTTCTATGAGATAATAGGTCTGGGACAATTATGTCTTTGCCTGGTACATGTTGGATACATAGTTTGAATTGAGAGAGGAAAGTTTGCCAGTGTGCTTGGCGTCAGTTTAAGTCTTGTATGTCTCTAAAGTATTGGAGGTTTTTATGGTCCGTGTGTACCGTAACTGGGAATGGTGAGCCTAAAAGATAGTGTCGCCAGGCTTTTAGGGCTCTGACTATTGCTAAAAGTTCTCTGTCATAGATTTGGTAGTTTCATTCAGCGGGGTTAAATGATTGAGAAAGAAAGGAACATGGTAACCAATCTCCATTATAATCTTTTTGGAGGAGTACCGCTCCAGTAGCATAAAGGGAGGCATCAATTGCGATAGCAAAGGGAGCGTTTTTGTTTGGAATCTGTAAGATAGGTGCAGTGGTGAATGTGGATTTGAGTTTATTAAATGTGCTATCTTGTTCTTCTGTCCAGTCAAAGATGATATCTTTTTTGGTTAGATTGATTAAGGGTTGGGCTATCATGGAATAATCGGCAATAAATTGTCTGTAAAAGTTAGTGAATCCGAGGAATGATCGAACTTCTTTCACTTTTGTGGGAGTTCTCCATTCGGATATACCTTTGAGTTTGGCCAGGTCCATGGTTACTGAGCCGGGGCGGATAATCATACTGAGGTATTTGATTTTGTCGACGTTGAAGGTGCATTTTTCTGGTTTTAGGTAAAGGCAGTGCTGACAGAGTCATTCTACTATCCTGTGGGTGAGTTTTTGGTGAGTTTTGTAATCATTAGAGAATATGAGAATATGGTCCATGTAAATAATTACCCATCCTTCTTGTAACATGTCTCCAAAGATATTGTTCATCATCGATTGGAAAGTAGCCAGTGAATTACACATGCCAAAGAACATTACCATAGGTTCGAAGAGTCCTCGGGAAGTGGCAAATGCCTCTTTCCATTGATCAGAGGGTTTCATATGTACATTGTTATATCCCCATCTGATGTCCATTTTCGTGAATATTTTTGCGTCTTTGAGTTTATCTATAAGGTCGGAGATTAGTGGTAATGGGAAGTTATTCTTAACCGTGTGATCATTCAAATAGCGGTAATCTTGGCATGGTTGGAGAGATCCGTCTTTCTTACCCACAAAGAAGAATGGTGACGATTGAGGAGATTCGGATGGTACAATAGTTCCTTTGGCTAGGTGTTTGTCGATAAAGTCGTTCATGGCCTTCTCTTCTGCCAGGTTCAGCAGATAGATTTTGCATTTGCGCAGCTCAAAGGAGTCCTTTAGTTAGGGTACTGTTAGCAACTTCTCTGAATATGTCCTTATACTTTTGAAATGACTCAGAGACGAGTTCTTCGAAAGTCTTCTTGACTGGTTTCATGAATTCTTGGGCGAGGATTTGTGACATGTTATGTGCTTTCTGGATGAGTGTTCCATAGGTTGAGTAATATTGGTGATCTGATGGGATATGTTCATCAGTAAGGGGTGATTTGGATACTTCTGTAGCAAATGTTCTGAAAATGTGTTCGCCTTTGATATAGGTGATGAGAACGTCATCGGGATCTATAATATTGTTTTCGTCAGTGTCGTCATCGGTGGGAGTAAGGTCAGGGATGTCAGAGAAAGAATTTGAAATTGCTTCTTCAGCTGGATCCCATTCTTTGTCAAGATTTTCCTGTGCATTGTAAAAGATGTCTTCTTCTTCGATTTCTTCAATCAAGGGTTTGATGCTTTGTTCTTTAAGATGGACTTCTTCCTTGGTCCAATCAATATCTGGGTTTTCTTTCTTTAGCCAGGACATCCCCAAGATTGTGTCTTCTCCTCCCAAGGAGGTAATTAAGAAGCGTGTTCGCATAGGTAGTCCGTGGACAAGGAATGAGAGATTACAGTACCATGTGATTTTTCCATTTTTGTCAAGCATACCATCCACATTTTGTATGGGTATGGGTTTATTGAGATTATGACATTTGATGGAGTTTCAGCAGATGAACATCCAGTTAATAAACTTGCCTTCAGCACCTGAGTCGATAAGGCGGCTGCTTCGATGGTTTTCCAATTTTTAGAAGAGTTAATGGTGAGTGAGTTACACATAGAATTACGATCGCCAATACTCTGTACTAAAAGTCCTACTCTGGGAGACTCTGACATCAGTGCAGGTTCCCATTCTAAAAATCCTCACTATCGGATTCTTCCTTCTTCTTACCCTTATCCTTCTTCATCTGGCAGGCTTTGAACACCTTTCATTCTAAGAATTCCTTATCGGAGTTAGACCTGGAGTTAGTAGTGGTCTTCCTAGTGGCAGTTACTGTGGGATGATTTGGGCAATCTTTGATAAGCCCCTTCTTTCCGCATTTGAAGCAGAGTCCTCCTTTCTTCCTGCGTTCTTGTTCTTGAGGGGTTAGGTACGTCTTCTTCATACTTTTCTCACCATCATCGTCTTCTCCTGCCTCCATCCTATCAATATCCATGGCATAGGGATCTTTGGTTCGTCCTGTTGCTGGAGGGTTAAGAAACGTCCTCCTTACCTCAACATCTAAGGCTTTGTCGAGCCAGCTTTCGATCATGTTGGGGATGTTTTCGAAGGCAAGGATTGCGGAGACTAGCTCACGCTTCAGGCCGTTTCTAAAGAACAGGATTTTGGTGGTTTCTTCCTTGATACCTGTGTCGGAAAGGATGGTGCGGAATAGGGAAGTGTATGCTGTGACACTGCTGGTCTGTTTGATGGTAGAGATCCATCTCATGGCAGTTCTGGCGATGTTCTTTGGGTAAAAGGTGCTCTTGAACTTCTTAGTGAAGTTGGCATACGTCCTGAAGCTGTTAGCGTTGGTGGTCGCCTTCTTCAGTTCTCCTTCTGCCCACTTAGCTGCTTCTCCTTTCATCATATTACTCAACATAAGGATAATCTTCTTCTTATCTTCGTTATATACCTCGCTGTTGAGGACGAAGTACACTTCCATCTGCAAGGACCAGGTGGTCGCTTTGCGGGTGTCTCCATTGAAGATCTCAGGTAACGATCCTATTTCTTTAGGCATGTCTTCGTCGTCTGAGTCAGGTGTCTGGGATAGGTTCGATGGGTTTGTATTGTTGGGTCCAAAAGTTCCAATGTTCTCCTTGTGGTGCTAGGTCATCATAGTACTTCCTCCACTCAGCGAGAGTTCAAGTGTCATCGTCTTCTGTCTTTACAAAGCTTTGTCTAGCGTCGCTCCAGGTAAATCCCAGGAGGGCAGATGGCTGAGTGAGATGTGGTGTCTGGTTTCGTGCGCAAGTTCTGAGGAACTGCATGTGTGAGAATTAACTTGACCTTTTGTTATGCTCGGTGTTGGTTAGATGTCTTAACATTCAAAGGTTCCAAGTAAAGTCAATGTTCTGATGAAGATGAAGCTAGATTGCAGGCCCTGGTCTGCATAGGTCAAGTTAAAGATACAAAGCATAGAAAGTAAGGTATGTATAAGAGTATTGAAGTGGAGCTTGAATATGAACAGTGAATAGGAAAAGGTAAGTAGGAATCATATGATAGAACATTATAGAATACTGTTGAATGATGAGTAAGTGAATAAGTGATAGAGTGAAAAGATAAAACTGTGACATTAGGACTAACACGTGCAGAATCGGACTGGGGTGTGTTCTACAAACACATTGGCCCTGATATTCTCATACTTACTGCCCACATCGATGACTGCACCATCACCAGCAGCAACTGCACTCTAATTGTCAAGTTCAAGCAGCAAGTAGCTGCACACTACAAGCTCATGGACCTAGGGCCAGTCACATCCCTCCTCGGAATGAAGGTCACGTGCGACTGTGTCGCGCGGACAATCTCCTTCTCACATGAAACTTATGTTGACGCAATCATCATGAAGTACAACTTCTTAGACATGAAGCCCAGCTTCATTCCCATGGACCCCAATCTCCCACTCTCGCAATCTCAAAGTCCCAAGACCCCTGCAGAATCCTCTTGAATGAGAAACATCCCCTACTGCAAGGCTGTCGGGTCACTAATGCATTTAGCTGTTGGAATGTGTCTAGATATCGTGTTTGCAGTTTTAACTATCATGCAGTATGGCATGAATCCCAGACTGCTGCATTGGGAAGCTGTGAAGAAGATTTATCAGTACTTGGCTGGCACGAAAAAGTTTGCACTCACCTTTGGTGATGGGAAATGTGGCCTTGAGGGCTTTGCGGATGCAGACAGCACCTCACAAGAGCATAGGCACAGTCTCTGGGTACATGTTCATTCTAGATGGAGGGGCCATCAGCTGGAGCTCGAAAATGCAAGAACTAGTCACCCTTTACACGACAGAAGCAGAGTACATTGCAGCTATGCATGCTGCTAAAGAAGCAATTTGGCTTCGTCATTTCATCACTGAGATCTTCTGCTTGCTCATGCAGCCAACCACACTCCACTCAGACAATCAATCCGCTATCGCACTTGTCAATTCTGGCATGTTTCATGCATGCACAAAACATATTGACATACATTATCATTTTATTTGTTTTTCTGTTGAAAAAGGCTCTATTTCTCTCATTTACTGCCCTACTGATAGTATGGTTGCAGATACACTTACAAAGCCCCTTCCTAGCTTAAAAGCTAAACACTTCATATCTGCCCTTGTACTCTGCTCAGTTTGAGGGGGAGTGTTGGAGATCAAACACTCACTATTGTTGTTCTCGGTGCCACGTACTTACCTAAGCACATACAAAATACTTGTTTCCTTAGCACTTGTTCACTTTCATCAGTTGACTCCATCTGTCGCTGAGGTTATATGCTGCCAGAGTATAGGATAGTGTACCAGTCACCTGATGACCCACTCGCTGGGTTACCAGAATTACTGACTCACTCCCCAGATTTTCAACCAGGTACCCGCTGGAGAGGTGGCACACAGACCAAGCAGATGGGACAAGGTGATGGAATGAGCAAGGAGGTGACTACTGACATGCTCTAGCTATATGTACCTATGGACCTTGGGGCTTGGGCAGGACCCCTGACACCTTGGACAGACCCTGATAGACCCTGGAGGCCAAACCCCCTAACACACTACTTCATGTGCAAGCACACTGAAAAGTTAGACCTAGACCCAGCCAATTGGCTATGGCCTGAAGAGCTCAAGCTAGTACATTGGCTTGTTAGGGTTCATGAACTCGCATTCACTTGGGGCACCTCAGAATGGGGATGCCTCAATGAAACATATTTCCCACCATATAAGATTCTGACAGTACCACACACCCCATGGTTGCAGCGCAATATTCTGATACCACCTGCAATCACTGGCAAAGTAGTTCACATAATCAAGGAAAAGATTTCTTCAGGTGTATATGAGCCATTGACAGCTGCTTATTGTTCACACTGGTTTTGCATCATCAAGAAGGATGGCCATTCATTGCACTTAGTGCACAACCTACAACTGCTCAATGAGATCACTATTCATGATACATTGGTCCTGCCTTTCTCTGACTTCTTAGCTGAAATGTTCGCTGGATACGCAGTGTATGTCAGTTATGATCAGTGCGCACTCCATGTAGACTCACACGACATGACTACCTTCGGAACAGTATTAGGGCTGCATCATTTAATGACACTTCTGCAAGGACATGCTAATACCATACAGGTTTATCAAGGCAATACTGCATTTATATTGCAGGATGAGATACCCCAATTCATGTCGCCATTCATAGATTACATGCTGATAAAGTCAGTAAAGACCCTGTATCAGAATGCAGATGGTTCTTACAAGGCCATACCTGACAATCTGGTGTCTTCTTAGATAGATGATCTATAGATAAACACCTATAAAATCAAATATTTCCATGGTCAGTGATTCAGACAAATACCAATGACTGATAATGTGGTTGTTCATGGGTGGCTGTTTACACTTCCTCAAGCTATATCAGACAAAAGTACTTCTGTGAGGTCAGCAACAATACCAGCCAATCCAACAGTATGGATGCAATAGAAAATAAACAGAATATAGTCAGCCCAATAGTATGGTGATGACAAAAGAAAAATGAATCACTCCAACAGTATGGCAGTGATTAGAGAAGAACAGAAAAGTCAGCCTGGCAGTATGGTGCTGATAAAAAAGAAATAGAATGATAAGAGAAATCCTTCCTTCAGTAACAATGCTTCTCATAATAAATTTACTACAGAAAGTTGTGCGAAATTATAACAATCACCCCCTCAGCACAAACAGGTAGAACCAAAGGTCAGAACTAGTTAGTGCTCAGTAGAACTTTTAGCTCACTATTGAACCTGCTGCCAAGGAACTCACAATGAGTATTAAACAGAATCAGGAACGGACATCCTTGGATTTCAGTACCAAGTCCCCTATTCAACAACCAAAGTCTAGCAGGCAAAGAAAACCCTAGGTCAGTATCACTACTCAAATGAGTGAGGTCAAGTGTCACTATCAACTTCTGAAGTCTTTCCACTAAGCCTTTGCCTAGATGGATGTAAAGACAACACCAAGATCCTGAAACAAATTTAGAACAATAACACTAATACATGAATGAACTGAACCAAAAAAAAAAGACAGATGAAAAAAGAAACAAAAAAGAAACAGAAAAGAAGAAACAAAAGAAAAGAAAGAAACTAGAGGTTCACCAGTAGAAAATCAAAGAAAAAGTTTGCTCACTGTTGAGCACAGTGAGCTCAAGATATTTCACAGTTGTTAACAATGAGCTAAAGGTATTGCCGAAAGTTGCTCACAATGACCTCTCAGTTAGTTGCTTAACAGCTCTTGTCACTGTTGTTGACACTGATCACACTTCACACTCAATTTTATTCTTGTGGGGTAAAAGTTTCCTCTGGGCTTATATTTTATGGGCAAAAAGTGAGGTCTTATATAGATAAATTATGGTGGCTGTGCTACTATTTCCCATGTTCTGAGGGAAATGGGCTTAGTAAGATTGTACCAATAACCATTTGTTGCGAGTCATGTGCATTATAATTTGTGTCATTAGGCTTTAGTCATCTCAAGAGGTTGCTTTGTCATGACTTGGGTTGGGTCATAGGTCACCTGACTGTTAGAATCATATGACTTAGTATGATGTGACCAAGTTGTGTAATAAGCTGATTATGTTATGTAAAAGAAATATTCATGATTTGTTGGTACTTTGTTCTGATGTTACTTTATTGGCCATAGGAATGACATGAGCCGTGTATTTAGAGTTTTTAAAAAAGTTTCCATAATACAACTCATGCAAGAACTATTTTTCACAGTTACCTGACATGCATGGGATTTAGTCTGAGTAATTGTTGTTGATGACTAAGCAATATTTATCGCAGAATTAAATATACAAAATTATTCAGCCTATCTGAGTCTATCTGAGAAATGAAATGAAAGTATTATCTGGACTGCAGTCTGAACCAAAAAGTAAAGGAAGATTGTTTCATAATAGTTTCTAGAGTATCAGGCTCATGGGAGAGCATTAGTCATCCATGCACCGAACCAGTTTGGTGCAGGTCATCTGGTGGAAACTGAGAAATCAATCGTCTCCGATTGTGAATTTGCAGAGGGTAGGTGTCTATGAGCTGGCTGGGTTTGGCTCATCTGCAGTGTTTGGGAATAGGTATCGTAATGGGTTGGTCATCAGGTTGTTCTTTGGTAGTGGAGGGAGTTCCTCAAGGATGTCTGCTTGTTGGGATTCCTGTATTTCCCTTTCTACCTCATCCAATGTTTCATTCAGTTGTTGCACAAGATTGAAGATATAGTTGCATGTAGGACATCACCATCTAAAAAGATAGGCACCCCTCATTCTATCACCTTGATAGGGTCTCAAGTCTACCTGGTAATGCGGGTCTCCATGTGGATGCATTTCTCTAGCATGCCACATAAGTGAACTTCCAAACTGATCTATTTGACTTTCCACTATAGTTAACTGACTCCGAAGGTGCTCCTCATTTGAATAAATTTGCCAAGATGAAGAAATTGGGTAGGAAGACAACCAGGTTCAGGGTGAAAATTTGTTTCCAGGCCCTATTTGATTCTTGTTGCACGATTCATTATTCTCCAAGAAGAATAGTGGTGCTTGAATATCTATTGTTCTCGATAATCTCCAGGTAATTTGTATTTTTGCTTGCTAGGATGTATAGTGCAAGTGCATAAATAGTGTACAAAATGAGTTCCAGGATTGGCATAGTTAGTTTCCATTGTTGTGATACGTGTTTAGTTGGAAAAAAAGTCTACTTTATGTAGGTATGCAGAAATACAGGTAATGAAAGAATGATGTATTTCTACTGGAAAGGATTAGCTAGTAAGTGAGAAAAGGTATGTGTGTGTCAAGCTAGAGTCAGACAATGGGTCTAAATTCCTAACATGTCTCAATAGATCATCATAGTGGCAGTCCCAAGAATTTCATACCAAAATTTCACCTCCAAGATAAACTCTGCTGTTCTCAAAACTCTCATTTCCCTCAAACAACTGACTCAGGTCCTTGAGAGACTGCATGAGCATGTCAGCCTTAAATGTTGAGAGGCGATTAGTACACTTCTTGTACCAGCGTATAAAGTGAAGGCATTTGGGAAGAGAAATGATGCCAGTAGGCAGAGTAAGGCAGTGTGTGTGAGGAATGATAGCTAGATGAGAAGGGGTGAAAGGAGAAGAGGGGGTGAAGTGGGGTAAAACTCAAATAGACCTCTGGACATGAGTATATTATTCGGCCCAAGGGGATTGCTACTGAGAATGATTCCTCTAAGTGAAAATATGAGGGGAAATTTTGAAACTAATAAGAGTAACTGAGAATGGAAGAAGCGCATGAAGTTGCACCAATGCCATGCGAGTGTGAGCGAGCCACCAAAGGTACGATACGATGCGTGACCAAGTGGCCGAAAGTTTGACGAAGCGCGAAGGTGCAGAGAAAAGCTGAAGGATATATGAGTGAGCTTAGTGAAAACGCGAAGGCGATGCGATGCGACAGTGAAACAGGAGGAGAGTTTGACGATAAGTGCGATGTGTGAAGTGTGAACGTTAGTGCGGTAGTAGGCCAAAGGTTTAGATTCTTAGTCTGAGTGTTGCGTGCAAATGGATGATAATTTTGATGGAGGGAAAAGAAGATACATGAAAAATCTAAAGTACTAAGTATATATGATAGTGTGTGAAGTGCTGTTCAGAGCCAAGAAGATAGAGGTAATACATATCAAGGGTCCATAACGCAAATAATGAGAACATAAGCAATATAGCTTCAGAAATATGGTCAGTCTAACACAAACAAGATAAGATACACACCAATGGACAAGCAGAGGACATGGATAGGACAGAGGAAGGATGCGCGACAGAGCCGAAGAAAAGTGGATGCAAGCTGATGTGCGTGTGTGAGCCGCGGCCATCGGCTGATGATGGAAAAGATGCACGCCATGGTAGTGATAGTGCGCACTGTGTTATGGCCTGAAGGACACTGCAAGAATAGCCTCTATGAGGCTACAAGGACTCCAAGTCCTACAGCAGATGGGCAGTGGGTTGTATGGATTGCTAGTGTCGTGGTTAAGTGTAACGTGTATGTCCATTCGCAATCCAACACACTAGTGCCGTAGTCTGGCTTGGTGTGGATGATAGGATATTTATGGGAGGGATCCACAAATGTGGGGCAGTGGCGGCGGAATAGCATGATTAAAGAAAGAGAAAAAATGATTTGTGAGCAAAAGAGTGATATTGAGTAGCACTGTTAGATGCCAGTGGAAAACTAAGAAATGACTTCAAATTTTGGCATCCTTTATATGAAAGCTAGACAGGGTCCTCAGGGATTGAAAAATATTACTTAATTGAGTAAAATTTGAAAGTTCCGTGATCCAGCCCCTAATGAATTGTAAATGAAAAGGGCACTGTCTGTCTAATCAATGCCGCTAGGGTTTTAAGTTTTAAAGTATACATTCTTTCTGTTGCTGAAATTAAGGTTCCAGCTCAATCAATTGCCTCTCAGCACACAGTAACCAATGAAATAATAGGTAACATGTGGTGCAGTGTCTTCTTACAAGCTGCTGGTATCCCAAATCCCATAGTACAATTGTAGTCAGTAAATATCCAGAAAATAAGGCTGAGTGTGAACAGTATACATGATGTATGAACAAAAATAAGCAGGCCGCCTGTGTTTCATGCAATAAGTGTTCTTCTGTGGGTATATGGTTCATTGCCAAACAAAAAAAAAAAAACCTTTGGGGGAGCTAAGAAAACTAATCCATTGGGAATGTTACCCATGACTGAACTTCTATCCTTTCAATTTCTTTCAGATGGGCTTCTGCGTTCTGGGCCCATTGTTCTAAGGTAGCGCAAATTGGGTAAATCCAGTTAGGGTAATTTGGTAATGTGTCCTGCTGTAGGTTTACAACTCAGAGTGGTGCTATAGGCTCCAAACTGATATCTTTATGTTGTAGGTTGTGCACTGCCTATCTGCTATACTTGTGGGACAAGTGCGTTTGACCCTAAAGGGGAAGCTAGTGCAGCAAAGGTCTAGAAATGGACGCAGAAGGTGCTGCTTGTTGGCCAATGCGAAGCGCGGGAACGTAGCGGCGGGCAAAAGCTGAAGGCGTGGGAAGAAACGCGGCTGTGAAGCGGCCGATGCGCGAGGGGTTCGGATGATAATAGAGATAGATGTAGAGCAAAGTGATAACTGATATGATGCGAGCAGTAAACGGATACTGATTACCAATAGCTACCAACTGTAGGCTAATGGGAGTTTGCTACTGGAACATCCGGAAAACAATCTACTGAATGATATGTACTGCTAGTGCATAAGTATTGTGCTAAGCGCTGTCATGTGGAACCGAGCCGATGCGCTACTGAGCTATGTATGTAAAGCGATATGTAATAAAGGTGGTCTGATGCGAAAATGGTCTGATATGTAAATATAATTATGAAACAATGTACCATTGGGTTGGTTTTGGACTATGGATGGGTGCGGAATGTCGGCCAATGAAGTGTGAAAAAAGCAGCTGCTAAGCGCGGCTGTGCGCACGTGCGGGAATGTTGCGGCCATTGCAGGAAAGCTGCACTTCATGTAGGAAAGTAATAGGGTGCTGAGGGATACCACAAAAATAGCCTCTACGAGGCTACAAGGACTCCAAGTCCTACACCGCTCTTCCAAGTTTAATGGGTCTGTAAGATATGCATTCCTAGGCTCCAATAAAATGACCCCACTTCCTTCTGATTGTGTATGTTTTTCCAGTACGTGGCCTATCCATGCAACTGTAATTTGAAGTAGGTTAATGCAAGCTTGGTGACACCAGGCTTTTAGCTGCTGTGGGGAATAATTGGCTTCCATCAAGAGTCAGGGGTAAAATGTTCTTCCTCAGCTTCTTCAATTCCTTGGGTATCCGCAGTTGCTGGGAGTTTCTTGATATATATGGCAAAAGTCTAAAGGCAGCAACTCCGTGGTGGGTTATTGTTCCATCCATTTCACTTAGTACATATGATCCTCCCTGAGTTCTCTGCTCCACTTTATATGGGCCTAGATAGCAGGGTTTTGTCTTTCAGTTCAGTTCCTTTTCTATTTGGGTATTACATACAAGTACCAGATCTCCTGTCTGATATGTCTCCCATCTTAATCGCTTTGAGTACCTCCTTTCAAACTGTTCCTTTGATTTGAACTGAGCATTCTTCAATGTGTCTGCTGCTTGTTCACAGGTCTTCAGGTCGTCTTTCCAGCTGACGTATCCTTAGTGCTAGTAACTCAACTGATGTCATTCCACTTGTAAATCCATCAACCATGAATGTAGCTTCTGCTAAGTCAAATGGCAATACTGGGTGAACTCCATGAACTAGATAGAAAGCAGAAAATCCAGTTACTCGGCTTGTGGTGACTCAATCTACAAATATGGTTTGGGAAATTTTCTGAGGCCATTGTGTGAGGTTGTCACCACATGCTTTCACCAGTGCTTCTCTTCATATGAAATGACCTCTTTCAACTACTCCATTAGCCTGTGAGTTATAGGGCGAAATGGTGACATGTGGGATATTTACTTTCTTTATAAGGGCTGAAAATGCTCCCTGTACTTCTGGTCCATTATCTGTGGTTGCTTATCCAATGGCACTATATCTGCAATAAAGATTTTCCCAGAAAAACTTGCTAAGGGCCTTGGCAGTAGGTGCCTTAAGGGGTCGTCCTTCTACATAGTGTGATAAATCATCTCTAGCTAGTATAATATACTTGAATCCTTGAGCTGGAGGTATATGCATGATATCAATGTATACTTTCCATCTTTTGTTATGGTGATACTGTGGCTTGGAAACAGGCTTAGGAAACTCCACTGTATAATGCTAATTTATCTAACCATGAATCATCTTGCAAATCAATACTTTATCCTTCTCCTAAACACTTCAACACTGCATAAATACTACAGTAGTCATCTAATGTATTATTATGTCTGTCTTTGTATAGATTAATCTATGTCTTATTTCAATAGCCCTTTTGAGGTTGCAACTATCACATAAATATCAAAGCCATTGACAAGTAGACTTCAAGTTGTACTGTAAGCTGAGTGTTGAATAGTGTTACTTAAGCTTTGATTACTTATGTTATATCATATTTCTAGGTAGTACCAGTTGTAATATTATTTTTTAATCTTGCAATCAACCCTTTGTCAATCAAACTAAAGCCTTACATTATCTAGAAGCATCCATCTATTATCCAACTAACCCCAATGATATATTTTCCATGATTATATTTGCATATTGGACCATCTTTGCATTACATCATTCTTATTGGGTCATAAACCCTTACTTACATATAGCTTTACATACCCTATTCAGTAGCACTTTAGCTCAGCTTTGCATGAGAGTGTTTAGCACAATACTTAAGTAGCAATAGTATATATCTTTTAGGAGTTTTATTTTCTGGATATTCTAATAGCAACTCCCATTAGCCTACAGTTGGTAGCTATTGGCAATACCAAGATCCATTTACTGCTCGCATTACATCTATTATTATTCTGTTCTACATCTACATCTATCATTTCTTATCTCTATTATCATTTAAACTGTTTGTGCATCAGCTACTTTGTAACCATGTTTTTCTCTTACTTTCGGCTTTCAACTACAGCTCTTTCCCACACATGCATCACCCACTTTTCCATACTTCATATTGGCTGACAAGTAACACCTCCTGCACTAATTTCTAGACCTTTGCTACACTTACTTCCCCTTTAGGGTCAAATACACTTATCACCAAGTAGAGCAGACTAGGCAGTGTAAAACCACAACATAAATATGTGTCAGTTTAGAGCCACATAACACCACTCTATGTTATATACCTATATTATTTCACAATTCTGATAGTCCCACTAAATTAAATTCACTGATAAGTTTACTGATTGTTCTATATCACACTTATTTTTTTGTCCTATACAAAAATTTCACATGTTATTGAGTTATACTAGCTTAGACCTTTTTTCTTAGATAGGGTCAAATTTCCAGTCTCCTTCTACTATTTAATCACTTATCATTGAACTCTACCCTTTACCTTGCTGTCTATCTCTTACATGAATTACCTGCTCACCTATAGCTATGAAAACTGCAATATCTTTCTCTAGGATAATAATTATGCAAACAAGCACTGCCATAAATATCACACTGCACCTAGCCCTCTCATAATAGGGGGAGTGATGTACAATATGATGTGGGAAGGTAAATATATATGTCATTACATTTATAGTATTATCTCTTGTACTTTGCTACCTATCTATATGACTTCCTGACCTCCCTAGGACATCCTTAAATTAAGTTATTACTTATCTTTGTACTGTGACTTGTCTGTTTATATTTATTTACTATATGTTGCTCATATCCCAGAGTCAGTACTCTCTACCTCTTTAGTAACTTACTCTAGACTCTAGACACTATATGACTTCACTATATCATTCAATATATTAGCAACTTATTTTGAACTCTAGTTTAATCTCTTCTAGTTTCTCAGTAGCCTCTTAAAGTGGCCTACTTTACTTTTATTTTAACAAAAGGTATATATAGCATTCTAAGTGTTATCCAAGGATTTAGCTACCAAGGAAAAGTCTCCTGAGCAGTGGAACATAATTGTAACAATAATGTTGGCCAACAGTGATATTATGGTTACTCTCAAAACTAGTGGCAGAAAAGCAATTTATGGATGTTCGCTCCTCTCATATGTCCTGACCAGCAGTATATCATAATCTATTTATTGATAGCTCCTCTGAAAGAATAAGTTAAAAGATGTCAAGAACATAGAGACATCCTGAATATATCCTGAGAATGATGTAGTCAGCCAATGGTGGGCACACAGAATTCATTAATAATGTGCATGAGTATATATTCTGGCAGCAGGCCAATCAGATGTGAGTCTTTCACCTCTCAAACTTTATCTTGACAAAGCATAAATACATTTCCAGATCTCCACTTATTGTTATCTTCCTCTGTTCCCGTTCTCACTAGATATTACTTGTTTTCATCAATTATTTTCCTCTGTTGTGATACTTATATCAATCTTTGATTATTACATCATATTCTGCCATCATGGCTGACAGCCCTTGTCCGGAATGAACTGTCACCTGTAATACTTGTCATCAAACCTTGGAGTAGTTTGTTTGAAAGACCAACCCTTTGATTAGTGAATAGTGGTAGTTGAACTAGGCCAGATAATGTATTTTGTACTGTATATATACTACACTCATTCACTCTTTTATTTTTATTTTTTAATTCCATTTCTGTCCTATATCAGAGTGAACTCTATGAAGAACAATACATTCTAGTCTACTGGACCCTCTATGTCCATATGTATCTCCTGATCTATGAATGTGAGGCAAACCTCCACCAGTACACTGTTCCTGCTAGCCATTTTAGACATGAGATTAGTGTTAAGATAAGATGACTTTAGTTCTGATAAGATAAATAATGGTGCTTGGTATATGTGAACACATACTTAGCTTACCTTGGCAAGCTAGTACAGGAATCAAACAGTTTGCAGTGAGAGTATGATACATTAGTGATTCCTGGGTTATAGAGCCAACTCTTGCTGTCTTATAACCATTAGGGGCTGTAGATTTTGGATGGCAAGTGGATTGTAAGATAGGTTTGAAGGTGGGTATAACTAGTAATTAATTAGTTCTAGAGTATATGTTTTTGTTAGTTTTTGCATTTATTATAGGTGGAGATTTTATCGAATGTAGCTTTGAGATGTTTTATTAAGTTTACATTTTTTATAAGTTGTAGGATAGCTTTATTTTTTGTCAATAGATATGAGAGAAATGTAGCTTTGTAGCCTAGGGCTGACTCATTCACTTTATATAATATAGCACCAAGGTAAAGATTATTATGTACAGATTATGTATCTATACTCAGTAATATAGATCTCAAAATTCCCAGCACCTGCACTATAACCACCTTCAACTTCTGTGATGTTAACTGGGACAAATTCTAAGGCTATCTCAATTGCTACATCAGAAGCCTCCCAGGACTAAGACCTATAACAACAGAAGATGAGTTTCAAGAAAGCAACTGCTAATCTCAACATCACCATCAAATGAGTCATCTAAGAGAAAGTCCCACAGTTAAAACTAAGCCTCCATATGAAACAATGATGGACATGAGAACTCTCACAGATGATAATGATAATGAAGAAGAAGCTAAATAGTCTATTATATAAGTTCAGAGCACAATCCAAGCATCCCATCCATGAAGAATACCACAAATTCTGTAACTATCTTACTGAAGAAATTCTTAGGATTAAGCAAGAACATTGAGTTGCATATCTAGAGAAGCTTAATCACCCAAGTATGGTAGCGACTTAGAATTAGACTATAAGAACTAGCATACATACTGATAAGAGAGCACATGTTTTAACATAAAAGTTGATCAATAGTGTTTTAGCAGTGCAATTGGTTATGAATAATGCTGAGGGCATAATTTAGTCAGGTTTATTTTCTTGATAACACCTCCAATGGCATGGTGACAGACTAACTCAGTACACTATAAGTATCAATGACACCATTGACTCGTCTTGAACAGAATGTCTGTATTTGTTCTACTTCATAACACACATGGCTTGAGCCATAACCACTATATTTATAACATATTGAATGACTTGGTGCTCCCTTCCTCTGTGAGCTGTTTTCTTATCTTATTTGCCAAGTGAATCTAACTAGCACTTCATTCAGAGTGAGCCAGTGACAAGTTTGAACTTCATAGAGTATCTAGCAGTAGGATTACTGCCTACAGTGTATGTGCTATATGTAAGTACTACATGAGGTCTTAAAGATGTGATCTGATTATGTATGTAGTGCCCGATGTAGAGACTCATGCCTCTCCTTGTGCAATATTGCAGTTTTCACCAAGGAGTATACAGCACGAACTTGTAGCATCACTCTGTATGCTTCCTACAGCTATTCCTACATGAGGCGCAGCTTTCCCGCGCATCGTGCAATGTGCGTGCAACTTCCCACGCTTCACGATGTATATGCGCGCACTTTCCCACGCTTGAGCGCCCTATAGCGCCAGCCATCCGGAAGCATCTATCCACTGTCCACCAAGTTCCCTAGTGCATATATTTCCATTTCTCACATTTGCATATTGTTCCATCTTTATTTTTATCATGGACCCTTACTTAGATATATCCTTACATACCTTACTCGGTAGCGCTTTGGCTCCGCATGACAGCGCTTAGGCGCCATACTTAAGCGCCAGCAGTACATACTATTACTCACTTACTCACCCACCAAGGATGACAGAGGACTGAACCACAACAATACCCATTTACCACCTAGCAGAGCATAGTTGAAATCTATTCCTTGGCACCTCGCATATAACATCTCTCAGCTTGCATCTCTCACCTCTTGTCTAGTGTCTAATCATCACTTAAGCAAACTCACTCTTACTCTCTCTTGTTTCCGCATACACGCGCGCGCATTCCCGCGCTTCGCGCATTCTCGCGCCTCGCGCGCACCTGCGCTTTCCCGCGCTTTGCATTCGCCAACCAGTAGCACCTTCGGCGCCTACTACTAGATCCTTGCTGCACTCGCTTCCCCTTTAGGGTCAAACGCACTTGTCGTCTCAAGTATAGCAGACTAGGCAACACACGACCTTACAACATTTATAGATACAGTCAGGAGCATTGTTCATGCCTCGCTGTATAGTTGAACCTTCACCGACAAACACCTAATTGAATATAAGGTATCTTACTTTCTACATGCTGTAAAACTAACCATCATAAAGCTTAGAGAGCACTTGTGTCTTGTGAGCTATATTTGGATGTCCATGCTAGTATGTTGATTAGCGACTGCATCCTGCCTTCCCACTGATTGAATTCTTAGCTTAACTTCTCTGCCCTACTATTGAATTTGCCTTGTCTGATGATAGTAAGCTACAAGAATACTATATATAATTTATACCACTATATAAGTCCTACCTTCTAATGGAAATCTATCTTACTTGACATCCTTGTAGGTCAATGAGACAAACTCTTTTTGAGGAATTGTTGTTCATCTTACACAATACCCTACTGGGTATCATAAAATCACTAATAAGGACCTGATTGCATTTTCAGATATCTGGACTGCATTTGGTTAGGAAACATCAATCTACTCACAGTCTTGGAATTTCTCCAAGTCTATGAATGGCAATGCAGCAAGTATAAGCAGTGCTGTTGGATTGTACCAAAATGTAGCCATATCTGCCAAACCCCAAGCAAGTAATTTTGCAGACCATACTATTGGTAGGATCATGCAGGCAAATGATCAGTGGGAATATCCACTTGCCTATATTTAAATACTAATCAGAATTGCTGTCTGCTATGGTGCAACACCCAATCTCCACCTATTGGTCCTTACAAGTGAATGTGGTCAGAGAGTTAAGATGATTTACCAACTCTAGTCCCTTAGCCTGATAAGGTTCAAGGTTGATCCTTCGACCTTGGAGACTAGTAAGAACTCATTTTTCCAATACCTCCTACATGTGTTGATTTATTTCCAGTTCTTTCTAAAGTTATGAAGAAACCTCTTTCTGAAAGTGGCATATTAGACCTTGTACATATTCTTCTTGCTTTTATGTACCCAACTTATTATAGAATAGGCTGTTCCATAGTTCTTGCAATTTTTCTACGATGTGAGGCACAAGCTGTATGACACCCTCAAAAACTCTTATGTAGGTTTTGACCTTGAGAATAGTGCCTACAGTGATGTTCTGATAGAAAAGATTTCACACTGCACTTGGATGTTCTCATCTGTATGTGACCTCACAGTCTCCAGGTTTTTGATTGACTTCAATTATTACATTAGTATTATGAGGTCTTACTAAAAAGACTCTCTGTCATATCCCATACTCCGGACCAACATCCGACAATGTTCCCACACCTCATCTGGACCTCTGGACCCCCTGTCCATGTCCTTTATCTGTCCAGATGCCTGTACACCCGGATCCCTGTACCTTTGCATATCCACACACCCAGATCCGAAACCCAGACACTCAATCTGATATCCACTTGCCAGGATCTCCAGATCTGACCTATGCTTCATATCCAAACCCAAACCTTAAATCAGTGCTCATTCCCTTATGGTAATCACCTGTTTCTGGACATCCGATTATTCCTATAACCGACTGTGCTTTATTTTCTGTATCTGATTTATTTCTGTCTTCATTTTATTATGTTCCGATACACTAGTGTTAGGTGTTCCACATGCTCCGTCCATAGCCTCACATAGCCTTGCACTGTGCTGACTGATTCTCTGTTATGTCCTCCATAGTATATAAACCCTGTAGAAACTCCTGTATTTCCTTAGTCTGAATATTACACATATTAGTCCTTGCACTAGACCTCACACTAAGACCTCATACTAGTTCTAGTCCTCCGACTTAGTCAATATCCATCTTAGGCCAGAGCTCCGCTCCTCCGCTCCTCCGCTCCTCCGCTCCTCCGATCCTTCGCTCCTCTGATCCTACACTCCTCCAAGTTTCCGGAAGTTCCTCCGGAACTTTCCCACGGTCCTCCAGACCTATTCTGCTTTGGACTTTGTCCCTGCAGCCTTTCCTCTGTCTCCATTCTACTCAGGATTCATCCTGAGTAGCCATTACACATATCTGTACCAGGATGAAACCTCATAGTAATTTCCGGAACTTTCCCGCACCCCTCCGGAAGTTTCTCGCACTCATCCGGATCCGGACAGTCTTTCCGGACTTTCCCGTGCTCCTTCGGAAGTCCTACGGACTTCCTTGGACTTCCTCCAGATGTCATCTGAGTTAAGGGCACATACTCGGGTAAGGGGCACAGTGCATGAGCTGAAGCCAAGCCCTTCGGAACCAGTCCTACCCTTTGTGCACGGTCTTAACACTCACATTCTATTACATTTTTTAGGCTTGATGAAATCATATTAAATGATGTATATGTTGTCTAGACATAAGGTACAGGGAATATCATTGAGGCTGATTTTATTGTTATATTTTTGATAGAGAAGCCTTATCTTATATTTATGATATAGGAACTGATTCTTAGCTAGGCTTATAGAGACTGTTCTTACTTTAGTATTATGTTTGCACTTTTGTAGCTTACATAATTAAGTTAGCTTTTCACCAGTTTCCACTACAAGTCTAAGGCTTCAGCAGTTTTCATAACATTTTCTCTTTCTTGAGCCTTAAGCCTGGTTCAGAAATCTTTTAGAGTCAAATAGCAGCTAGGTTTTGTAAGACCCAGGTTGACCATCATCTAGGTTTATCATGCAAGGTCTGCGTAAGATTGCATAGCAGATGTCAGAGATGAAAGGAGCAAAGTGAGAAAGAATAGTGTCCCATGGTTTAGAGGAATACCAGAGAGAAGATAGCAATTAACAATATGAAGCTCTGTTCTTCTGTGTATGCATCTTAATCCTTGACTATGTCTCCATGATCAGGAATGTAGGAGGAAAATAACTCTGAGATGATGGTCTCTAAGTTTACTAGAAATCCACATAGTTTTTCACTATAACACATCTTGCCATGCAGCCAAGGAATGCAATGTTTGTCCTTATCAGAAACATTGTTTTCATGATGCATGATGGGATCATAATGGAGATCTTTGAGGTCTATCTCTTCATGAATATCTGAGTCAGTAGAGTTGTACACTATGCTATACTGTTGAATTATCTTTTTGTTTAGCACCTCCAACTACTATTTGACTATAATGCATCTATCTGTGCATGCAGTAACATGAGATGCAAGAAAATAGAAAGAACATACATGATGTCTATGGTGATAGCAACCAATATATATCTTATGTCAGCATAAGATCTTTCTGCATGCCAATTCTTAGCTTCTATGATATAAGTATAGTTGAGTCATCCTAATCAGAAGTAATGATGTTATAGAGTTAGTTAATTATTAATCACCAGTGTCACAGTGGTGAAAGTAGTTCTAATAGAATATATCATGCTTGGAGTGGGGAGGTCATTGAGACCTGGATATAGGGGTGAATATGTGGTAACAAATAAAGAAGAACAAGGCAGACATTGTGGAATGCAAAACAGAATATTAAGAAAGAAACACTCATCATATATTAAACATATCCTTGATCCTTCATGCACTAAGGTTATTGTCCATACCATAATAATGCATAATACAGATAGGATAGGAAGGATTTTTTGATAGGGCCTAAAAAAATAACATGATGGTCATATGAAAGTGAGATAGTAAGAGTCTGATGTCCTCATGTAGTCTTTTGCTTAGAAGGAAAACATCAATGTCTTCTAAGTTCTTCTGGGAGAAAAAAGCCAGTCAAAATTGAAATGAAGGACTGGTCCTAAGAGCCATCATGTAACTTATTAGATTAAACCTAACTTGCTGAATTTAGATTAAAAGAAACAAGTAGGAAGATAAAGATCAAGAATGGGATCAAGGATGGTAGAAAAGATATGATTGACTATTTTCTTTAGAAGCAATACATGCAAATCAATGAAGCCTCCCACAATAAGGCAAAAATCAAGGTAATGCTGGGAGGTATCCCAAGCCAACATCTTATTGTTATTATTATAGTATAAGTTGTCATTAAGAGAAAGAACAGAATAATGATACAACAAATTTATCACAGTTGCTTTGTCACCCTTTTTGAAGGTTTGTGTAAGGCTGGACAAGTTAATAGGCTAGATCTTGGTCTGAGGCAAAACTTTTTCTGTCTTAACAGAGAAAAACATGTCTGTAAGATTGAATGGACAGGGCTTGCCCTAATTGCTTTATTATGCAGCACTTTGAAAAGTGATGGTTGCAAGATTATTGATATTGCTGTTGAAACTTGGAGGGATGAGTGAGTGAGTAGCCTTTGAATATTAGAAGTGAATGAATGAATACTCATATATGGTCTTCTGGGTCTGACATGCTAAAATCAAACTTGAAGATAAAATATGGTGAAACTGAGAAGATTTTTGACACAAGGGCATATGGAAACAGGTGAGACAGACAGCACTAAAATGCAGTAAAGCAAAAAGAAGAAAAACTAGAAGTGAAGAAGAGGTTAATCAGAAAATCCAGCTTTGTTGAAATTTTTTTGTGTATGATCTGAATGCAATTAATTTAAACAAAGATTTAGATATATTAGAGGTATGCCAGCAATGGATATGAGTTTAAAATTCACATCAGCAAGCAACTAATTGAGGCACCCAAAGGAATCATTAAAAGCAAAAAGATAAAGAAACTAAAGGAAACACATAAGGATAGGATAAACAAAAGAGATGAAGCACTCATTATTAAAAACATTTCTCAGAGGATTGGGCATGAGTAAGAGTTCCACACTCAAAGGATCATCTCATGGGCAGGGGCAGGACTTTAGAGACAACAGATGATCAAGGGAAGTGAGCAAGGGTTAAAAATATAAGTTATGAATGGAATGGACAGAATATCTCAAATGGATTGATGATTAAGAGAGAAAGATCTGAGTTTAGTGACAAGGGACATTCTAGCTCTGAACTTTGTTTCAAAAGAATTAGTGCAATAGGGCACCAGCAGCATAGAGACCAGTAGGCAAAACAAGAAAGGACTTATTAGGTAGATAATAAGAAAAGATGATATTCACAGGGAGTTAGTCACATCATGGATATAATCAGGAAGGAAAAGAGATGAAAATGATAGAATATGTAAGAGCTCATTAGCAAAATAGAAAGACAAGGCAAAAATATAGCTACTCACATGCACAACTCAGCAGAAGGTAGTAAAGTGAGAGAGACTCACTCACATAAGTCTTATTGAATGGTTCTAAAGTCAATTATTATTTAAGTATTAGCATAAGTACTGGTTTATATAGCAATAAAAAACAGAATTCATTAGCGATGAGTAATAAGGCAAGGTACAAATGAGTGAGAAAGAAAGGACAAACAAAAGAAGCAGAAGAACTCAACACCATATCATCCATATTTTAACATTCTGGACCCTATCTATAAAGTTCTTTAGAGCAAAATAGTTTTTTCTGATGTGTTAGTTCCATTAATGACATAATAACTTTCAGTACTAATGTACACACCAGCGTACTAGAGTCTAATACATTTGTTTTGTATCCTATATTCAGGAACTTTGATTCTTCTAATGTATCTCATCTTGTGTTCTCTGACTCTAGAGTTTCAATGCCTATGTCCTCAAAGAACCAATGGATTAACATGCACCAATCTATTCATCTAGGATCTACCAAGGATAGCACACACACATCATTCTTACCTCCAGCTCCATATGTCTCAAATGATGCTCATTTTTCTGAAAGTAAGAACTCAAACACTATTGTCAAAATAGAAGACCTAGTCCAACACTACCTTTATTTTTATCTACTTAGGATTAATGATACTTATATGATATTTATTTCAGATGCTATGCAAGCTATGTATATATTCACACATTATCAAAATGAGCTTATTATAAACAACTAGGACTCAGATTTAGATATTCTTTCAGAGGACTCTAATAGTCCATCCAACTCTACCTGCCTTATCCAATGATTAGGCCAAAGTCTAAATGAAACTAGTCCAAGCATGTTTTAGAGCTTATCAATCATTGAGCAAATGCTTAAGATACTATTACTATGGTTAAAAATGCTCTTCCTGCTTACATTCTAACTGAAGTAGTATGACAGTTCTCTATTCTCACATGTAAAGGGCACTATCACATATGGACTCATATTCCAGTCTTATACTATCAGTCTTCATATCATCCTATCAATCTTTTTTTCTCTGATGATAAAATGGAGCACCTATATGCTATTATTACTATTACAGAGTCCATAGTGAGCACCAGCTCATATCTACTATTAATGATGCACTGTACATACCCTATTCTGATGCCAATATTATACATGCTCTAACCCAATAGAATATACTCAATGAGTAGCAGGATTCAGATATCATTGCATTTGTATATGCTCATAATCACAACCTTAGTATTTAATGAGCTAAAGTCATTATAGTGTCCTTTCAGACCAAGAAAGGTATTAGACCCATTTGTTTTGAGATCTTTTTTAGCTGAATTTTTGAACAACAATAATGATAATCCTGATGACAAGACATTTGACTGAAAGGGCCAAGATTGAGATGACAAGAAACCTAAGGATAGTTATGTTTTCTTTCTCTAGTTTCGAGGTATTCAATCACCATAGTGGCTTATATATACATTCTTTGATGTCATTGACAAGCTACAGCCTATTTGTGACTGTATTTTTTATGTTTGTATTTGATTCTGCTCATTCCTGCCTTCATTTAACTTGAGTCTGTCTTTTGTCAATCTCCAAGTCTTAGGATTGATTTCTATTGATTATATATCTTCACCTTTACCTTTAGTAGTCTACCTCTGTTTTGTTTCTACTCCAGACTTTGTCCATAAGCCTTACCTCTAGTTTCTAAACATCTGTTGGACTTTTCATACTTACTATATCCAATGTTTTAGACCTGGACTTATAACATAATCTTCTTCAGATTTCTAGATCTGACTAGCTTCACTTTTCCATGTCTTTCCCCTTTTGCACATCCCCTTTTAGTTAGCCCCTATTTCTGGTCATCTGGTTATATTTATATCTGACTGTACTTACTTATCTGGACTTTGTTCATTTCTAACTTCATTTTATTATGTTCCATTATAGTATTAATAAGCTTTCCACATGCTTTATACATAGCCTTGTACTATGCTGACTAATCTTCTATTATGTCTTCTATAGTATATAAACATCATTATACATTCTTAGTTTGAATCTTATTAATACCTCGGCCTCTACTTTTGGTAGTCTTCTGCTATTTTGTTTCTACTCTGGACTTTGTCTGTAGTAGCCTTGCCTCTAGTTTCCAAATATTTATCAGATTTTCTACACTTCTAGATTCTGGACTTCTGGACTTTGTCCTTAAACTCTCATAAGCTAAGGGTACATACTATACATTAGTTGTATAATTATCAAATAGCAGGAAAAAATGATAATACTTAACAGAAAAAACAACAAGACTGAAATATAATAAAATATAACAAAAGGAAAAAGAAAATAACAAGGATATTATTGTTTCTGGTTAAGCTTAGCATATTCAACTCATAAAATTATTACCTTCCTTTCAATTCAAAGGCCTTTACATTTACTTTCTATAAATTAATCTTCTAGATCTTATTATCTCTCACATAAGAAAAGTTACATTACAGAAAGAAGCCTATATTGCTAACTCTATTAATATAGTAAGGGAAAAGATAAATTGAAGAATAGCTAGAACATTTTGAAAAAGAAGTATATAAGCTATTTGCATAGTGGCCTGGTCAAGCTGTCTCTAACACCAAGAGGAGAACAACATAGTCTATTTATTGTAAATTAACATAATTGTGAGATAATAGAAAAATATGATTATGCTCTTATTAATATATAAACATGTATGTTTACAAATTCAGAGTAATCTAAAGTATTCATAGTAAGCACATAACACAGCAATGTGATAGCTTGTAAGTAATTATGTTATATATAGTTCTGCTCTGTTCCTATGTATTATGCCATATTTACTAATTCTTACTCATTTCTTCTATTATATTCCTAGATATTCTATTATATAATTTATTTTCCTTTTGTATCATTAGCTAATTACTTTCAAACTCTGCTTTAACCTTATTTTCATTCATTACTTATATCACAGCTGTATTATTGTATTTCTTTAACTTCATCTATACAGACTAGAGCCTGCAATCTACTTATTCTTTTTGACTTGTCATAATAGAATATTAGCTATTGAACTTTCATTTAGACATCTATTATAACATTAAATGTAACAAAAGTTAGGTGTATCTCTATCCGCACCATTCTCTAGAATAGGCACCTAAAACTAGAATATTATTTCAAATTAAGATATTTCTAGGTTTACCTGGAACAATAATAAGAATGAATGGCTAAGCAAAGCCTTAGACATATAAGTATAAAACAACATTGATTGCTCCACTAGTATTCTCGAATTTTAAGTATTTGTATGTAAACTATATAGATGTAGAAGAAGGACAAGAAAATGAAGACTCACTAATCTCCTCAAAAACAGAATCATAGGTATAAGAATGGCCTTTGCTTCAAATGTGCTAAGAAGGGTCTGGCTAAAAATCATATGAATCATTTAATTATTATCATGACGAAAATATGTTTACTTCTAACTTTAGTAAAAGAAAATCATGAATATAAAAAGTTTTTTAAATAGAAGGTATTTGATATCTCATTGACAATTATATGATACTATAATTTGTTTTTTTTTATCTATGAAATTCTTATGTGAATGTGCTTTTTTATTATCTTCTCAGGAGGGAAAGATACAATCCTAAGGATGTCTAACTAAAGAAAAAAAAATATCTATTGGACCAAAGAAGAAGTTCACTGACAAAAGCAAGACATCAAATTAATTATTGAAGAAGATGAAGAAGGTATCTTTTATAATGCATAAGAAAAGTTAGATGGGGAATAAAATCCTACAGATTAAACTATTTCAAAATAGAACCCCTTAAAACTGAAGAAGTTTTAGATTCAGAAGATATTTTTATCACTTATTACACATAAGATCATATATTAGGCATATAATAAACAGAAAATTTTGATACTCTATTTACTGACAAACATATTCTCAGAGCATTTATTTATTCTTCTGATAATAGCAATGTGGGATTGCTATACTGTATATCCATTTTAAAGGAGTATGAGCCAAAGTTGCTCTAACAGCATGACTTCACTTTTTCTCCCAATAGTCAAGTAATCATATTCTAAACAATAGTAGCGTCTTTCATGTTATCTAATTCTTTCAGTTAAGTTTACTTGCTAGGACCCTGATTGATACTTTCACTGACAACTCTCCCTTGCTCACTCTATGAAGAACTTATCAAGCAGAATCTTATGGATGATCTTGGGTACCAGGAATTAATTTGCTAGCAACCTACCAACTAGCTCTAGCTCCAACCAATAATTATGACTGTGTATAACTAGCTAGTACTACTAGGCTAGCTGTCAATTTTCAATAAAAATGGAACTGTTAATGTAAAAGTGATCAAGGCATTTCTGAACAAAAAGCAGAATATCTCATCACTGCTCAATGTCTTATTTCAGCTATCATATGAGATTCCTCCCCAAGCTTTTTAGATGAAATTTCTGCAGTATAATTCTTGTTAGAAGGGGTTGGTGTACCAGAAGTTTACTCCTACTGATCCTAAGCATAATGAGATTTCATAAGTATATAGTTATTAATGGTGAAATACGAGTTCTCACTACCAGATTAAAATCTCCTTGACCTATCTTGCCATACAGTCAGCTCATGTCATAGATCTCAAGTCTATTCTCAGCATGGTTGGTATAGTCCTACACCAGCCAACTCTTCCTTCTGGTTTCACTGAGAATCAGTTTTTTATGGTGGAAAAGCCAGGCCTTGATATTACAACATTTGGTGTTCTATATGAAGGAGATGCAACTCAAAATAACCAGTATGATGAATAAGAAGCAAATGCAGGTAGGATAACGGTGGTACTTAGTGGACAAAGTCATAGTTATATTCACAATATAACAGCTCCTTTGATTCATATTGAGTCCTATATCATCTGAAATTGTTCATATCAATTAGAAATTATAATACAGTGGTAAGGTATTTCTCATTTATTATAGGCATGGTGGGACAACTGTTGGAGCTGATGTGCTGGCAGCTGTAGATAGAGTGATCTCAATGTCAGATTCAGACTTATTCATTAAGCCAGTGTCTGTTGGTATGGTGGTTAATAGTATTAAATATGCACCTTGCTCATCTGCTCTGAGAGATCCTTAATATAAGACTAAAGATCTTCCTTATCTGAGGACATAGACTGTGATTTGATTGGCCAGAATGGAGAACCAGGGATTGGAATTGCATGAAGCTCACCATTTTCATAGGCATGAATATACTGCATAAGGACTTCCTGGAATGTATCATATTTATAGTAGATATTCCCACTAACATGATTGACCCACTGTGTGACATCATTCCTGAAAGCATGGTAAAATAGAAGTGGCTGAGTTTTGATGAACTACATACCAATGAAAGAAAAGTTTAACTTGTTACCCTACAGTAATGATATAGACCTTGCTGTTATGCCCTTCTGAGGGCAAATTGAATGCACTTGGGTGGGGAATTGATGGGCTATAGAGTGGCATGTGTGGGGATGCCAAAATACTTGTTTGAGTGGATGAGGGTGAGGCTTGGGTGTGGGACCGTGCAGATGGTGCCACTTAAGATCGAACAGAGCTAGGTGTATTTTGGGAGGGTGAAGCAAATGGTTGATTGATTTCTATGGTATGGGTCCTCGATATTTTCATGGTGCTGGTTTTTGTCCATGTCTTGGCAGTACTAGATGCCGAAGTCTCAGTGGTCACTATAGTCATTGTTTCATACACTTCAAGTGACATGACTTTGTGGGAATATGTGAGAGGCACTGTCAGTGTCAACCAGTTAGATGTATATGTAATATTTAGTATATGTATATGTCTTACCATCTGCTATATGATCTTCAGATGAACTGTAACACATGACACTTGCTCAATTGACAAGTAAGTGGCCTAGAAATGCAAGATCAGTATGTACTATGTTAGATTATGAATACTTATCATGTATCATGTGAATCTGTTGAATGGTGCATCAGTCACTGACAAATTCAGAATAATTGAGAATCAAAACATTGGAAAATGATGACAAACCATAGTTCACACAGATGCCATTGCACTGGACTAGCATCTACAAAAACTCGACATATTGTGTCCTCATGTGATCCTCGTCATCGGGGCTCAGGGCCTACTCAGGAGGTACTCAGGCCAAGAAAAATTGCTGAATGAGCAGCAAGTGCTATAGAACGGCAAAGGGTTCGACTACAAGGTACGTAGTGGCTATTGCTACTTGATAATGATTATATGATTCTAATGACTTACCTCAGAAACGTCTCTTGATGAATGACATGCCCTAGAGGCACTGCGTGACCATGGCAATGCCATGGCTGATAATGCCTAGGTGGACAACAACTCCTATGGTGCCTGGGACATTCTTATTGGAACCCAGCCGCTTGATATAAGTCATGGAGGAGGTGAACTGCAGGAACTCACCTGTGAGATTGCTGTTGATTTTTGGAATGTGTAATTTCAATTTGAAATCATCAAGATAGCTTACTGCATACCTTGAGGCCATAGTAGACAGTGAGTTTGTCATAAAGACTACTGGACATGACGTGATCGAACACAATGTCAGATTGAGGCATTTAACTACCAAATGCCAGCACTAATTACAACATACTGTCATATCCCATATATCCACGCTTCTTGTCTGGACCTCGGACCTTAGATCTAATCTGATTCGATGTAGAGATCTACTTCCAATCCAATATACAATAAGCTTCTTAATTCATTTCCTGTTCATATAACATTAACATAGTCTATTCCTTTATTCATTATTCCTTGTTCCTGGTATCTTGGTTATACTTACTACCGGTATGCTTACTGATCTGTTAACCTATGCTTCATTTCCGACTTGCGCTTGATAAACTTTGCTTATGCTTCGTACATAGCCTCGGACTCTTGCTCACTGATCTTTCTGTTATTCCCTTAGTATATAAACCCTTGTATATGTCCTGTAGTACCTCAGTTTGAATATCAACTTAGTTTGTCCTCTTTCCGCCCTCCGGACTTGAGTCTAAATAACTCTCGTCAATCTCTGAGACTTAGGATCGATTCCTTTAGTCTATATCTCCAACTCTATCTTTGGATAGTCTATCCTCTGTTTGTTTCTAGTTCAGACTTGTCCAGATTAGCCTTATGCACATTTCTGATATCCGGAAGTCTTTTGGATTACTATGAGACTCATCCGACCCTCCGGACGTGTTATCATCAGTCTCTGAAATAAGGGACAGTACTTGGGAAAGGAGCACAGCGTACAGCTGAGGCCAAAGTCCTTCAGGCCTGATCCTCCAAGAGTACGACCTTAACACATACCTTGCATGGAGTCTGGAGAGAGATGAGAAATGTGTGATGGGATTTTTTGAGAGGCAGAAAGATGTTGATGTCAATGACATCAATGCTGGCCAAGTGTTTATTGATGTTGTTGATATCCATCATGAGTATTGAATGTTTACTTACTTTGCTTCGATTACAAAGTTCTACAAACACTGAGAAAATGCATCTTTTGATTCTCTCATCCGACACATATCTTACTTCAGCACTTGTCCATCAGGGTGTCATTCCATGTTCCTCAATTAATCATTAATCCTTCAGTTGGCATGACCATTGAATGTCTGGAGTTTTATTGTATTATACACCAGTGCTGCCTGAACTTCTCTATTCAAGGATTTATGAAGACACTCTGTGACTTGCAAGGCATGAGTTATAATATCATTACTGATACAACAATGTTTTATCATTTACCTAGAAATGTTTCCATAGCTACCTTTCATGTCAGTTGTCGATCACTTTGGATCTCTACTTGCTCATTTGCATGCAGATTCGTTCACTGGTCCAGGAGGCAATAGGATAAGGTGCTATTGACTGTTTAGTCTGTTTTACACGATGGATGGAAAAAATTCACTCAAGCAAGTCCTCAAGCAAGTCCCCAATGAGGACCATGATGAAGATTCAGTATTATGGAACAGTCTCCAATCATCAGAGCTCCCAACCTCTCAATCCATTGTAGATTATTGTTACTTGACCAGGGTGTATGTTGATTCTTTCACAGACACATTAAATCCGAAGTTGATTTGTTCAACAATGACGACAAGGTAAGTTTCAACTACTATAATTTGACTCTAGTGACTAATGCTTTGATAGGATAACAACCCTTGTGTGGGTCGATGGAAAAATATGAAAGACGACAAAACAAAATGGATGTGGAGAGTTTTTGACAAGTCAGAGATCTTTATGGCAGTGTGTCGACATGGTTTTACACTTATTGTTGCAGACATGGTGCAGAGCGGTGAATGGTATGTTCAATTCTTTATTGCAATGTATTTGAGTTAGCGACTAAGGTAGAAATCGCACAAAAGAGACCAATGTCACATGATAAACATTACAGAAAGGTGACAGAATGTAAATTAATGATTAACATACCATAGAGCTCAGCATTACAGAATTTGAAAAGATGGCATTGACAAGAATTATGCTACAGAAAAACTTATCTTTTCAGAACTATGATAAATGAGCTAACAAGTGAGATAATTGATGTTCTTGAAAATGTGCCGCCAGCAGAGTGTGAAGCTGAAAGTCCAACACATCGTGCCGCAAAGCCATGGCACTGCTGATCTGTAGTGTGGTATGGGCAACAACAAGACCTGGCAAAAACAGCATGGTGACAGCCTTGCTGCATGGCAAGCATCCAAGAAAGCAAAGGTTCTACCAGCAACAGGTTCTAATCTACAGAATGATGAAAATGTGAGTAGTTTTTGCAAGTTTCACTGTAAACACTCACTGATATGTCTATACAGTTCAAAAATACTGTGTCAGCGCCCATTTTTACTGCGGAGGATTGTACGGACACACCAGAATCGACTACACAAGTACAGATCCCCTTGGCAGACACGGCCAACTCTTTGGACATCATCTTGTCGAACAATGTGTTCCTGCATGATACATTGCACTACAAGACCATTTGTGAGGAGGTGGAAGATGAAGAAGATATCATTGCTATATGTGGAGTGCAGTGGCATGAAAGAGATTAACTGGTAACCCTTCTCGAAGAAATCAATGACTCACCTGTGATGCCTTCTTATGAGTTTGACGGCACTTATCAAAATGAACCCGGGGAGGATGATGAGACCGATGCCAAGAGTGAAGGGGATAATGAGGAGGAAGCTATGGAAGGAAGTCAAAGAGATTACTGGTTCAAGCTGCGGAAGCCTCCTACAGTTACAGAGGCACGAAAAGCATTAGAGGATTTGTGGACATTGCTAAAGTCACTGTGCAGTGACAAAGGTCGCAACTCTGAATCAGAAACACTCTTGCCTGCACTGAAAGAGAGACTCACACACATCAAAAACTTCCTTTGGTTATATGTCGATGTTGGCAGTGATGGACAGAAACATCCAGCAAATCCTGTGGGGGTCAATGGATGCAAGCCGCAAATCAAGCAGCTCGAAATGCACATGCAGGCAAAAAACATGGAGATTACCTTTCCCATTATCTGCAACGCTGGTCAAAGGCATATATTAAGGACCGCACAGCTTTTCCTCATCGAGCACCACAGTGAACTGCTTTGTGCATTGATGATGAAGAACTGGCTGGGGAACTGAAGCTGCACCTGCAAAGTGTTGGGAAGTATGTTCAAGCTCAGGACCTTGTTGATTACCTGAGTGTGTGGAAAAATCAGACTCGCCTCAGCTTTAAGAAGCCAATTTCACTCAGCACTGCTCAGTGATGGATGGGAAGATTAGGTTTCCATTGGCACAAGGAGCCAACTGGGCAGTATTGTGATGGACATGAACGTGATGATGTTGTTTACTACTGCCATGTCGTCATGGGATCGATATGAATCACGAATGCAGGAATGAGACCAGCACAATGCAAATACTCGCATTGAGGATCTGCAAGCTGCATCTGCTATATCAGGCCAGCCACATACGTACCCCCAGGCAAAATTTGCCACAAACTCACTTCCCTCCACCACGACTCTCCCACCGCCAGTCATCCTGGTCGATTCAAAACCCAGGAACTGCTATCTCGCGATTATTGGTGGCCAGGACTAGCCACTTATGTCAAGAACTATGTAGAAGGATGCAGTATATGCCAATAGTACAAAGTCAATACGCACCCTTCAAATCCTTCCCTTTCCCTGATACCCCCACATAGTTCCAATCGACCCTTCACTCACTGCTCCATTGACCTTATTACCGACCTTCCTATCTCTGATGGCTTCGACTCTATTATGGTCGTGGTTGACCATGGACTTTCTAAGGGGGTAGTTTTCACCCCTTGTCTCAAGATGATCGACTCTGAAGGAGTCGCGAACATTTTCTTTTCTAAAGTCTTCTCTAGATATGGACTATATGATAAACTTATATCTGACTGCAGACCCCAATTTGCCTCTCATTTCCAGCTCAAACTCAGAAAACTCCTCAGATACAAGAACTCCCTTTCCACTGCTTTCCATCCCCAAAGTGATGGAGAGACTGAACGAGTCAACCAAGAACTCAAAGTTTATCTTTGGATCTTTTGCGCCAATGACCAAACCAGATGGGCATCCATGCTACCTCTCACCGAATTTGTCCATAACTCCAGACATCACTCTGCTCGAGGCACTTCTCCATTCTTCCTCATGATGGGATACCATCCGAAACATCTTCCCGATTCTCACCCTAAGACCAACATTCCTAATATCGAACAACACCTCCTATTACTTAATAAAGTGCTAGCCACTCACGAACTCGCTCGCAACACCATGCGACAAAGAATAACATCCAAATTCATACCATTCTCTATAGGCGACAAGGTCTGGCTAGAAGCCAAAAACCTTCATCTTGGATACCCTAATTGGAAGCTCACTCCTAAATGCAAAGGACCATTCACCATCATTCAAGTATTATCTCCCATCATGTATAAATTAAAACTACCTGATCAATGGCACATTCACCCAGTATTCCACGCCACCCTACTCTCCCCTTACAAAGAAAACGACACGCATGGTCCAAATTATATTCCCCCTCCACCAGACATTGTAGATGGCAAAGAAGAATATGAAGTAGAGGCAATTATCGGTCACAGAGGATCATTGTCAAGAAGGACATATCATGTCAAATGGAAAGGATTCCCGAGTTCCGAGAATGAGTGGCTGACGGAAGGACAGTTGGGTAATGCTTCTGACATTCTTATTTCTTATAAACGAGCACATCGACTTTGACATTTTAGTAATCTGGGCTTACTTCCCTTAAAATGGGGGTAATGTTACAGTTCTATCTTTTCATTCTATCACTTATTCACTTACTCATCATTCGACAGTATTCTATAATGTTCTATCATATGATTCTACTTACCTTTTTCCTATTCACTGTTCATATTCAAGCTCCGCTTCAATACTCTTATATATACCTTACTTTCTATGCTTTGTATATTTAACTTGACCTATGCAGACCAGGGCCTGAAATCTAGCTTCATCTTCATCAGAACATTGAGTTTACTTGAAACCTTTGAACGTTAAGACGTCTAACCAATGCCGAGCATAACACCTAAGTCTTTGAGGAGACGACATAGCTGTTGGTACCATTTGAGAGCTCCCTGCTTGGAGCCGTAAAGTGCCACATGTAGGCGCACCACCGGATGCTTAAACTGTGAGTTGACATTGAGTCTGGGTGAGAGTTGCATGAATATGACTTCGTTAGAGTCAAGTTTTCCATTGAGGAAAGCACTGTGGAAGTCGAAGATGTCAATGTCTCAGTCATTTTGGGTGGCAATTGCTGTGATTGTTCGGAGAGAAGCGAGGTGTGTGACTGGTGCATACATATCATAATAGTCAATGCCATGCACCTGTGAGTAGCTGTTTGCCACTAATCAAGCTTTGTACTTATCAATTTCCCTGTCCACATTTCTCTTAATGCAGAAGACCCATTTACACCCAACTATGTTTGCTCCCACTGGCTTCTCTACAATTGACCACATGTTTGCATCTTTGAGTGCAGTGAGTTTTTTTTTCACTGCATCATCCCATTTTAGCCAGTCCATTCTAATGCAGGCATCTTCCAGCATTGTGGGATCCATTCCCTCTACTTCTTCCACTCTAGCCACCATCGCAAAAACCTCTTCATTGTTGTCGTCAAGCTCGCCGTACTCTCCACCTACTCCTAGCTCAATAGCTAGGTGACTATACTCCCCTGCAGGTCGCATATCTCAAGGTAAGTCTGTGCTTTTGCCATCCGTGGTGCCGGTACCATCTCTCAAACTCTTAATGTAGGCAGATTCTACTCTTGCACATCCATTGTAGAGACTGACATCTCTGTGGCCTTGTAGAGAGCTAATTCTCCAATGCTCTAACCACTTCCAAAACATAGCACAACTCATATCTTGTTTCCGTGCACTTGGCACTTCATCGGCTGATCGCATGTGCAAGCACTTCGGCCACACATCGGCGCATACATCCTTGGTTCCATCGCTCATCTTCCGTCCATCCATTCCATGTCCATTCGGTTCATTGGTGCATGTTCCTATTTTACTCTCATGTATTCTGACATATCTCCGGTGCTTGCGCACACATTCTGTATGTTTCATCACGAACCCTTATTACATGTAATCATGTACTCGCTTCGCTTTCCAGCTCACTTTAGTGCTTGACAGCACTTAATGCTACTTAGAATATATATACTCCTGCCTCTCTATATAATGATCATCTTTCTTCCCGCACATCATTGGACTCTAAGTCTAAATCTCTGTCGTAGCTGCCGACTGACACTAAGCACATAAGTATAAACGAGTGCCAGCCGCTGCGCTCTCCAAGGACTTCTGTCTATTGCCTTCTGACTCATTTAGAGTCGCTTCGCTCCAACCACCCATGCATGCACCTCATGTTCACTCCACATGCATTATTGCACTTATTGCTCAGTAGCGCTTTGCAGCGCTTTCACTTACAGCACTTCACTTGTCATCATGCGCCTAACCAGGCTTATCCGACAGCCCAGTTCAGTGTTTCCCTCCACTATTATACATAGAGGAACCTTCTCAATAGCAATCCCCTTGGGCTGACATTAGCTCACGCACAGAGGACCATCTGAGTATATCTCATACCACCCACTTTCCATCATTCTACATTCCTCACCTACACTGTATTGTCGTGGTGGTACTGGGGCTTCAAAGTGTGAACCCAGGTGGTCTGTTGGAGGTGGATTGGTGTTTGGGGGTGATGGTTCTCCGGTACATGTTGAACCAACATCATCAATTCATACTGTGCAGTCTGCCAGTGCATTGCCCCCTACTATAGGTACTTCAACCTCTGCTGTGTCAAACACGACACTTCTTTCGACAGCAAATCTCCTGGACTCGGGGAGGTAGACATGATGCCCATTGCTGTCATGGTCAAATCCCATCCACCTTCCATCAACTGCTCGCATGTCGAGCTTTGAGCCCATGGTTGAGTGGACTTTAACGCGGCTGCCCCATTCTGGTAAGTTCTCCAGGTTGAGTTTCTTCTTGAATAACGCTGTAGGTAAGGAATGTGAAGGGTAGGAAAAGGGTGGTGTGAGATATACTTAGAGGGTCCTCTGTGCATGAGCCCAAGGGGATTGCTACTGAGAAGGTTCCTCTATATATATAACGGAGGGAAAAACACCAAACCGGGCGCTTAGTCAAGCCTGATAAGACGTGCTGAGCAGATGTGACACACACATCGGGTGGTTGGAGTGCAACGAGTCGGAAGATAGAATAGAGAAAGGTTCTAGTAGAACACGACAACTTGGCACTTGTATAGACTTTAGGTGCTTCAGCACTAGTTGGCAGTTACAATGGAGATTTAGACTTAGAGTCCAATGATGTGTAGGAAGAAAAGATAATCCTTTGTTCAGAGAGTCAGGAATATATATATATATATCTAAGTAGCGCTAAAGTGAGCCGGAAAGCAAAGCGAGTACATAATAACATGTAATAAGGGTCCATAACACAACATACAGAATGTGTGTGCAAGCACTGGAGATATGTCAGAATACAGAGATATGATAGGAATACATACTGGTGAACCGAATGGACATGGAATGGATGGACAGAGGACAAGTGACAGAACTGAGGATGCGCGACCAAACAGCGCTAATGCGTGCGGGGGGCTGATGGAGTGCCGGTGCACGAGGATGAGATATGAGTTGCATGACATTAGGAAAGTGATTAGAGCATTGGAGGATTAGACCTCTACAAGGCTACAGAGATGTGACTCTCTACAACACTTCATAGGGCATCATCCCATTTAGTGCCTGGGTGATGGTTCTGTTTTTCAGCCAGGTTATATGTATTATTGCCTCTCCCCACAAGAACTTGGGGAGTCCGCTGGCATGTAGGAGCGCATGTGTGCACTCTACAAGCATACGGTTCTGACATTCGGCTAAGCCATTATGCTCTGGGGTGTTGTGAATGGTGAGTTTTCTCTCAGTGCCTTTGCTTCACAGATGATGTGTAAACTGATCTCCAGTGAATTCTTCCCCTTGATCCGAACACAATTTATTTATCTTGGCGTCAAACTGCATGTTTGCCCAAGACTCAAATGCTTTGTAGGCGTCGAACATCTCATCCTTTGTTCATAAGAGGTACAGGTGCATGAATCAAGTATGGTCATCTGTAAATGACACAAAGTACTCTTTGTGTCCAGGTGTTTGTACTGGCGAAGGTCCCCAAAGGTCCATATGCACCTCATCACCGAATTTCTCTCATCACGGAGGATTGCGAACCTTCCCAATGGCTTTTTGAGTGGCCTTTGCATACTCGCATGAGTCGCATTTGTCTAAGGTGAGTTCCGAAGGATCTAGCGCAATTCCAGTAATGATGCCATCCTTTAGCCTGCATTTGATGCTATTGGGAGCAATGTGGCTGAATCTGGTGTGGACATCTCGCATAGTAAGTGCTTCTTTTGCATTCATTACTCCGGCAAATGGTCTCTTTGGACCTCTAATGCAGTATAGGCCTTTGTCTACTGGTATCTCCCCCATCATCATCTTCTTCTCATTGAAGATTTTGGATAAGTTCTCATGGAACAACACTGTGTACCCAGCGGATGTGAGGCAGCTAATTGAAACTAACGTCAACCCCATTTGAGGTAAGTAGAGCACATCTTTTAGCAATATACAAGTTTTTGATTGGCTGTTTGGTAGGAATATCTCTATGTTTCCTTTCCCAGTGGCTTGGAAGGTGTGTTTATCGGCCATTGTGATTGGTTTTGGCATGATGCTGACAAAGTCCTGGAATAGACCCTTATACAATGACATATGGTGTGAAGCACCTGAGTTGAACAATTCAATTCGAGCATCTTGTTTTCTGCTCAAGTCTGTAAGTGTGGCAAAGGTGAATGATGTTTTCTCATCTGATGCACTTGTTTTGTGCACTAACCACACTCCTTCAAATTTGTTGTCTTTCTCTTCCTCTTTGGTGCTGGCTACAGTCTTGGGCTTCTTATCCTTGCCCTTCCCATCAGGCCTTCCTTTCCCTCTGTTTCCTCCACCTCCAGGACCACGGCAGTCTCTTTGCATATGCCCATATTTACCGCAATTATGGCAGTTCCCTTTGATCCTTCGAGTATGCTGACTTGAATTTGCATTATAGGCCACATCATCGCTCGAAGATCCTGTCTTTTTTGACTTTGATACCCGACAATTGTATTCATCAACAATTGTTGACATCAGTGTGTCAGAGGTAAGTTTGACACTGGAGACTTTGGCTGACACTTTTAATGCTGATAGGTTGGGATCATAACTGCTTGGTAACGAGCTCATGATCATTGTGGCAAAGCTTTTGTCTATTGGCACGTGGTCCAATGAGGACAACTGTTCCTTCACGGTGCACATCTTGTTGAAGTGCTCGTGAACGTTGCCCTTCTCAGGGCATTTTAGGTCCTGTAACTTGCACAGTAGTTCAATGGAGACTACGCACAAACACTGCTCGAATAGGTTGGAAAGGTGAGTGAATATTTCTTTTGCCGTGTCAAGATTTTGATCTGGATGAACAGGGAGTTGGGTATTGTCCCTGCTATTTCTTGTTTTGTTATGGCCTGGCCCATGCACCATTCTTTAAGTTCAGTCTTATGTGTGCTAACTTCCTTTACTTCGTCAGGTGTCACTGGTACTGTCATATACCAGATTCTACACCCCACTTCCACTATGATATCTTGTCCAAATCCTGATATATCCGGACATATCCATATGATCCCCACCCGATCCAGTTCACACATCCAATCCATACTCCATCCAATCCTCATCTGATCCTCATCCATGTCCTATCTGAACCCCTGGCTTTCAGACCTTCAGATCTCATTCGTGGTCCTATCCAAAACTATTCCTGTGCACCTACGCATTATCCCATTTAGGATATACCTGTGTCTTCGGCTCTCAGTTATCTCTGCTTCCATCTTGATAATGTATTCCATATGAGTTTCATCTCCGAGTTCATTTCCTTATGTTCCGTTTCACTTACTAATACATTTCCACGTGCTCGTACATAGCCTTACCCCTCTGCTTACTGATCTGCACAGACTTGCCTCCAGTATATAAACTCCTGTATTTCCTTAGTCTGAATATTACACATATTAGTCCTTGCACTAGACCTCACACTAAGTCCTCATAGTAGTCCTAGTCCTCTGACTTAGTCAATATCCATCTCAGACCTAGGGAGGAATTCCCTAGGCCGGACCTCCAATCCTCCAATCCTCCAATCCTCCTATCCTAAATTCCTTCAAGTTTCCGAAATTCCTCCAGAACTTTCCTGCGGTCCTCTGGACCTATTCTGCTTCGGACTTTGTCCCTGCAGCCTTTCCTCTGTTTGTTTCTACTCAGGACAAGTCCTGAGTAGCCATTACACATATCCGTATCAGGACGAAACCTCATTGTAATTTCCGGAAGTTTCCCATACTCATCCAGAAGTTACTTGCACTCGTCCAGAAAGTCTTTCCGAACTTTCCTGTGCTCCTTCGGAAGCCCTTCAGACTCCCTTGGACTTTCTCTGGACATCATCTAAAATTACGGGCATGTACCCGGGCAAGGGGCGCAGCACATGAGCTGAAGCCAAGCCCCTCAGAATCAGTCCTACCCTTTGTGCACAGTCTTAACAGGTACCCACAATGGTCCTCTGTTAGGCAGCGTCTGGGGATCTATGGGCTTTGTCTTGGTGTCATCCAAATGGCCGAGCAGCCCTCGAGCATCTATTGACTACTGAAGCCTTTCTTTATACATCATCCAATTCTCACCATCAATGACAAGCTTTGGGATGTGAAGGAAGTCCTCTCCCAACTTTCCGTTCAAGGTGGACATACTTGTGAGTCTGTTCTCCAAGTGCTAATTTAAAATTTTCACTGTAGGTGCGCAGGGCTCATAACCTGTAGCAATCACAGCTCAGCGACAGATGGAGTCAACTAGATATATTGGGTTTACCTGTAGCAATCACAGCCACAGAGGTAGTCAGTTACATAGTCCTATATACAAGAATGATACTAACCTCAGTGACAGATGGAGTCAACTGAGGAAAGTGAACAAGTGCTAAGGAAACGAGTATTTTGTATGTGCTCAGGTAAGTATGCGGCACCAAGAACAACAATAGTGAGTGTTTGATCTCCAACACAGCACTCACAGTGCTTCACCCAAGGTAATGTCGGGATGTGCAACTCCTTGTGCATATTAGGGTCGGTAACCAAAATATCCTGCTCTCCATCAGGGAGACCAAATGTGTGACATGCTGTCAACTTGAAGAATGGGAGAATCTCGAAGCTTGTGCAAGGTATGACTTGTACTTGGAAGTACAGCGGTCCTCCTCCAAAATCGAGCAGTACATTCTCAATAATGCCCAGTGTTGTGTCCTTGTTATTATTAATCAATTCCATGTTTAAGCAATGGTCTGACTGCAGACCAATGCTGAGCGATTTCCATGCTGTGGCCAACATCATGACTACCTCAGCACCTTGATCAAGGATGCAGGTGACTACCCGTCCTCCAATCATGGTTGCATGGATGCAGTGCAAAGGTGCGAAATGGTCTGCTACTACCTGGCTGTCATTGCTTCGCATGCAGCTGGCATCGTAGTCATGCATCCATTCATCTGATACTGGATGTCTCATTAGCTCATTAACCAATACTGTGCTGACTGTGACACACTTGGTGGTGGTGAGGTCACAGAATTGTTTGCGAATGTCGGGCAACATCACAAATAGTTCCCTTGTCAAAATGCTGATGCTGGTATCCAGGAGGCGCTCAAAAATGTGCTTGTCAGTGTCCTTGTCCTCTAGTTCGTGCAAATACCAGTATGATGCTGTCTTTGCCATTGGTGGTGCCAATGATGATGGTGTCAAGTCTGTAGGTTCAGTGTGTGATATGCTGGGTGATAATGAGGATGAAGATGAAGTTGCAGGAGCAGCAGTTGCTTTCCGCACATCCTTTGTTTGTGACACAGTTGTTGCAGGTGCAGTGATTGCCTTTGCCTGATGAAGCTTGGATGGCAGGAGAGACAATCTCCTCTGCTTCAGTGGCTTGCCTAGATGCAGGTTCTGGCCTTGCACGGTTCTCGCTGATGAGTTCTATGCCATCAAACTGGACACTCTTTACCTTACCTTCACCTTTTGCTGTCCCTCGCTTGGTGTCGCATCTAGTGGTCGCAAGTGCAAGTGCTTGCACTGCATGTAACATGTCTACTTCCTCCTCATTTATATTAGACTTGGGATCTGCAATGGTGTGGATGAATGCGGATGAGTCTACATCCAGTATGACATCAACTTCAGATGATGCACGGACATATAGTGCCGCTGTTACACTTGCACTAGGAAGCACTTCATTCACCTGCTTGTTAGAATGATACCTTTCAAGATGTTCTTTCAAGGTACCATCGCTTATGCAACCAGGAATCCAATTGCTGCTTGGTAAGACGAGTTTCAGCAACATTTTGTGGATCTTACACTTGCCCACGGTGATGTACTTTTCCTTTTCTTGGCAGCAGCTTAGGAAGTGATCGTTCTGTCCACAGAACATACAACTGCCTGACGGGGAGTTGCCAGGGCATTGCACTTGGTACTCCTGTTTGACAACTGTTCCTTGCACCAGCTGCTGTGGCACTTGGACTGCCAGGTTGACCGCATTTAGGTATGGTGTTAGTACTGGCATACTGATGGTTTCCAGGGTTGCCACTCCCATCCCTGGGATTATAAACTTAGTGGCCGCATCTACACCTGCAAAGGGATAGGGGTTGCACAGGTGATAATCCAAAAATTTGATCATTAAGCGCGTGCGGAGGAGCGCTTGGATGTCGCTAGGAAAACCTTCTAGCCACATGTAGTTCCTTTTGGACTTTCCTATGTGGTCTTTCATGATCAGAGCATCAAGAACTTTTTGGAAAGCATAATGGTAATTGCTGAGCTCCATGAGTGAGGGCATCAGCAGCCTTGCATACTTGTGCGTTACTGACTGGAGGTCAGATACTGTGTACTGTCTCTCTTCTTCGCAGCCAGGGTACATTTCTTTTACCTCCTCAATGAATGTGTCATAGTCACTTAATTTTGCTTCAGGCATGCTGGCCCAAAGCATGCACTTGCTGTTAGGCAAGTAGCAAATGATACCTTTAATGTGGTCACCTGCAAGCAGATCTGCGTCATCAGCACACAATTCATAATTCTCAATGAAAGCAAGGAGGTTCTCTGCAGTGCTGTCAAACTTCGGTGCTTTGTCTGAGCTACAGATCGGCATCTTAATAGTTGTTGACATTTTTGTGGGCTGGGGGGTGTTGATACTAGGTGCAGGTTGTATGATTCTTGTTGGGGCTGTTTGAGGGACTGACAGAATATATATAGCAGTGCGGTTCCAAACTGAATTTGGCAGGATAAGGGGCTCTGTTTCCTCCTTCTTAACAACTGGTGCTTCAATTGATAGGGGCGTGCATGACTGAGACAAGGGTTCTTCTTTGATTGTTGCGCTAGAAATGGTTAGTGGAGTAAGTGGAGAAAGAGGAATAAAATTAGGTTCCGATTGATTTCTTGATGTTTCTACAAATGTGCCAGGTGGCAATAAGCACAATAAGTACTAGATGCCAAACTAGCATATCTCCAGCACACACAAAAAACTCTCCTACTACAGGAAGTAGTGGGCTAGATAGTTGGAAAGAGTAGAATAATCTATAATTGGTAAGTATTGAGTTTTGTTATATGGATGGGCAGATGATATATATGTGGGATGAGTAGAGAGAGAAAGAAAGAGGAAGAAAGACACAAAAGTAAATCAACCTTAGACCTAAAAGCAAATACAATACATACATGGGAGTCTGATGAATCATGATCTGCCACAAGTTCATCAGGGGAAAGTTCCATGTCACTGCTATTCATGAATGGAACAACATGCTTCCTTGCATGAGCCATGAACTGTCTGTACTGCTCGTTGGTGACATCAAGATCATCCAATTCTTCCCCAAAAATTGCCTCCAAAAATTGTTAGTCATCTTGCAAAGCAGGAAGTCCTTGACCACAGACCAACTACCTGAAGAACTCCATTTCAGTCTCTGCAATCTTAAGCTCCTCTTCCTGCTCTTTCTAATGTAGGTGAGGAATGTAAAGAGATGAAAGGTGGGTGATGTGAGATGTACTCAGATGGTTCTCTGTACATGAGCTAATGTCAGCCCAAGAGGATTGCTACTGAGAAGTGTAAAAAGGGTCCATGATATGATGGTGAGCAAATAATTAAAGTGTAATATGGTCTGATATGTATATAACAGCATGAAAATGTACCAGTAAGGTTAGTTTGGACAATGGATGGATGTGCGACATAGGGCACTTAGGCGCACACATGAGAATGCAGCACTTGGTATAGGAAAGCAGTGCATGCTTTGTGCTTAGCACAGGAGAGTTGCACTTTGCATAGGGAATGATTGGAGAGGTATTTAGCATGAGTTGTACATCAAACTGCACCTTAAGGCATGTCATAGATATGGCCTCTATGAGGCTACAGAGATGTCAGTCTTTACAGCAGCTTATACTGAGAGTGGATCTTCTCCCAAAAATGCTCAAGATGGTCTTGCCTTACCAAAGGGCCTAAATGATTGAGGATGTGGCCAAAGGAGGGATGGCGTATGCATTAAGATTTCTTCCAAGAAAGCAAAATTATGTCAGACTTGGCTGATCCAAAGGATGTAAGAGGGAACATAGGGGATGCCAACTTGGAACTAGAGAATGTTGATGCTATGTCAACTCGAGTTGAAGTTGTAGTCTTGTAGTCAGACAAAGAAGAGGTAGTTATACGAGTATTAGGTGCATCCATATTAGTAGTGCCACGGCTCGGCTATGGTCCACTCTGGTTCGGTATTCACCGGTTTGCCAGAAGTTCGGCAATCACTCTGAGCCAAGCCACTGATTACTGACTCAGTCCAACTTGTTGGCCATGTGAATCAGTTTCAACCAAAAATGTATGAACCTTGGCTTGAACCGCTCTAAGCTGGCTTAAACCAGTTCAGGCTGAAATGCAAATGCGGCGGTTGGGTGGCACAAAGCTTTTCTTGTTGCCTCTCAGTTGGTTGAATTCACATTTTTTTCTACTTAGGCTATTGTATACACCATGGATAAGGTCCCCATTCAAGTTGATGGAAGATTTAGGCTGGGAGATGTTTTGGGGTCTGGCCCATACGGTATGTCATTCCAATATTACTGACTACATGTTCAACATTTGGACCCCGTTTAGCTGTCGTGTATCGCGCACGGAATATCATTAAGGATGATGCAGTCGCCATCAAACTTGAACCCATTGACCACTCATCTTCCATGCAGTGCGAATACTGCATTTTGAAAAACCTTGAGGGTGGTGTTGGGATTCCCTGTGCCCTTTGGTTCGGTAGGGAGTTGACATATCACGCTCTGGTCCTCAACCTCCTTGGGCCATCACTGCACCATATCTTCTGCACTCACAACCGAAAATTCAGCCTGGACACTGTTGTGAATCTAGGAGACCAGCTGGTCAGTTGGTGTGTGGGTTATCATTGTATGTGCAGATCGCTAACCCCTTTTCCCAGCTCTCATGCCTCGAATACATTTACTCCCATAACTATATCCATGGTGATATCAAACCACAGAATGTTGTGGTGGGTCTTGGCGATTTGAAGCACACCGCCTTCATTATTGATTTTGGTACCGCAAAGGAATTCTGGAATACATCGACTGGAGTCCATATACCATTTTGCCAAGGTCAATGTCTTACCGGCACTCCTGCATTTGCATCAATCAACAATCATTTGGGAGTTGAACTGGGTCGTCATGACAATATTGAGTCACTCACATATATGTTAATATACTGTTTGCAGGGCTCTCTTCCTTGGTTAACCAGTAACCAAGAGAAGCTTTCCAGCTCTTCCATACTCGAGCGTAAAGTAAACACTACTATTGAAGTTTTATGTCACAGAATTCCTGTCGAGTTTGCAGGAATTCTTATTTACATGTGCGCCCTCGCATTCTCAGAGGACCCCGACTACAACCACATTTGTTCATTGCTTCGTGTACTTCATTCCACATCACCTGCTCCAGCAAGCGCGCAGCTGGATTTTGGCCAGCCTGATGTACCTGTCACACATCCCCTTCCATTATCCGATGGACCCTGGGCAATCGAGGCAGTGCCTCCATGCCTGCCACTTCATAGATTGTCTCGTGTGTCAGTAGTCCGTTTTATCTCCCCACTTTTGAACTGACATTATCGCAAGTTTACGCCCACATAATAACACCTCCCCATTGCGTGCAACTGCTTCAACTCCACGCCAAAAAAAGATTTAGTTCCTATATCATGACGCTGTCGCATAGTATTACTTATTATTTGTACATACAACTGTATATGCATACTATGTTTCATAGTAGCGGCAGGATTGAGTCTATTACTAATATCAACCTGATTTCTCGAACTCCCACGCAGTGCCTTCTTATCTTTCAACATGCTCCAGGCTGCAGCGCAACTCAGCAATGAGACGACTTTCTGAAGAGTAATCCAGCCTTACAACAGAGATTTGATTTTTGATTCCCTCAATCATTCAGCTACACGGTCACCCACAGTCACCCAAAGTTGAAAGGGCTGTCTGCATGAGGACCTTTGCCCAATGTGCCATCTATTTCATTGTGATCTAGAGAGCTTCTGGGCCCTCTGAAGTCTGGAGTGTCAAGTTGGAGTCAATTCCCTCCAGTATCTACTATCTCAAAATCGCGTAAGTTTTTTTCACCCCTCAGTGCCAAATGAGATCTGACTTGCGTAAAGCATTAAAACATCGAGGCTCTAGCAACTTCACTAGCGACACCTTTCGGCTTGTTGTAACTCGCGACTCATGATAACCGTCCTTTGGGTTTTTCCATCAGGGACTTGCGATCACTGCACATTGGCATGTTCTGGGGTTTCCCCAGACAAAGATCTATATAGACAGGTAATTCTGTCGTTGGATCATCTTCACCACCACCACCACCACCACCACCACCATGCCTCCTCGACGGAAGAACACCTCCCGGGTTGCTCCCAGAGCCACTGCTGCTGCTCCCATTACTACTGCTCCCATCGCAGCTGCTCCCATTACTGCTGCTCCTGTTCCTGCTATTCCCACTGCCACTCCTGTTGCTGCTGTTACAGTCATCTGCAACATCTACAAGAGCCCCCGCTCTGCTAGACTCCCGACATGACGGCACGCCGCCAGCACTTAGAAGATCAGTGGTCTGGACTGCTGTGACACCACCCCTGGCCTAGACGGCCATGTACCTGACCCATGGAGGCTGTACGCCTCATGGTCACCCTAGATCAGCGCATGTATACCACATGCCGCTTCATGAAGATCCAGAGCGCCCTTGGCGCCTCATGTATATGCGCAGCAAGCTCTTGGCACCGCATGCTTGATCAGAGGTCATGCCTCATGTATCTTACCTGTCCTCATGGTTGACCTCATGGTCTCTTATCATAGATCCCAGATATACTATTAGATACAGACTGAGCTTGAACACTTGTATATTGACATATATAAGTAGACAGATTATTGTACTTAGACTTTACTTTAATCTACTTGGTACAACCCCAGAACTAGCCTTGTCTAATCAACTTGGTTTTCCCTTGAAACCTGTTCAACTAAGCCTCCCAGCTTAGCTGTCTAGACTGCACTTCTAAGTCGCTCCCCGCGCCTTAGCCATATCCACTATCCCTGTATCTCGACGAGCGCCGTCTTACTGAGATAACCAGAGGAACCCTTGACATTCCGTCAAGTCGCCGAACACCCTCAGCCTCGGTGGACTCATTTGAGTCGTCGCTGAGAAGACCTATCCAAGTTCCTATGCCAACCCAACGGTTAGCATAACAGCTGCCACTCCCGCTACTGCTACTCCTGCTGCTGCTTCCATTGCTGCTGCAGTGAATGTGACCATGCTTCAAAATCCCCCAAGACGTCGTCAGCCTCCTGTCAGATTCAGAGACAATGGTGCAGGTCCAAGTTGCACTGCAGATGAAGGGGAATCATTCCACTTTGAGAACATCTCCAGGGATGAGGAAGATGAAGTGGCCAACCCTCCTGTACTCACAGTTATGCCTGTTGCGGGCCCTACCCCACTCCAGACTGCAATGAATACCGCTAGAACTGACCCTCTGGCCACTGGTGGCTGAGCAAAATCACCTAAATCCTCTGCTGACGTTCATTTCTTCTTCAGACAGGACCCTGTCACTCAGTCTAGGATCTGCAAAGCCTGCGAGTGAGTATCGTGTCTGCAGTCTATTGTTCTTTCTAACATCATTTGCAAGAGAAATCCACACTCACGACGATGCTCACGCTGTTGTATCATACCTTCCTACTACAGGCACTACAGGTCGTCGTACACACACATTCAATGAGCATACCAACATTTACTTGGAAGAGGCTGAACGTCAGCACTGGCATGTCCATACTTCATCGTGTTTGAAGATGTTTTTGGATGATGGCTGGACGATCGCGACCTTGCATCAAAGGCTGAAGGATCCGGCTTACACATTGGACTCGCTTGGTACTCCCCCTAGTCCTAGCTTACTCCCCGGAACCAGCTTGTCAGCTCCAGATGATGTACTGCCTGATTTTACTCTGGACAAAATGCACAAACAGATTGTGAATTTATTGTTGCTGACGATCAGGTGAGTTGATGTGCACTTTCTACGTGCTATGGTTAGTAATTGTCTTCAGGCAATTAGCATTATCGAATGCCCAGAATTTCGCCGCCTGATCCGTCTTCTGTGGCCATTGCTAAACGAGACCGATCTCTTTCATTGAACCAAAGTTCGTGAATTGGTCATCGACACTTTCCACAAGTACTTCAATGCTTTGAAGAAGGATCTTGCGGTAGGTCTACAGTTGTTGAGAGCCCCGCAAAACATCTTATATCCTTCAGGCCGCCCTGGGAAAGGTCTTGTTCACATCTGACCTCTGGTCAGATTCTAACCTTTGCCCGTTCATGGCTGTTACTGCCCACTGGATTGCTAGGGCAGACCATAGTTCAGTCCTCGTCTTGAACGCAGCGTTAATAGCCTTCCATCACGTCCCAGGAAGTCACACTGGAGAATTACTAGTGACAGTAATATTGCATCTTCTGGATCGGGCCGGCATGGCCAAGAAGGTTAGCGTTTAATTGTACCATGTAACATGCTCTAACTTTGTTTAGACCAGTCATTTTACCTTGGACAATGCCTCCAACAACCAGGTTGCCATGTGAGAGCTTTCGCAAAAACTCAAGTCCTGTGGGATTGATTTCCCTGCCGTCGACCGCAGAATCCCGTGCTTCCCCCACATCATTAATATATGTGTGAAGCACATCATTGACAATTACCATACAGGACTTTCGCTCGTGGCCGACCATTGGGCAATTGGCAATCGCATTATTATCAAAGCGGAGTATGTCAAAGCTGTGACAGGGAAAGCTATCGGCAGAGCTAGGGACGTCTATATCATGCTCAACTGTTTGCGAACCCTTCGCCAGGTAAGGCATCACCCACTTAACATCTGCCATGACTAATAGTTGCCCAGGCAATAAATTTATTCTTCGACTCTCCCACTCAACGCTCCATCAGCAAATTCAAATTGAGTTCGATGGAGTGGCAGTTCCTACAGGATGTCAAAATAATCCTAGAGGTCAGTTTCAGTATATTCGAAATTTATGTTTCATCTTATTGTGTTATATTAGGCGCCCCATGCTGCTCAACAATGCATGTCAGGCAAACGCACTCCCAAGTTGAGTGGTGCATTTCTGGCGTTCGAAACATTGATTGAGCGCTGGAAGCTCTTGGCCCAGCATGTCCCACACTGTGAACCTCTTGTCCAGATAGGTTTGACTTGGGTTGACAAGTATGACAAGAGGATGGGCGCCACAAATGCCTATGCAGTCGCTATGTGTGAGTCTGTCAGTATCTTCTAGTAATGTATAGTTGCTCACGATTGCGTCTATAGTCATTGATCCTGTGATTCGAATGTCGTGGGTTCGGAGTCATTGGGGGGAACAAATGATTAAGGATGTAGAGAAGCATATAATAAATCTGGTACATCTATCAGACCAATAGCCATGCAACTTCGAAGTTCAAACTGATATTATCACACGGAGATGCATCAAAAGTGAGCTGAAAATGGCTCAGCATATGTAGAGTCTCTAGCCAATGAAGTAGCACTTCGACAACAACCACGCATGCTAGGCTCACGCCTTTATGGACTACCTGATGTCAACATCCTGCCGCGTCACGACAGCAGTGCACAAATGGTCGAGCAAGAGTTCGAGGCCTACACCACGGCTAATCTCAGCCTCAAGACAATAGACATACTTGCATTCTGGGAGCTGAGTGTCTTGCATCTCCACAAGTTATACCTTTTGTCGTTGACCATGAGCTGTTAACCAGGTCTCAGAGACCTCATTTCTGACCATTTATGGCATTGCAATGGACTATCTTCCGATACAAGCCTCCGCTGTTCCATGCGAGCTGACTTTTTTCATCTAGTAGTGAAACTGACACAAAGAAACGTAATCGCACGAGCCCGGTCCTGATGGAGGCTCTGCAGGTGGTAAAGTTCCTCCTGAAAAAAGAGCGACTCAACTTTACCAAAGGTTGGGTGGCATCACAGAAGGATATGGAGTACAAGATGTTGGATGAAAGAGAGGAGTCTAACAATCTTTTGACATTATCTAGCAGTGGGATTACAGGTGACATATGCGACACTCTTCTCAGAGCTATCGCAGAGGAGGAGTGTGACGACATCAATGATGCTCCTACTACCTACGACTTGTGATGTTTGCTTTCCCTACTCGTTTTTTGTTTCTTGTTTCCCCTACCTTCACTTGTTCTGGCTGCCTGGCATCTTGCAATGCTTCTGTTGCCGTATTATGTTCTCAATTGCGAACTTGTTTATTCGCTCTTCCTTGACAGTCTGCTTTTCACTTTGACCTGTTTGGAGTCTCCCCTTGAGTCATCAACTACTCCTACACCCAGCACCGACAAATAATAGCTGATCTAGTTTTGCAGTGAAAGAGACATCTACACCACTGTGCCCAACCCATCCTCCCCCCCCCCCTCCAATGAACAAGAGCATGACCATTGTTCGTACATTCTTTATTTCAGGCTAAATATGGCACTGACTTAGCTTCAGCACTGGCATGGAATCACCCAGTATTGGTCAGCCGAGATGGATGGAGTGGCTATATTGACACAGTGTCCCATAGCGTCAGGCAATTCCTTCATGTACGACTTCATGCTGGCCAACCAGAGCAGGGTCATTTTGGTGTGAAATTTCGTCGTACCTCGCAAATCATTGTTTACTGTTATAACAGATATCATTCACATTTACATTTCCAGCTCCAGTACTGCTGGTGATTTCATTCTTCACTGGAGCAAAAAGATCTCGCCCTTGATGCAAGCAAAGGTCTGAGAGGAGCCTTGGTTATTTATGACGCCTGCCAACAAAACCATCAAGCTGTCCATACCCAGCAGCTGATGGTCCAGTAAGTAATGTTACTCTTCTTCACCATACGATTCTCATGTACCATCGTAGCATCATTTCCACTTGCACGGAGTGGGTGTCACTTGTTATATCAATTCGGACTCTCGCTCATGTATCGCACAGCATGTTCTTCTGGGTTCATATCCCAGTCAGCCTTGAGCATACATGTATTCCTCGACAGGCCGAATGCTCCGTAAGTACCTTTCCATTTCTACGATCCTTAATATTATTACTCTAGGTATGCACACATCTTGTTGTACCTAGCTAGGTGTGGGGTTTGCCCCTAGGTTGGTCATGCCAGGTGTGGAGTGATTCCAACCCGCCCTAGGTTGATCATGCCAGGTGTGGGGTGATTCCCACCCGCCCTAGGTTGATCATGCCAGGTGTAGGGTGAGACCTACCTGGCCCTAGGTTGATCATGCCAGGTGTGGGGTGATTCCAACCCGCCCTAGGTTGATCATGCTGGGTGTAGGGTGAGACCTACCCGGCAAGACTCCAGGCGCTACTCGAGCTTCGTGATGAAGCCAATTATCTTGGTTTGAAGGAGCTGCAACGATGAGATATGCAGTGGGCGCAGTATGGTGATCTATGCACACGCTGGAAGCATGAACAGTGCAGCTTCCATCCACTCCCTACATATCATCCAGGAAAACGGCAAACCACGCAAAATAGGCTGTTCATCTTCGTTCAAGCGGGAAATCAATGTGACCTCTGTGCACTAAACGCAGCAGGAGTAGAGGAGAAACCCAAGAAAAAATGATAACATTTTCATGTTAAAGTCTCACTGGCACAATCGTGTAGTAGCGTGACTAGACAGATATCAGACATTGACGAATCTTCTCTAATGCACACAGCTCTCCCTACAACAGCCCACTTCTAATCCTGCCTCTCATCGCGACCCAACATCCTCAACAACCAACATCGCCACTTCGATCTCCACAGCATCTGACCTCCTCTTTCCCCTCCTCTCTCCCTTGCTCTTTCCCCTCCTCTCTCCCCTACTCTTTCTCCTGCTCTCTCCCCTACTCTCTCCCCTACTCTTTCTCCTGCTCTCTCCCCTGCTCTCTCCCTTCCTCTTCCCCCTCTCTGTCTTGCGGCTTGTCTTTTGGCTCTGCGCTGTCCCTCAGTCGTCCGTATAGTACGTTGCTCTCGCAATTTTCGCGCGCAAGCAGCACTGCCGTATAGCTAACATTCACTTTAGCATTTGATCGAACATCAATCGGACCACGTACATTATCTTGGGGACCCATAGGTGCTTGACTAGTTATGTGTTGATTGACAATGATTGTAGATCTGGTAGTAGTAGGGTGCTATGATAGCTACTTTCCTTATTGGCTGTGAAGTCTTTGAATATTATTCTAATCTATTTTTTTAACTTACTATCGGTTGCCACTCGCTCGTGCAGACTACATTTCACGTGCATCCCTCAAATATCATACTTTTCCTACTACAAAATCTTCAAACTATTCACACTTCGTGTCGTCCGCTGCTGCCACGGAGTTTCAATTTTTTTCATATTCCTCCAACACACCGACCTATCCTCCCTCACTACCACTGCCTCTAAGTTCAGTTTCTCTTGTGGTGCTCTGGCTACTTTGGACCACAACCTCCCTGGTAACTGTGGCTCGATCATGGGTTGGATCGGTGCTCATGCTACCCATGGTATCTCTGAGACTGGTGAGACCCATGTCCTTCATCACGTCTCCAGCAAGATCTCTCACTATAATGCTTGGGTAGGGCCTCACATGGGTAGAGAGTGCCCGAGTACCCGCCTGTGTGGAACCTACGGGGTAGCGTGCGGGTCACTCAGTCATTGAGTCGTCTGCCAGCGGTGTGTACAGCAATGTTTCTTTTTGGCTTTAGGATTAATGTTAATACTATTTTGCAGAGAAAACACTCGAAATGTGACCTTAATGGCTCTGATGACGAGTCTTTACACAATCTGCCCTCATTGGACTCGCTCGAAACTTATCTCAATTCTCCGCGTGTCTCCAGGCCTGAAATTATCAGTATTGGTGGAGTTCTGAAGTATTGGGAGAATGCTCATGCTACGAGACCCCGTCTGGCTCAAATGGCATTGGACTTCTTATCTGCCCCAGGTACGTGATCTGGATGTTTAGGTTTGATATCTTCTGACTGCAGCATGGACTATCTTCTGTAGATGCCGAACAAGCATTTTCCTGCAGTCATTTGCAGGTCAATCACCTACAACACGGCATTACTTCACAGGCCTTCAAAGCTCAGATGGCTATCGGTTCATGGTACAAGACTTGCGAGAATGCTGGGAGTGACTATGATTGAGACATTGCAGAGTTCAATAGCTGACTAACCCTACTAAGTGTCTTTGTACTACTCACCCAATGCTAAGATATATCATGTACCCGCGGGTGACCCGCACACCCACAGGTACAACCCGTGAGTCGACCCGTACCCGTACCACTTGACCCGGGACGGGTACAGGCATGACTCTATTGACCCGTAGTCATTGTATTAGGAGCTGGCTTGAGCTGACTTGAAGACTGTAAATGCGGCTCCATTGACCGGACCGGGCTACTAATTACATAAGCCATAACTACATACACGGCTTGGCTACCCACAGCTCCGCCCACAGCTAAAGCTGGTCATAAGCCAGAGCCAGCGGCAACACTAATCCATATGCAGCTAGAGATCAGGACTAGAGACTTTCCAAAGCTTAAGGACAGAAAGTATACTACAGTTGAGGGATATTGCTATGAATAACAGAGTGCCAAGTGGAGTTTGAAGGACTTTGCAACTTTTTCTCTGCATTGGCTGTGTAGCACCCTAGGCTCATTGGCTCAAGCAGGTGTAAGTCTGTATTCTTCCAGTGATTATGGATGCCAGCAACCATCATTCTGGGCCATTCATTGTAGATGGAAACTTGTAAGTTTCTATTCTATTCTAGAATTGATACTTCAGTAACCACATCAGATCATCTATTGCAAAATACCCCCAGTGTCAAATTTATTTGCCTTCTGCTGAGGCAGTGTTAGAACACCTCCAGACAACAAATGGTTGCTGGCCTTTGGTACAAGATTGCTGTATTCCTGTCCCACCCGCATTCCTTCAATCTACTTCTGAAGCAGGAAAAGACCATGTCTTTGGGCAGTACCACCCATCTTCTGGCTATATATTTGGAAAGGTGCCAAACACCTTCGAGGCAATGGAAAATGACCAGTATTTCAAGACTAGGTAGAGTTTGACCTTGCAAAATTCCTTTGTGAATGCTTAACACAAAGTGATATGGAGCAATTTCTCAAGCTGGAATGGGTTTGTCTGGAGCTGTGGAGTATGGGCTAGTGTACTGACCTTGAGTTTACAGGTATGCCAAGCTGGTCCATTGTTCAGCTCCAAAGATTAGCTACTTGCATGGGTAGCTTCTCTTCCAACCAGACCAAAATGGTGTTCAACAACCCTTGAAATGACTGGGTACCCAACTATCCAACCAATAAACCTCATCTGGCGCAATGGCTTAGAGATAGTGCAACATCTCTTTGCAAATCCAATTTTTGTGAACCACATGACATATGACCTGCACATTGTGGTTGATGGTGATGAGTGCTGACCTGTACCAAACTGGTTCGGTGCATGGACAACTAATACTTTCCTATGAGTCTTATACCTCAGAAATCACTATGAACATTTTTTTTCTTTTGATCTGAAGTCAAACTGAGGCTAAGGGTATTTTTTTTGTATTTTTTTTTTGCATTTTATAAGTTTGTACACAAGTGGACTGAATATTTTTGTACATTTAATTCTGCGATGAGTTTTGCTTAGTCAGCCATGAAGATGACTCAGACAGATTCTCACACATATCAAGTGACTGTGAAAAATATGTTTGCATAAGGTTACCCTGTGGGAAAGCTTACAAATCGCTAAATACACGCCCTATGTCATTATGCTACCAAACAACTTATCAGCCATAGATGTCAAACATATATGCACACATTATGTAATCATTTCTCACTCTTTTCTAGTGGAGTCATCAAGGGATCACCTGACCCATGGGCCATACACAGCTCTTGCTGACTCATCATTATACCAACTAGAGTTATAAATATTTACTTTTTAACTCAAAGATACCATGTAACTTGGTACTATCAAACTAAAGTTACAACTTTAAATGCAAGAAACTAGTAGTACAGCCACTAATTTGTCTATATAAGGAGCTGCTTTTTGCCCAATAAAACAAGCAATTCCCTCACTACTTTTTACTCTCAGAATAAAATTGTAAGTAAAGTGTAAATCAGCATTCAGCAAGTGCAGTTTAAGGTTGGAGCTCACTATGCTCAACAACTAGCACAACACTTCTGAGCTCACTGTGCTGAACATCTAGCACATACCTTGGGCTCACTGTGTCTGATGACTAGCAAGATTAGTTTTCTTGTTTTTCGTTTCTCCTGATTCTCTCTCTGATTCTCTCTGTTTCTGTGTGTCTGTAATTGTCTTTCTCTCTCTGTCTGTGTGTCTGTGTGTTGTGTGTTTGTTTTTCTCTCTGTCTCTCTGAGATTGTGTTTGATATTCATGACTGTGAAACTCATATTTCTTTTTTCTTTTTGTTGTTCTGTTTGTTTCTGTCTAAAGTGTGTATGGAGTGTTGGTGACTGTCTGTGCTGACCATCTCTGTGATCGCTGTCTCTGTGTATTGTGACCATTGTTGCTAACAGTTCACGATCGTGTTAGTGTTTCTGTTTTAGTGGTCTCCTTTTGTTGTTGTTTCTTTCTATCAACTTTCTCTCAAGTACCAAAGTTTCAGTCTCATTCTTACTCAGAAGTTTGGTTTTGTCTCTTTTGTCCACTGAAGACTTAGGATAGTCTTGTGGGGAGACTTTAGGTGTTAATAGTGATATCTGACCTCATACATCTGTGTGTTATACTGGGCTAAGGTAGAGTTAGACTTTAGCTATTGAAGTCCAAGGTCACCTGTTCCTGAGTCTGTTTAATACTCATTATGAGTTCCTTGGCAGCAGGTTCAATATTAGGCTAAGAGTGCTACAGAGACTTGACTAGGCCTGACAGTAGTTTCACCTGTTTTTGTATTGAGGGGGACTCTCATTGTAACTCCACACAACTTGCTATACTAAGTTTGTGTATGAATCATTGTTGCTGTGTGAAGTGTTAGGAAGAGTATCTGTGTTTTTGTTGTTATCTCTATATTGTAGAGTGACTGTATCTCATGATATTTTTGTTGTTGCTTTGTTGTTTTGTTGTTGTTGTTGTTGTCGACCACTGACTGACTGTATGCTGTTTCTCTGATTGCTGTGTTTCATATCCATACTGTTGGATTGACTATTGATTGCTGACTCTTGTGCAGAACGTATTGTACCGACTGTACCTTAGGAGCATAAGAAAGCCACCCACAAATAACCACATTATCAGCCATTGGTATCTGTCTAAATCGCTGACTGTGGAGATATTTGGTTTTATAGGTGTTCATCTATAGATTATCTATCTAAGAAGACAGCATGAATACAGTGAATATTTTATGGCCCAACAAGCATTTGAAATTCAGGTAAGTTTGATGTATCATTCACAGTAGTCTCCTGATGGCTTTGGTACAGGATCAACTTCCTGAAGGCGCTACTATCATTCCAATGATTGTTGCATCTGATAAGACACCTGTGACCCAGTGTAGAGACTGACATCTCTGTGGCCTTGTAGAGAGCTAATTCTACAACACCCTAATCACCTTCCAAACACAGCACGACCCATATCTCATTTCTGCGCACTTGGCGCTTCATCGGCCGCTCGCACGTACAGGCGCTTCGGTCGCGCATTGGCACATGCATCCTCGGTTCCATCGCTCATCCTCTGTTCATCCATTCCATGTCCGTTCGGTTTGTCGGTGCGTATTCCTATTTTATTCCCATGTATTCTGACATATCTCCGGCGCTTGTGCACATATTTCGTATGTTTCGTCACAGACCCTTATTACATATCATCACGTACTCGCTTCGCTTTCCGGCTCACTTTAGCGCTTGACAGCGCTTAACGCTACTTAGAATATATATACTCCTGCCTCTATGTAGAATGATTATCTTCTTCCCACATAACGTTGGACTCTAAGTCTAATCTCCATCATATCCGCCGACCAACACTAAGCACCAGAACTCATACGAGCGCCAGTCCTCATATTCTTATATATGAACATTGTCTTACCCATTCCCCGACTCACTTAAGAGTCACTGCACTCCACCACCCGCATGCACGCCATCGCACTTGTCGCTCAGTAGCGCTCCGTAGCGCTCTCGCTTATCACACTTTGCTCATTGTTGTGCACCTCCCCAGGCTTATCCGACAGCCCGGTTCAGTGTTTCCCTCCACTATTACATATAGAGGAACATTCTCAGTAGCAATCCCCTTGGGCCGACATTAGATTCGCGCACAGAGGACCATCTGAGTATATCTCATACCACCCACTATTCACCATTCTACATTCCTCACCTACACTGGCATATGGGAGGACTTGAAATGCACCCCATTTTTGTCACTATTGGCAATATTCAATCTGATGTGCAGATGAGAGCAACATGTCATGCTTGGCGATGCATTGCATATATGCTGATTCCCAAATTCATTGATGTTCATCCTGACTACCAAACCATTCTCAGCCAACATCTATTCCATAAGTGCATGAACATCATCTTCACAGATGCTAAGGTCACAGCCATGGTGGGCAAGTTCATGTCTGATTCAGCCAGACATCTATGACACTGCTTCACACCTTTGGTTGTATACACTGTGGATCTGCCAGAACAGCAAGCTATAGCATGTGTCTTGAAGGTCACTTCTCCTATCACATTGGCCATGTTTCAATCTTTTGGTGACACTTATGGCAATATACAATATCTGTCAATGAATCAATCCATGGAGGTTGCAAGAATTCCAGGAGGAAGCCAAGGCTCATTCATTAAGTGGCATTTACTAGCCTTTTTGGTGGAATTGGCGGCACTCAGATCCTTCTTGCTTTCTGGTAGGAGAGATTCTCCATATCTGTCACAAATTTTTCTGTGACCACCCATTTAAGTGGTGCAAAGAATTGGTGGAAAAGGACAAACTCAATTTCTGTTTCTGAAGTCACTACAAGAGAGTAGGAACACACCATTTTTCATCCAGAGTATGTCAGATGAAACAAATGACCAGTCGGGAACATCAGGACTTGCAATGCACCTTGGTTCCTTCTATTACTGGGGTCGTGCCCCCCATTTGTTCATGTGATTTGCACTTTGATCAACTTCATCTATCAGGCCAAAAGCCCTGTTTATTCTGACACCTCTGTTAATTCCATAGTCGCCTCACTCAAAGAGTTTCATGATCATAAACATGTAAGATGAGGCACCAAAAGAACACTCAACAACTTTATCATCCCAAAGCTCAAGCTTTTGCAAAGTTTTGCTTCATTCACCAAGGACACTGGTGCCCTCATCCAATGGACTGCTGACATCACTGAGCGTCTTCTTATTACTTATTGTAAACTCCCTTTTGAGAGGACATCATGCCAGTCATGTACCTTCACAGAACAAATCGTTGACATTGTCAACCGCAAGGACTCGATGTGGTGATTCCAATTGTACCTCTTCCTATGGATGCACAATTCTCTCCTCATTGATGTCATAGTTACAGAAGAGCAAGAGGTCACTAAAACTGACTCTGCTCTTGTGTGGATCGCCCACATCACAACTAATGATCCAAATCAACAGTGTTTTGTTAGGCCACACCCAGTTTGAAACTACTTTTTGAAGGGTATCCTGTCTTCTACTGCTGCCTTTCATGTTACCATTACTTCTGATTGAGCCAAGATGTCTCTCAATGAAATCCAGCAGCTTTACACACTGCCACATTCTGGATGAGCACTTTCTGATTATATTACAAAGGCTTCCAGCAGTCAATTCACGACAGTATGGAGCAATGACTGTGGTCACCTCAAGACATGGAATAAGTTTCAATTACAACTGCATTCCATTTTTCACTTGTGGATGATCATGCCTAGTCAAGTTGTGCAGGCTGCCCCACCATCAGAACAGTTTCCTCTAGGAAATTGTGATGCTGTGATTATACAGTCAATACATGGCAACCAGACAGGTAAATAATGTTTATCTTATCTTGGCTGCATATTACCGATTATCATTACACAGTTAATTGTATTGCTCAAGTGCGGGCAGTCTTCCAGCCCATTGCACCTTGCCACATCATACTTCCCCATACCTTGTGGACCAACTGCTCCTCTATGTCCAGTACTACAAGATTGTCAAGGATCCAGGCAGTCAGCCTGCCATCAGTATGTATATGGTGGCCTAAAAATATTGGGAAGGGCCCACAGGCCAGCAGATAAGATTGGGTGCAGTCATTTCTCTCACAGATGTCATGCATGCAGTAGACCTTACCCCTATGTACGGCCAAGGTACTAACCATACGGTGGGTGCAGTGATGAGTATGGAGGTATATGAGCATTTTTATCTGAACAATTTCTTAGACAAGGAGGTGTATCACTCATTGTGCTCAGATTTGCATTAGTTACATTTAGCCACATTCTTTGTTATGTTCTGATCATGCAATTTAACTGTG